CCATCCTTTTGCGCAGTACTCATTAACATGGTCACCAAAAGAAGAATTGATAAGGTTTCTTTATAACAGGTTTCATGAATTGCTTGTTTGACGGCTAGAGGATTTTGAAAATTGAAAGGTATCTATCGTATACGTCAAGGCTTTGTGTGGCGTAAACGACAATAAGATTCAGTTTCATATTGTAGTACTGTACTTACCTATTAAAATACATTTGTGTCATTTCATATCATAATATTACCTATATATATAACTTGCTAAACTCTATAAGTCAGTGATTATTACGTACTCTATAGCCATATAATTTAAATCTATCTCTATAAGTGAACCAATAGTAGAAATAAGAGAACTGTTTTTTTTAATTGTTATACAAAATAAAATAAATAAAATATTGTTATTAATATTATATTATATAAAATAATATTAAAACTTACAACTTTATAATTGATATTGTAAGACGGTGCCAGTTAAGGTAGATACACTACAATTACACAATATATAGGTACACTATAATAACATTGTAAATCTGTATACAACTATTGGATATATTTATAAATTTTCTATGAATTGAATGTAGTAATTTTGCCATAGTAGGTAAATAATAATAATTAAGAAAGACTATGTAAGTATAATTGTGTCTTAACAATATTTTAGTTGAAATTATACTTTAATGCCGCAAAAAAGAATTGAAGCTAGTGGTGCCTGCAATCGTACGGAAGCAAAGAAAAAAAGGAAAACCTTGATGAAGTTACAAAAAATACAAAAAAAATAAATACCATGTTTAAACTGATGAGTAAGTCAAAATATTGTAAGAAAATAAACTGTAATTATTTATAAATATAAAAATTGTAAATTGTAATAGTTAAATATTTTACCTTTTACTTTATAGATAAAGGTTATAGATAGAGGTCAACAATATCTAAAGAGAGATTAAACGCACTTGCAATATTAAATGTTGAAGCAGATATAAAAAAACAAATTAAATATGAAGATATTATAGATAATTTTGCTGATATTCAATTAAGAAAAAAATTGTAAAATAAACTATAAATATTATTATATTACATATTATGAATTGAATATCATTCATTATTATATGTACTATAGTAGGTTCTACGTACCTAAGTTATAAATTAGTTACTTGTGTTTTTGTTATATAGTTATATAGTTATTTGTTATATATATATATATATATATATATATATATATATATACTATTAAAAATGTATAGAGAATGTATATCAAGTTAAAATTACTAAAACTTTACTGCGAATTAAATTACCAATAAGAAAGGGAAACATAAAAAATGAATGTACTTTATGGCTTCTAGTGAAACTAAATTAGCCACCATTACTATGATATTAAAAAAATTGTGTTGAAAAGGGGCGCCATAAATGTTGTGCATGGGGGCGCAAAATCCTCGTATTACGGCCCTGACGTTTATGCATGACCATATATTCCGTTTGAAATTCCCTTCTATCTTCAGTGCCGTGGATAAGTGTAACAGTTTGCATCGCCGTGACGTGGCGCTTCGTTAAGTTATCTATTGGCCATAATTACGGCGCTCATTGTTAAAATTGCTATGCTTAAAGAAACTAGATTAGTAACGAATATTACCTCATTGTCATAATATGAATAAAGGTTAAAATGAAAATTAATCGATATGTTGAAATTATCATTTTATACTAATATAATATACTGCGGCAAAATTTCCAAATCGGGAGATCAACTATCATTCTTATGAATTTTGACCATACTTCATACAGTTTTATCAGTTTTATACCTACAAGTACATACAAATTATATTAAATTAGGACATTATAATCTTATGTACCTATTATTTAAAATTTATTCTCAAGAATTTATCGAAAACAAACCTTAACGATCAAGACACAAAAAAAAAACAGTCGCATTTAAGCCTTACCATAAATATAATTTATTTTATTTATTCAAACCCAAATTATAGAAATAGATGTTATTTTTTTTTTATTATTGTTTTTTTTTGCGATACTTATAGTAATTTTTTCTTCTTTTAAGTATCTATATCATTTTATAATTATTGAAAACTTTAAACTTTATTCACTAAACTCATTCACTATTACATTGTTTGTTATTACTATTTTTTTTTTTTTATATTCGGAGCGTAGTGAAGGATCTATTAGTTTTACTATGATGTGTGTTCCTAATGTCAACACCCTTGTGACGTTAAAACTTGAAGGTGCCCCTTATGACTTGATTCAACAATTTATAAACTATCCTATTCTTGGTGGTAAAAACATTAGAAAGCCTAAATGAAATAATTCAAGATAATATTAAGTTAGACTTCAGTGCAACAGGTATCCACCCATTTAAACAAAATTCCATCCCAGTCTAAAGATGATAATAATGAAGCGTGGACGGAAGCATTTGTATAGACAAGTAGGTATATTATACTTTATATTTCTTAAGAAATATTTGCAGAAAAGTGTTCTTTTATTTTAAATTTTGATTCATTTCTCTCTTTTTTTTGTTTAACTTTAAAAAATGTCTAAAGTCAGTATAGGTAAGTATAACACCGATATTCAGTGAAAATTATCGAGTGTCCGAAGTGAACCCATTTTGCAAGTGACTCTGGACAATTAATAAGTTCAATTTTTAAAAAAAGTACAAACATTAATGATTATTTTTCTGTAACATAACTTAGACATGAGTAAAGAAAATTATATATTATTTTAGATATTTAATATCAACTATATTATGTTCTGACAATAGAGTAACTAGAACTTGTAATGCTCGTGACATAATATTGTAAAAAGGTCTAAAAAGCCGATCCAATAAGCAAAAGAAAAAGTTATGTGTTCTGGTCAAGGTCCTCATCAGTTATGGGGCTGTGACGTTTGCCCTTTAAATAGGTGTAATTAAAATAATTTTAATTATTGTATTAACATTTGACAATCGCAATCGGTATTCTATTTCTATTATCTAATTATTTTAGTTTTTCCTGGTAATATAAGGATTCCTTATTCCTTATTAAGGAAGTACAATTCTACCTTTCATGAAGAAATTTTATAATAAAAAAACTATTAGTCCGCCGAAGGTAAACTACTCACTTTCCATCTATTTGTTTTTATTTGTTATTATTCATTACTGAAACGGTCAAAACCAAAAAGTAATATAGGTAAAAAATGGCACTGGCAACGCTGGGTGGGACAGCTAGTTATAAATATAATATATTTATTGTTTTTTTTCTTAAACATTTTTATTTTTTGCATTTATTTAAACTATGTAAGAACTTCTATAAATTGGATGCTGTTCTTCTTCTGGAATGTATGATGATAATTTAAAATATTCCGCCAATAAATCTACAAACATTTTCTACGTGTTCTTTTTTTTTTGGTTTCCTTGAGTTCTTGACTACCTAATTAATATTACTGTATTTAAGGAAGTCAACTCGATCATTGTTTTCCCCAATGCTTATCATTATATAATATCTAATAGTATTTATTAATTTAATAGTTATCACTTATCAAACAATAATATAAACAATTTTAAGTAGATTTACTAACTTCGGGATAATAAATACAATTAGCGATTAATAAAAAATAAAATGGATCAGACTCAAAAGTAGTAGGTACCAAGGTACCCCATTTTAATGTAATAGTGCAATGTGCACTTCCTTTTAGAAAATGTTTATTTTCGTCAATTTTTTGTTTCAATTGGTGTAATTTTTTCGATAAATCTGTAAGAATTCCTTGGAAAAAAATTTTTTAATATTAGCAGATTAAACTCTGACTTGTTGGTAGCAAGAAAGGAATGTAGAAATATTAAAAATAATAATTTGTATAACATTTATTCGAGTATCCACCCAAAAATTGTATGTAAGACAATATTTTTTTTCATTTCAGACCCTATTTCGATAACACTACACCCCAAGGCTTTTGGGTATAGGAAAATATGTCAAAATATTGAAAAATATTACAGTGGTTTTCGATTTATAAAGCACCTCAAATATAGTCCGTAAATTAGAATTTTAATTTTTCTAATTTTACCTCTTGAGTTATTAAACCCTTTCAGAATAACGGGTTAAAATAATTTAAATATCTTCACACAGTAGACATACTCACGGGGGGGCTCATGGAGTTTAACTCTCCGCCCTATTGACAGTTTTTTCTTTTTTGCAAAAAATTTGTTTTAAATTTTAGATTCTGAGTTTAGAAGAATGTACTGGTTTTACAATGATATTATTTTTTTTTTATGTGAACACTTTTTCCACCAGAAAGCTTACTCTGATTTCCAAGTAAAGCACATTTTCTGAAATGAAATGTTCTTTGGGTGATACTTTAAAGAGGTAAACGTGCATTATGTAGTAATTATTTTACCATACTTCACGCGTGGGCGCAGCCACTGTTGTAGGTAGAAAGTTGGGAAGGTAAGTTGATATAGACGTAAATTTAATGTATATCTGTATGCAACGATGAACCATTGCTAACGAAAAAACGATTCTAAGCTGAGTTCAGTTGATAGTGTTACTTTGTCAATAATATAAATGACATATTATGGTAAAATAATTACAACAATGCACGTTTACATGACAACAATGATTATTTAAACAAATATTAAAATAATAAAAACTTAATAATAACAAAAAATAAATAAAAACGGTTGCCAATGACAACTTTACTTTCAATCTTTTTTAACCTAAAGAACCGGTTTTTCTCATTATCTCTAATATTAATGAGAATTTCAAAAAATTACCTCGTGAAAGTACCACCCAAAGAGCATTTCATTTCAGTAAATGTGCTATACTTGGATATCGAAGTAAACATTCTGATGGAAAAAGTGTTCACATAAAAAAAAATTAACATCATTGTAAAACCATTACATTCTTCGCTCCATTCAGAATCTAAAATAATATTAAATGCCATAACTAAAGGAGTGTGCACTGATAGCACCTTACATATTTTTCTAGAAATTACCCCCCCCCTCATAAGAAATTCCTGAGTACACCTCTGCTTCAGACTTCATGTATTTATTAGTAGTAAAATAATTAAAAAGATACATTTTGAGTAAGTAATAATATTGAGTTTAGAATACGCTAATGGTATTCCAAACTCAATGGTTATACTGTAATTTTCCAAGCATTCTATAACTTACAATTTACATTTACCTGAAACATGCAGCAGTTAAACCAACACATCGTAATCCAAGTTCTATCTATGTTTTAGATTTGAATGTCTCTTTTTTTTTTATACGAACAAATTTTCTAAAAACTTAGCCAGTACTTTTGCTACATACTGACATAATTTTCAAAGTAACGTAAATCGATTCTATATCAAAATATCTAAAATATGCGTTTGTATCCATAGTTTGAAATCTACGTGATTTTAACGTGTAGATTAAGTTTCAAAGAATCAAAAGTTAATTACAGTAAAATATTCGCTTGCATTTAATACAATTAATATACAAATTCACTTTGTTTAATATTTATAATATACGATTTATTAATTATATATTATATTCTAAGTTAAAACAAATAAAAATAAACAATCTATTTCTTATTTCTGTTCGTTTTTAAAATAGTTGATCGACATCACAGGCCACACTAGTACAGTACTCGTGATAGATATTAATGTCTATGGAAAATTTAGGATTTTAAGCCCCCGTGATCGAGAAACTTCGTTTCGTGGTTGGTATTCTTTACAGTACGATAATGTAACCATATACCATTATTGTTGTTATCGGCTAATATTTTGATGTAGACTGCTGAACTTACAACTGATGTTGATGTAGTCTAGTGTTTGCAGGTCGACTGTCGAGGAATTCAATAACTAGTCTCTAAGAGTTCGCAGAAAAATGACATCCAATTAGGTAAAAATTAGTCGTGTTGTACATCACATTTCCCCATCCTACAAACATGCACCACAAAATACAGCCTAGACATGATTCACGACGATGTCAAAATGTTGGTGCAATTAACAATCATTTTTAAACTGTGAGTGTGCTACTAATGTTTAAATAATATCTACTTCTTTTGTTTTATAAGTTTGCTGGTAGATTTCTGTTTTGTGTTGCATATTAAAATAGGTGTAAATGGTTTAATTGGATTCTTGTATTATGGCATAACCATTTGATGTAATTGTTTATAAGAAACAATAGTTATAAAAACAAAACATTGTATATAAAATGTAAACATTTGTTTAATTGACATGTTCATATATATATATATATATATATATATATATATATATATTATATATTATATTGTGTGATAACATATTTTAGATGTCGACTGTAACCGAAGAAAAAAAATCGATCAGAATGGTCGGTCCTAAAGTATCTCAGATTGCCAATATATTTCAACGCCCCACAGTAACTAAAGTTAATAAAGATCCAGATTTAATAGTAGTTAAGCAAACTAGTTCACCTACATTGGATAGAAAACTTCCTGCCAAAGTTGAATCACCTAATCAAGTGACCGTTGTAAGGACTGAAAGTCATTTGGCAAGATTTAACAATGCTAGAGCTCTTTTTGAAAAACTGGGTACTGGTATGTTTAATTTTTGAAGAAATTACTTTTATTTATGTTATTCATATATACTTGACAATGTTTTTTTTTATAGCTAATAGTTTGTAAAGTTTTAAATAAATTATTTTTGTTTGTTTGATTTATTAATGCCATAAATCTTATTTTATTTAATCTAAACAAATAATATTCTTTATAGTTAAAAAATCATTAATTTAGATTTGTATTAATACATGTTGTAGGAGAATCTAAACCTACTTTATTAGAAAAAATAAAACAAAGTAATTCTCAAGATAGCATCTGTGCAAAATCTAGATCTCCAAGTCCACCAGCAAATAATCAAAAATCCAATGGTGTAATAGGAAGTGCACAAAGCTATTCACAATTACATAACAGTAAAGTAATTGAAAAACCTATTAAACCTGAAAAGCCAGAAAAAAAATTCAATAGTCGTGAACTAATAGAAAAACAGAAAAATTGGACTTCTCATTTTTCTAAATCTATACGTTCTTCTAATTCAAGGTAATAATATTGAAAAACTTTTTAATATTAAATATAGCATACATTATTATTAAATATACGTATATCATGTACCTTTATTTTAAGTATGTAAACTAATTCTTTTAATGTGATAAGATAATTAAATAATTTTAAGTATACAGAGTGATTCAAAAACTACCAAAAAAAAAATGTATAGATTCAAAATATAAATCATTTTAAACTGTATTAATGTTAAAATGTATTAAATAGTGCTAAATTTTCTTTATTTAATGGTTTAATTTCTATTATTTAGGTACAATAGTGACCCTTGTCCTAATGAAGTCAAAGGATGGATACCAGATGTGAAATCGGATGGTATTTCTAGGACGGCATCAACATCTTCATTATACAAAAATGTTTCTCATCCTAAAAGTCCACCACCGCCACCCCCAAAAGTTAATGAACTTTTCAATCAGAACAATGAAAACATTAATATGTAAATATTATTATTTATTATTATTCTTAATAATTAATATTTATTCAATTACTTTAGACAAAAATCTGTGACATCAACTAATGAAATACCCGAAGAAATATTAACTAAGGATATAATATCAAAATCACATTTGGTTATTGGTAATGATACTGATGAAGAGATGAAATACATTAAAACAGATGTTGATAATTCGATAAATGTGACTGAAGAAATAAATTTGAATGCTGTTAGTTAATGTTTATACAATCTTTATTTTATAAATTTAAAATTAATTTAAATTTTGTAGGTATCTATTATACCATCTGGTATTAGTGAATCTGGTATTAGTTATATGCCAATTTCATTAGATTTGTCAAATTCTTGTATAAAACAAGAAAAATCAGTATGCCTTAGTACCACATTTAATGCATTTGATGATCAAGATATTAACACAAATATTAGTGATATAAGTATGAATCTAACTGAAGCAAATTCGTCAACTCCAAAAGTTCAATTCAATATTGGAGATTCGGCCAATCATCCAGTAGCTTCAGTTACTCCATTAGAAAGTGAAGTTGATTCTGGATTTATTTCTTCTGAAGCTGTTATTGTTCCAGAATTAAGTAAAGGACTGATTGATGTGCCTAACAATGTCAAATTTGCTGACGAAGATGAGATGGACGAAGTAAGTGAATAGTAATAATTGTGTTTTATTTTGTATCTTATATAATTTATTCATATAGGTTAAATGTATAAAAAAAAAAATTAATTATAATCCTAATATTTATGAATTTACTTACAAATTATATTCTATTTTTACTTTATTATTTAAAAAAAAAAAAAAAATTTACTTTCCAAAATAATTGGAGGAATATTTTTGGTAACTAAGTTGCCCTTTAAATTTTATTAAAATAAATTATGAATGTTATTTGAAAGAAAAATCGTATTTTTATATTATTATGATATACACTTTTAATTGTAATATTTAAAAAAAAAAATAACAATAATAATTTATTTTAAGAATAAATTAATTCCATTATCATTGGATCTGGGAGATATAAGTATAAATAGAAGCTCAGAAGGTATTATCGATCTAGAATCTTCAGGACAACCAGATATGATGACACCTGATGAAGCTGAACAATTACTTAGCACAAAGTAAGTTTTTCAACTTAATATTTGCATGAATCAATTATAGTTTAGCCATTGCAATGCTTTATTATATTTTACTAATTAATACATTTTTGTTGCATTATTTTTTATTTTTTTTTTATGTATTATTATTTGGCTGCATGGTAATAATTTGTATTTTTGAAGAATTTTGGAAAAAAAGAGTATGTAAGTAGAATTAACAATTTTATTTTCTTAACTGTTGCTTTTATTTAAATTTAAATCATTTTTATAGTAGTCAAGACAATCTTTTATCTGATGAAGAAGCTAAGGAGATCAAAAAATTGTTATCACCCTCTGACAATGATCAATTAAATACATCAGACTGGTTGAGTGAAGTTCTTTCTATTGAATCTAATGATAATATCACTAATCAAAGGTATTTAAGTCTTATTTATGAACTTAATCTAAGAATTGATTTTGTAATTTTTAAATCTTAAACAAATTGTACATCTACATAATGTTAAAAACATATAATGGCTAACACAAAATACATATATTTTATTTACAAGCATTGTTAAAAACTAAAGTAAATATTAGTTTTAGTTATCATTTTTATTACCTAGGGGAATATTTTTTTTTCAATGTTGATGAGAATACATATAATATAATAATGAACAAAGTTAGAATTTAAGTAAAGCTTGTTGACATTTAAAATTATAATCCATCTTTTTAATTATTCAAACCACCTTAGTTCATTTAAAAAGGTTTGAAAAGCAATGTAAAAAAGGATATGCTTGGTCATGTTTTATAAGATATATTACAATTTAAAACCATATTATTTTTTATCTTGTACATAAAAATAGAAAAGGTATTATTTTGAGAGGATTTTTTTTTTATCTACTGCAAATACTTAATGGTATTAAGAAAATAAAAAACACATTCATTTTAACATAATATGTTATATGTTAATTTTAGTCAAGAAATAAATGAAGCTAATGATAACATGGAAGATTTTCGAGTGGATGATTCATGGGAACAAAGTTATGAGACGAAAACTGACACTTTATCTGCTAATAATGAGAGTGCTGAATTTGATGAATATGAAGTAGATGGTGATTTATATAAAATTAAAGAGTTTATTCCTGAACCCACTAGAGAAGTAAGTTGATGTGAAGTTTTATACAGAATGGTTTTAATTTGGAAATATTTAATATTTTGATAATATACATTTTTAATTTTTGGATCTTAAAATACTTTATTTGTTTGCATTAAAAATGTATCATTATATTTATATACAGGGTGTCCCACAAAAATATATCCCTGGAGATAATAGGGATAATCAATTTTTTTTTTTATATATTCACTGGGATAAGGACTACAAAAATTTAAATTGCAATTCAATTTTTATGTTTTGGTAAAAACTTTAAAAAAATAACTCTTTTTTTTTTTAAAAAAAATTTAAGATGGCTATTTTTTTTAGAGTTTATTCTTCTGAAAATTTTAATGCATCAGCTTTTTATTTTCATTTAATTCATAATTTTTAATAATTTTTTAAAGTTCACAGAAACATGGAGATGTTTATTAATTGTAATAATAATAATCAATTAGAGATTACGATTACAATCTGCTGCTTAACTATAGGTACTTTTCTCTGAACTTTAAAAAATGTTTTAAATTACGAATTAAATGAAAATAAAAAATGAATACATCAAAGTATTCAGAAAAACAAACTTTTTAAAATGGTTATCTTCAAATTTTTCAAAAATAAAAAAACAAACAGTTATTTTTCATCCTAATCGTTATTCCTGTGAGTAATATAAAAACCAGAGTTTGATTATCTTTATTATCTCTGGAGTGTAGGTACAATAAATATATCTTCATGGAACACCCCCTGTATATGCATATATTAATTAAGTATAAATTATAAAATTTAAAGTGTCGCCCATTTCCAATGTATAACTATTATTTATATTTTTGTATGTACCTACAATTTTTGGAAATTTTGGTCTACTTAACACTTTTGTGTGATCCATGATCTTACACTTAACCTTCAAATTTCCCTTAAACCTATTATATACTTCTTTATGTATTAGCCAGTATCATTTAACAACACAAAAAACGGGTAGATAGCTTTAATTTTTTTTTCTTTTAATTGCAGTTGTTGTTTATGTATTACTAATAATTTAAACTTAATATAAATACTTAATAAATAACTAGTCTATTGTAATGTGGATTTTCCCTTTCTGGTCTATCTAATTTTGTTGAAGAATACAACTTTTGGTACTTTTTTACTATATGAATTTATTTTAAAAATAATTAATCATACAAAAAAACTACTTTGCTTTTGATTATCATTATAAGTGAAATTTACAAATTGTGTATTGTTTAATTTATATATGAATTAATATATTTATTTATATATTATATATAGTTCTATATAATATGTCAGTTAAAATATTATGTTCTATGCATATTAATGATGGGGATACCAAAATTTTTTCAAACTATTTGATGGATTTTAAATACTATTTTATCATAAGGAAAAAACCATTTGGATAATTTAAATTCAATATTTGATGGTTCATTCTAACTATCAATAGTATGAACAATTCGCATGTGCCAATAACATGTATATAAATCTATATTTAGTTGCTAAATATTTATTAAAATATATATATTTTGGTACTAAATATTATTTAGTAAATAAACATTATAAACTTAAAGTGCATGATTTTTTATGTTGATAATATTATACTTCATTAGATTTATGAAGAAGGTGGTGTGCATTATTATGAAGATGGTCATTTTTGGATGGAAGTTCCTGGATTACCAGAACGTGATTCAGATGAAGAATCTCATATTTTGGTCAAACAAAACATGAAAGTGAAATTTAGTGCTGATCCAATTAAAGTATTATTTTTTATGGTTACCCTGTATTGTTAAATATTTTATTATATAAATATATTTTTATTTAGGTTTATAGTACCTTTTCAATGGGTGAATATGATAGACGTAATGAAGATGTGGATCCAGTTGCCGCATCTGCTGAATATGAATTAGAAAAACGTGTGGAACGTTTAGACTTGATGAAAGTGACTTTACTAAAAGGTCCAGAAGGACTTGGATTGTCAATTATTGGAATGGGAGTTGGTGCAGATACAGGTCTTGAAAAACTTGGTATTTTTGTAAAAACTATCACTCCTAATGGAGCTGCTGCTAAAGATGGCCGTATCCAGGTAAAATAAATAAGAATTGTTTGCAGTTTAAATATAATATACTTAATTTAAATTAAATAACAACATTGTAATTCTATGTATTTGATAGTATTAATAGTATAGCTTAATGTTTTATCTTTTATTTTTTGTTAATAAAAGATAATAAATCTTCCATTTTTTTTTTAAATTTAATTTAGGTTAATGATCAAATAATTGAAGTGGATAATAAATCTCTAGTTGGTGTAACACAAGCATATGCAGCTTCAGTTTTAAGAAATACGTATGGTCAAGTGAACTTTGTAATTGGGAGAGAAACTGATCCTGAAAATAGTGAGGTTGCTCATCTTATCCGCCAGTCATTAGAAGTAAAGTGACTTATTTTATTAATTATTAGCTATTATTATAAATTAATATAATAATCGTCTTTGATTGTCAATTGGGAAGGCTGATCGAGAAAGAGATACACAACGGCGTCAGTTAGAACATTCACTAAACCAAAAATTCTTTAGCAGTGATCGAACAGAATCTTCCAATGAAGATTTAAGTAAAACTGATGAAGCAGACACTGTCCAGTCTTTACGTGAATTGTTACAAGAAGTATGTTAATAAAATAAACAATTTGTTTTTGTTAAAACTTTAAAGTAGAAATACATAATTAAATTTTACAGAGTCGGTTAAATGTAGCTAAGGCTGAAGACGAAGTTAGCAAACTGAAAACCAGGGTGAGAGTTTAATATATGCTCTCTGGTTTCATCTTGTTTACTAACCAGTTGCTAACATTATATATACTAATAATGCACGCACTTTAACATAATTTGAAGCATTTTATTTGATGTTTAAAACTAAATATAATATGTTTGTATTAATTGTTAAAATATTTTAGGTTGAAGAATTAGAATGGAATGGTGCCAATAATAAAAAAGAAATTGCTGATAAGCTCATACAGTCTGGATTACATTTAAATGAATTGGATAAATGTTTATATGTTGCAAGAAGAGATAAAGAGAATTATCAAGGAATGTTACATACATCAGAAGTAATATTTTAAATAATACATTTAATTTATGCATTTTAAATCTATTTAAAATTGAAAACTCATATTTTAGAAGTATTTTTTTTTTAAGCTAAATTAGGTTTTTCCTAATTTACAATGTAAAAATTTATTTCATAAATAGATGAAGTATTAGTTTAAATAAATTAAGGTATTGAAATGTTTGATTTTCATCAATCCATTTATGAGACATTCTATTTTTAAATTTAGGTAAGGAAAGATAATAGAACATAATTTGTGTAGCGAAAGAGTGAGCAATGTTTTAATAATACTCCACTACTCACCTAACCATTTGCTTTAAAATTAAATTATTTTTTTCAAGACTTATGATCTTTAACATAAAAATATTAAAAAACCAAAGCTCAAAGTGGTTTGTAGAAAGTCCGTCTTTTTCCAATAAATAGTCATCAAAATCAGACTACAGAAGGCATAGAAGTTATTTTAATGAACTTCAAATTTTGTGCAAGAAAAATTAGTTTGATCTTATATCTATATTTATCTACTTTCATATCAGCTATTGTTCTTTACATTATCAAATTAATTTAATAATTTCATTAAGTAAAATTGAAAAAACATTGCAAAGCATTAATGTAATAATTGAATGTAATTTACTAAGATAACAGATTAATTGAAAATAAATATATAAAAAATATAAATAGTTAATATTTTTATTTAGGAACGTTATATGAGTTTGGAAAAAAAATACACAAAGTTAAAAAAAATTCTTAAAGAGTTTCAACAACGTGAAGCTGATCTTCTACACAGAGAAGAATATTATTTACAAGTGTTACAAGAAAAAGATACAGAATATAATGCTTTGGTTAAAGCTCTTAAAGATCGGGTAAGCTAAGTACTTAAAAAAATAATCATTTAAAGTTTAATAATTCATATGAAAGTGCTCAATGTGGATATACATATTATTTTGACTAAATGTAAATTGTCTGAGTACACTTAAAACTTCAAGGCTTGGAACAAAATTAAATTGTCTGAAAAGTGAAAAACAAGTTCTATAATCTATAAACATTTGCATGGGCTTTATATAATTCACCATATATTGTTTCTTTGTTTAATATCTTTAAAACAATATAAATATAATTTTAATGCTTGTAAAGGTATTGCAGGTAGACAACCAAAAAATGATTACAAAACAAACATTTAAATATTTTCTCCTAAAGATAACCACTTGGACTATTAGCTTTTTCTAAAGCATGAAGCTCTAGATGTCTCATATTTTTATTCTCCTGTAGTTCAAAATTAATTTTAAATAAATAATATTAATAATATGAATGTAACATATTGTTGAAAATATGACATATTGCTTATAGCATTGGTTCTTAAACTATTTTACCGCATTAGTATTTTACTGTTTTATACACGTATATTATTTTAAATAAATGTATACATATTTTGAATAGTTCAATTCTTAATTACAAATGATGTGCGACATCCATTATAGACAAAAAAAAAAAACTTCTGGTTTACATTTAGAGTCAACTATGACAATGTAATACTATAATACTAAACAAATTCATACTTTACTATCTTAATATATTGTTTATTTTTTGATAGGTAATACAAGTTGAACATGAACTTTTAGATACTCAACGGCGTGCTGGTTTTCCAGTTCAACTTCCTCAAAATACTACTAGTACTAGTCATTATTTAACTACTTTGACACCTCTTATCAAAAAAACAAAAGTTTGTAGATTTTATAATTATTAACTTATATAATATGTATACATATTATTTAATTTGAATAATATATTATTTTAGGTCACTCCTGTCTTTCCTTTACTTCAACAACTTGAAACAGAATTATCTGAAACAGAAGACTGTTTTGAAGATGAAAAAGTTGCTACTGTTGAACGCAAATTACCTGTTAAAGAAGAATTAGATCGTGCGGTTCCTCCACATGAACTTTTAGATGTTTCTTTATCAAAAAGTAAAGCTGAATTAGCAGCAAGAGGCCTGGTTACACGACAATTACCAACTAATGTTCTCCGTAAATCCTTATCCAATAGCAGCTTAGTTAGTTTTATATAAATTGTTTTATTGACATTTTTAATGTGTATCATTTTAGTTTGTGAGCTGCTTTTTATTTAAGTGAATATTTTATTTTAGGATAACAACATTGAAGAATCGAATTGTACTGAGGACTCACCAATTATTGAATCAACTATTGAATTGAATGATGTATTAAATGTTGAATCAATTATTCATGAACAAAAACAGATGCCACAGTATGCATCTGTCCAAAAACCACTACATATTCAACAGCCTAATCAATTGTTAGCACGTATTCAACAATCAACTCATTGTCGTAATTGTAAGTGTTCACAAAATATTTTAACCATTTTACTTTTAAAAGTTAATAAAAATATTGTGTACGTACTAAGTAAATGGACCTCCTCCATCATTAGCTGAGCAGCTTAAGATTGTACTTGCTGAGCGTGAATCACGTTTATCAGAGTCAAATAGCTTGTATTCGTCTGATCATAATAGTTCTACAAGTTCATTTGCTGAAGAAATTAGAGAAGCTAGCTTAAATTGTGAGTGTCTAAATTAAAATGTAAAAAGCATAACTTAATAAAATTTGCTTGTGTTTAGTAAAAAAATCCAATGCTCAATGGCAACATACTACTCAATTACCTCAAAGTTCCCCATCATCTGTTTCATCATCCGAAAGTGTATCTCCTGGTCATTATGCTTCTGATTTAAATAATTCTAAAGCTATTGGGTCAACGGGTAAGATTGAATGAATATAGAGTATAAAAACATTATATATGAAAACAAATATTTTCAGATTCAATTGACGTATGGACTCCTCCTCAATCATCTGATAGTTCTATTACTGAAAGAAAAAATTCTCATGTTTGGCATAATGCTCCTGTGCATGAATGGTCTAAAGAACAAGTAAATATGAATTTGTATTAATTAATTATAGTTTAAATCAAGTATAAACTAAACATTTTGTCCACACTGATTTTTCAATAAATTTACTTTAAATTAACAATATAAATATATCCCTCTCCACAAAAAAAAAAACTTAATTTGTTTATAAATATAATGAACAATAAATCAATAAATCAAGAATCAAATTTAAAAAAAAAAACAATATAATTGTTTAGATTTCAAGTGTGCATCTATATAAAAACTCAACATTTAGATTTGTCTTATGTCATATATTAATAAAGAATTGATTGCAAAAAACCTTAAAAGCTGTGCGGAATGTATTGGTTTTACTATAATGTATCTTCTAATACAAGTTATCTATTCCAAGCTACTCACATCCTAAATGTCCACTTGACCCAATCCCCCTCATCGTCTTTGTATACACCCACTATCCTCATATTCTCAATCACATCCAACCACCTCATTTCCTGGTCATCCTCTCTTTTCTCTTACATCTATTTTCATTGCAATTCTAACTGTTCCTAATTCTGTCAAGCTTAACTTTTTTAGGTTTTCACAAAGAATGGAAGAGATGTGTTGTTCTGTGAGAGCAATAAAAAAAACAGTAGGTCCGAATAGTGTTGCCCCCAGCTTGGTGGCGATTGCAAAGAAAAAAAAAGTTCAGATAATGTACCAGTAAAAGTATGGAAATGTTTGGGGAGCTAAACATAAGCTAATTAAATGATTTTTTTCAATGAAGTGTAAGTAAAAGGAAAATGCAAGATGAGTGGAGGAAGAATTTTGTAATAACTATTTTATGACAAAGTTAAGAAATACCAAGTTCGTGTTGTACATCTGTTTTATGTTTTGTCTTCAAAAGACTTATGAGATTCTATGTATTTTAAAAATTACAAGGGAATCTCACCATTAAATTATTTGTATAAGATACCAGCCCTTTGCCTAACTCCCCTAACATTTCCCATGTTCCACTGATTCTCTACTTTCGGGATATGTTAGTTTATTATTTTATATTGCTCTCACAGCCAACACACCTCCACTATTTCTGGAAACCTGGAAAAGTTAGGAAAATCGAGAATATTCCACCATAATCCTAGAAATTTGTAATTTTATAACGGGTTTAGGTTTTTTTTCTATTGTTCTTTAACAAAAGATGATATATTAAAATATTACAATTTTCAAAAAATGATCTGTATTTGAATTTAAAATAAATATGATTTAATATATATTTGTAACTTAAACACATAAATTTTATTAATCTGCATTTGTATAGACATGATTCTATAATTCTAGGTATGTCAATGGCTATTAGCTTTAGGTTTAGATCAATATATTTCAAAATTTATGGAGCATCAAGTATCTGGTGTTGGTCTTTTAAATTTTGATACCAAAGATTTTAAAAATTTTGGGATCATTGGAGATGATAAAAATCGTCTTAAACGTAAACTCAAAGATCTTAAAACCCAGGCAGACAAGGAAAAACGACACACAGAAAAAGAGCGTAAAGAAAAAGAACGACTACAGAGAAAAGCTGAAAAATTAGCAGAAAAAGCTAGTAAACGTAAATAAATTTACCTTGAAGTATTTTTTCTTTGACTTCTAGTCTTTAGTGTAAGTGTTAAGTTTTTTCTAAGGAAAAAAAAATCATGTTTATTGGATAGAACATTTTATACATTAATATACAGAAATAATTACTAATACTAACAATTTTACCCTCCTAGAACTCTTAAGACCACTTTGTATTCCTGATACATCAGTAGTATTCTTAACGATTTGTCATGAGTAGAATCAAATATATTGCTCATTATATTTAAGTACTTAATTTATTAGCAGTATTAGAATCATGTATACTATTTATTTATTTTGTATTAATTAAATAAAAATATTTAACAATATTATTGTCTTTTAACAATTAATCATTGTTTTATTATTTCTTTCGTGATATTATGATTGAATAAATTGTCTAAGTTATTATTTTACTTAAAAATATCTATAACTTTATGTTAGTCAACCTAATACTTTTCGAATAACTGTTAGTGATTAAACAAATTAATTTTGAGTTAAAATTATTTCTCTTATTAGAAATCCTGCTTTTCTAGTCTGTATCTACTTAATTATGTTAGAGAAATTCTTTTCATGAGTTTTATTCAAAAATTGTTGTTTTTTCTTTTTCTTTTCTTTTTTTTTTTATCTAGTTGTACACATTTTAGAATAATAATATTATGCATTATGATTAATATTTTATTAACTATTTGTGCAGTAATATTATCTTCAATTCTATTATTTTAATTATTGTTTTATTTGTATTTATAAATTAATCAAATATACATTATTATATTGAGTTATACTAATATAAATTTAAGAACATGTTCATTTCAAAATATTGTAATTTTTTACATTCCTAAAATTTGAAAAAAAACAATTATCTAAAACCTAAAGTTTTTAAAACATATTATTTTTAGTAATGGAAAACTAAATAGCATTCAATAAACACTTATGTAATAGGTAATTTTTAAATGTAATGAATATGTAAATGTTTAATAAACTGATTTTTAAATCATTTTAAGAACATTATATGTATAATTATTATTTATTAATATCATAACATTAATGATTAATTTAATTTGTTGTACTTTAGACATACTTTTTTTATATAACTTTTTTTTTTAATTTTGTATTTTAACATTTGTCGTAGATTAAATTGTAAGACCAGTGTATCGTACATATTCAGTCATTGGTATATATATCTTTAAGCATGTTTAAATAAAAAAAAAAACTATGGTGTTATTGATATTAATCTTTTTTTTTTTTTTTTATAAATTTTAGTTATTTATTAAAAATAAATTCCAAATTTATAAGAACATCTTAAAATAATTAAATAAAAATATATTTTTGATATTTATGATTATTAGGACACAGAAAGTTTAGCTCTTAAAAATCACTATTTATGCATTTAAAAACACTAATTAGAAAATTGTTAACAAATTATAATTTCTTGAAAATTTTTCTTTTGATCCTAAAAAAAACAGCTGTTCGTGTTTAATGTTTAATAATAAAATTAATCTAATTGGTGACCCACGAAACGTATTTCAAGGAAGAATCTTATTATATGATTATAAAACAACCATAATATTTATAAACATAAGAGGAGAGTAGTGGAGTCTCATTAGTGTAGCGATACGGTGCGCAGCGTGTTGATAATGCACTACTACTCTCCTCTAATCTAAAATTGTAAGTGGTATATTTTGTCAACGGCTTGACAGAAATCAAAAATTTATTTTAACTAATACTTAATCTATTCATGGATTTTTAATATAGGTTGCCATTTGAAAATCAAAAGTAGGTAGTGATTTTACCTCCAAAAATAAGGGTGACAAAAAATAACAGAAATATAAAATTGTGGACCAGCTTGTTTCTTAAATGTTCTAGAAAACAAATTCCAGAAAAAGTTAATACGTTCCGAGATAATGAGTGTATACACTTAAATGAATCACCCGGTATATTTACCGGTGTTTAGAAGAAATTTGTTCCAAAAGTTAAGATTTCCTAGAACGAAGCTAGGAATGCTAACTTTAAAAATAAAGGAAAAAGGAAAATAAAAGGATTTTTTTTGAGAAACATGAATGAAAATTACAGTTCCTTAAACTTTTAATATAATAATAATAATATGCAAGTAGGAAATATCTATATACCTATATAAGAATCAATAAGCATAAAGTAACATAATATGCCATTCCCAACTTCCAATCTACAACAATAGCCCACCCATAGTACGAAAAGTGGAAACAAGCTTTCATGAGTTTTACACCTTTCCTGCGAGTTGAGCACTTTCTCATCAGACATTACCTCATTTATAACTTTCAAAAATACCCACACACAACAATGGTCTACCCATTGTACAAACTATATGAAACGTGTATTTCTATAAGATTTAACCTGCTTTGCATGGTTAAATTCACAATTTCATTGGCAAGTATCTTATTATCATTTAGATTCCAGCGAACAGAAACACAGGGTAATAGAGAGATTACAATAAATACCTAAGGCACTATTTAAGTAATTAATGCGATTTACCGTTTTTTAAACACAATAAATAAAATTAATCTAGTGTACATTATTATAACCAAAAATAGAAATTTAAAGTACTTATGAGTTAATACAATAAAATACCTAAAAACAAAAAATATTCAGTAATCCAATAAATAATAAAAATAATATAATCAATAAGTAAGGAAGTATAAAATGAATTGGAGATCAATAATGTAAAACATAAGTATAAATAAATTTTAATTCGATTTGCTGTGGAGTCGTATTTTCCCGGGCCAACAAGCGAATGAGACGTCAGCTCAATCTAACTCTCAGTTACATTTCACTGGAGTCGGATTTGCTTGGCACACTGGTAACCGGTTTAATTATTTCAATAACTTATGTTTTCTACCAGTAATAATACTCCAATCGAAAAATGATAAGCAATCAACTTTGTTCCTTTTAACACATAGCCTCTGGTAGAGAAACTCGTTTTTAATGTCCAAAGAATTTTTTCAAATAATCGGGAAAAACAAAAAATACAAAATATATATTTTTTTTTTTCAAATAACGGCACAATTTCATTATTTTAAATTTGTACAGCATTTGTTTTCTACACTGAAAAATGTTTAAAAATTGGTATCAAGAAGCATGGAGGTAAAGCTCCCCATGGAATAGTTTAATTTCAATATTTGATAGGAAGATACTAAATTCTTAAGTTTCATAATCTTTTATTCAATATTTTTATTTTGAGCACTGTTATTAGGTTTAAACAAAACCTAAAAAAGTAGTACATAAGTACCCAAGAATTCTTCTTAAGAAAAATGATAAAAACAACTTAAGAAAAGCTACTAAAATTATTAGCATAAAAAAAAAGCTATTACATTATAACAAACATAATTTTAATAATTATAATAGATATTATGTTACTATCAAAAACATGTATATTTTTAATCTATGATTATGATTAACATTATTCAATTTTTTTGCCTTCTTCTCCCCCATTATTTATTTTTAATACAACCTTGCACCCTAGTTTTCGCTGACTCTCTTACCAGCTTGGCGAAATCTTTCAAGAATCATTGCTTCATAATCTGAAAATGTCTAAAAAGAGAACAAAATTGGTTGTAAAAATTTAGATTAACAATAAATATTTCAAAAGAATTACTTGTGTAGCAGGTATAGTCGTTGTATTTTGAGTTTCATTTCCATATTTACTTTGACAAGCTGAAAAACCACTGTTTTGATCTGATGCAGAAGTCTTAGTAGAACTCTTCTTAGCCTCTTGACCATAATCCCCAATAAAACTCACTGTAAGAGGGTGATTTGGATATCCAACTTCTAAATTTTTGGCATTAATCTATATATATATACATAAATATTAAAAATGTACTTGTTTAAAGTTTAATTTAATTTAAAATGTACTCACAGCTGAAGTTTTAGATCGATATTCAATAAGAGCACATTTTTTGTTTCCCAAAACCACTATAGTTATGACATCACCATGCTATTTTATAAAATAGATTAGAAAAGATAAATGTTGTATTTGTATAGTGTAATCAAACTTTTTACAAAACAAATATCTGTAGTAATGTAAGCTGTTTTTAGGTTCATATAATAGACACAATCTTAATATATTTTATGAAATGGAAACCATAATTATTTACACTGTGTAATTGTTTTGTTTTAAATTTACACTAATGGTAACTTTTGTGAAATAGTGAAAATCTGAAAAAATCATTATGAAATATTATGACAAAATACATAAATACTATAAATATTAATAGTTATACATGTATACAGTTAATGTCACTATTAGTCACTTTTACAAATTTTCATATTTTATTAGTTTGTAATGATAAAAAATTTTCTTGATTATTATTTATCTGTTTACATATATACATTATCCAGTTCATTATTTGTGCATTTATTTTAACTCATATTTCATAAATTATTACATTATAATAATAAATTTTAAATTACAATATCAAACGAAAATAAGACATCTAAATTAAAAATCCTATACAGATTAAATAGTATAAAAATATTATCTACCAAATATTTTATTATAACAAAAATATGTAAAACATAATTATGGTATTAATAATAATCAAACATGTGTTTTAAATAGAAATATTACTACACATAAAACTCAGAAAATGAAACGAATAATATTGTATGGTAATCATGACAATCATGTATATTTTTACCATGTTTATTGCTTACATTAATTCTGATTTCAGTAAGCAGTACTCTTCTTCTCCTTTACTTTCTTACAACTATTTGGAGTCGGTCACTCGTCTTAATTTTCCACTTGCTCAATCCTCCACATCCTTGCAGCATACACCCACTGTCCACTATATACCAACCTCCTTTTATTTGGTTTTCTTCTATACTTTTTCTTTTACTTTTATTTGCATTACAATTCGTACTGCTTCTGATTCCTCTCTACTCATAACATGCTCAAACCATCTGTCTATATTCTCTTATTTTGTCTACTATAAAAGTAACACATAAGCTACTTCTTATGTATGCATTCCTTATCCTTTTGTCACACCACTCATCCACCTAAGAATTCTTATTTCTGCCTAAGTAATCAGTATGCAAATAATAATTATATAGCATGCTGTACGGTATATGCTATTAAATGGAAAAAACTTGTGTTCATTACATAAACCTAGAACAGCTTATTATATGTTTTGATCAAATTTCATAAGATTAATATCCATTTCATAAAAAAATTACACTATGTGAATGTGACATATAATATACTTATCCATTTTTTTAATTATAATTAATTACCTTAGAAAATAGAGATTTTAAATTATCATCATCATAAACTCCATTTTCTTTCCATTTTACTTTTAACTTGAATGAACCTAGCATTTCTTTTTTAGCTTCTTGTTTCTTAATCAACTCATTAACATAAGCTTGTTCTTTAGCGAGTAGAGCTGAACTTTCTTTTCTTAAACGTTCTAGTTCTTTCTATTCGGATAAAAACATGATGATATAATAATATAATACTGTAATATGTATGTTACATCTATTTGATGTTCTGATCAAATTCACGAAACAGAACTTTATTTTAAATTCGGAGTGTAGCAAAGAATGACGAAGATTTACAATGATAGCACTTTTTCTAAAAGGAAATCTAAATGGGGAGATACTTAGAAGTAATTTTTCAATTTTCCCAGAAGTTTTCTCAACAAATGTGAAAAACCAAAAAAAAAAAATGAAAGCAGGTATTGCACATATTAATTGAAAAGTATTCCGGTCTTCTTTTTTCCTGTGAACAACTTTTCTATGAGCAATTTGTCACACAAAATTTGAAAAACATGTATAGTTATAGTTACAGATAATATTATCTTTGATTGGTAACTAAGTATTATTGAAGCTGATAGTTGTTACAATACTTGTGGTGATGTTAGGATAATTAAAAAAAATTCAATTTTGTTACAATAATATTACTTTTATAGTTTACAGATAAGTAACAGAAAAATAATAAAGTTGAAAATCGAGGATTGAGTTGTAGTATAAAATGGCTGTCTTTAAACACACATTTTTTTACCAAAACGTACAAAATTAATTGAAGTATAAATATTTGTATTGGCAACTATTGCTAATGACTGCTAAATTTCCATGTCCGTTTCATGAAAAGTTATCCATGTAATGTAATTATGTGTTGAATAAAAAATGAAATTCCATTTCATGAAATAGATGGAAATTTCAATTATTTTACAAATCGGATCAGACTTTCAAATGGATGAGACATATATACATATTTTAATATTCAAAATACCTCAAAGTTACGTTCTACTGTATCTTTTTTGTTTCCTAAAGCTTCTCTTTCCCGTCTAGCCAGATCATCTATGAGTTTTTTTCTTTTTGAATCATACTCTTTTTCACGTAGTTTAGCTGCAAGTTTAGCATTTACTAACTTGTCATAAGCTGTCTATAAATAATGTGTGCAAATTAAATTACAAAACACATAATAGGTATTAAAAGTAAATAAATCTTACTCGTGCTGCAGTGTCTGTAAGAACAGCTAATATCTTAGATAGTTGCAAAAATAGTTGAGCAGCTTTAGGATTATCAGGATTTTTGTCTGGATGACATTGTAAAGCTTTTTTTCGGTACGCTGTCTTAATCTAATTCAAATTGTAATAAGGTATTAATTTTTATTCAATTTCTCAACTATTTATGTACATAAATATATAGTTTATAATGACTTACATCCTTTTCAGTAGCAGTCTGCTGTATTTCTAGTACTTCATAAAGATCTAAATCTTTTAAATCTGAATCCATTTTATTTATAAAATATAATATTTTCTAAGATTTTTCCGTTGACAATGGAAGTCTATGGAGTTATCACAATATCACATTTTATCACAGTAGGTATCTGCAGGACTGCAGCCATAGATAGATATAGGAATAGATAAGGGGACGGGTTCCGAAATATGAATGAGAGATAGATTACTTATAGTGCTCTTACACAGCAAGGGGTTTTATCATTAAGATTATATTTCAATATTTCACAATGATAACAACTCAATCAACATATTTATATTTGAATTTTGCTTATCAAAACAACTTCAAGTATTTCAATATAAAATATGATATGATAATAAAGTAATATTTTATTATCTATGAATTTTTGTTGTTCAGGTTTTTGTCGGTTTATTGAGTGCCTTATTATTGTTTCCTCATCGTAGTCCGTGTTTATTATTTAAAATTTATTATGATTTATCATTTTTGTATTTATGTTCGTGAAACTACGTTTTATGCGTGACATTTTTTTCGACGTGTTTTATTTCTGTTGTACTTTTAATTTTAATTTTGTATAAATAAAATTATTATAATGAACTGTGGTACACCGATTTTTCCAACTATGACTCCGAATATTGTGAACCCTTTATGGTTTAGTGTTGATGAACCTAGAAATGAAGATAACGAGCTGATACAAATTGAATCTACACACCAAGCCTGGGTATAACAAAAAAACGTTTAGATGTCAAAATATTATTATAATAATAATCTTTGGTTTTTAGTTACTTAGAGTAGTTAATAAGTTCAACGACAAGGAATTTCCAGTACCAATTGGCAAAACAGCAACTGAAGTAAAGTATTTGTTGATGCAATAGTAAACAGTTAAAATATACTGAATATTAAATAGGTACTTATTAGATTATTACCCATATTTCATTGTGGGAGGGTATCAGAATACACCTACAATCACATCTACTTGTCGTAAGAGGTAACAATGGGATTGCGTCAATTCTGTCATATAGTTTTAAACTAAACTTTGGCAGTTTGTTCCATCTCAGTTGTGTGCAGGGACAACAGTTGATAGGATGATTGTATGATTTTTGAAAATAAAATAACTTAGATATGTTAAAATCTGGATTAAGTTAAGTATTAATGAAATTAGAAAAAAAAGAATGAATAAACTGAAAAAAAATATTGACACGTATAATTTCTACATCATCTTCGTTTCGTTCCTATAGGTTGTTGGTGTCTTGGGCAACGAGTATGCTGGTGTGTTGGCTAGCTTGGCATAAAATATTTATCTGTCACGTCCCCCATTGCATCTGTACTCCGATCTAATGCCTATCCTCTGATAATCAGTTCGAAGTCTGGGAGCTGGAATAGGAAAACCTTCCCGACTCCTATGCCTCTACATATAGATTAGTTGCTCCTAACATCCCTACTCAATCATAGTTCCAGTCTACTTTGGGAAAATTCAGCCGGTTTATAATTGTCATATACACTAGACTATGCATGGGCCACAATTCGTTACCCAAACATGCTTATCATTTAGGTATAAATAGCAGCCCCACTTATACTCTCACCAACTGCAACAGAAAATATTGGGTTTTTTTCCACCTGTTAATATCTTGCCCTTCCCTCCACTCGGCTTAATTTTAAAAAAAAAGTTTTTTTCACTTCACGTTAATTTTTCTTATTCCGACGCCCTCTCCTCCAATAATGAAATTCTAATCAAACAAGTAACCAGTCTTGTTCTTCAAGCTGATTTTATAATCATAACTGTTGAGTTGTAATAATTTTTGTCAATATTTCATCTTCTTCTTCTTTCTTGGTTTCGGCCATTCAAGACCATACCTCTAGATAAACATACTGCCACCTATCCCTATCCTCTGCTACTTCCTGCCAATGACACTCCGGCTCCACTGTTTCAGTGTCTCTCCTTACGCAATCCTCCCATCTTAAACGCGGTCTTCCAAGAGGTCTCCTCCCTACTGGGTTTTCCTCTATTACTCTTCTTATTAATGAGTCATGTTTCCTCCAGGCATGTCCAGCCCAAACTAGCCTTCTTTTCTTTATCTCTTTCAGTATATCCGGTCGTTGAAAAAGGGATTGCAGTTCTTCATTGTGTAATTTCCTCCATTCATTTGTGAGAACATCATAGTATGCCCCATAAATTTTCCTGAGTACTTTTCTCTCAAATATTGCAATTCTTCGTTCTTCAGTCTTTCTCAGAGGCCATGTTTCTGCTCCGTACAGGACAATCGGCCTTAGCAAAGTTAAGTACATTCTAACTTTTAAATTCTTAGAGATTGCTCTTGATCTAAAAATTTTACTAAGTCCAAAGAAACATTTATTAGCTGATTGTAATCTCATTGAAATTTCTGTTTTAATGTCGTTATCTTGAGTTATAATTAACCCTAAGTATTTGAATTGATCCACTCTTTTAAATTTGTATTCTTCCACTTCAATGAATTCTTCTTGTACCTGATTTCCATTTCTCCCACTGACCACCATGTACTTTGTTTTTTCTTCATTAATCCTTAGTCCTACTTTCTCCGCAGCCTTTATAATTGATTTCTCCATTTTTATTATCATCTCTCTACTCCTTCCCATTAGAGAGATATCATCCGCATATGCCAGAATATTAATTGTCGATCGACCTAACTCAACCCCTTCACATAAATTGATTTCTCTTACTATCTTCTCCAACACTAAGTTAAATAGTACAGGAGAAAGCGCATCTCCTTGTCTTAAGCCTGTCACCACTTCCACTGGTTGTGACAGCGTATTTGCTAGCTTTACTTTAATCTTTGTTCCATTTAAACTTGCCTCTACAAGATTAACTAGCTTTTTTGGAAACTTAAATTCCCTAAGAATATTGATTAAGCTTGCCCTGTGGATAGAGTCGTAGGCCTTCTTGAAGTCCACAAATAATATATACACGTCTTTATTGAACTCCCACATTTTTTGAAGGGTCTGCCTAATCACAAATATTTGGTCTGTTGTTGACCAATATTTCATCAGAAAAAATAATAATTTCTGTTAATTGTATAGTTTATAAATTCCAGTCATCAGTTATAAGTAGGAACTTAGCTCTGATAGATGTGGAAGTCTTTTTAGATACACTCAATCTTTATAATTCTGTAATGTTCTTTTTACTGTATTTTCCTTCAGCATGGATTCAAGGCTTCTTTTTGAAAATTACACATTAACGCAAAAACTTGATTTACCTCAAAAATTATCTGTAAACATTTTAAATCAAAATTTCATATTTTCTTCTTTTGCTTTTTCAACAACACCAATGTATAAATCAACAACATGATAATGTTCTACATCTACAGTGAGGGTGAAAAGTATTCGTACACTCTACATTTTTAAATAATTATTTATGTTTCTTCATGATATTTTANAATAACAAACAAAACAATAAATATATAATAGTAAAAAATAATAATAATAATAAAAAGTTGTATCAAAAAAAATGCTTTTAAATTATTGTATAGCCTTATTTAGTACTTTGTAGGGTAGCCTTTGGACCTTATAGCCTCCAACCTCTTAGACATTGAATCAACCAGATAAAGTGTTGTTTCTGCTGTGATTTTATTCCATTCCTCTTCTAGAGCTTTTTTTAGTTTCCTTACTTGAAAAATTGTGATCTCGAATTTTTCTGTCCAAATAATCCCACAAATTCTCAATAGGATTAATGTCTAGGGACTGTGGTGGTGTCACAAGATATTCAGTTACATTGTTCGACAACCAAGCCTTAACTTTTTTTGCAGTATGCTTGGGATCATTGTCCTGTGTAAATATGAAATCATCTTTGATGCCCATTTTTTCGGCACTAGCTGCAAGATATGTCTTCAAAATATTTAAATAAATATATTGGTTCATAATTCCATCAATAAAGTGCAAGTTTCCGACACCCTGAGCACTCATACATCCCCAAACCATTACAGAACCTCCTCCATATTTCACTGTAGGCTGTAAATTCTTTGGTTCCATTTCTGTATTCGCTTTTCTCCAAACAAAACGTCTTCCATCAGAGCCAAAAATATTAAATTTACTACCTGGTAGGATGTGTAAATATACTTAAATAAATACAAATAAGTAACCACTATCGAAAATTTTGTAAAAAATTTATAATTTATAAACAATATTTTGACTAAGTATATATTTAACTTTACAATATTGATCTTATTTGTCGTCATAGATATTTGTAATATTATAAAATGGCGTTTTACTTAGTTTCCATATTATTTCATGTCTTAAAAATTTAATCATTACTAAATTTAATTTTTTTAACTTATATTTTTTTTACACAGAGATATAACGAAGTGTTTTTGGTGTGATATTAGCAATTTTTTTATAAAAGAAGTTGCGATTTTATTTGACTTTGTTAAACTTCAAGATGAATTTTGATCATTTTTTCTTCTTTTTCTTTACAAAATATTTTTAATTATTATTTATTACATACAATAATAATCCAGCTAGCAACGCTGGCCTCCTGTTATTATATCTTACATTTTCATTTGTAACTAGTTTTTTTTTTTTCTAAAACTATAATATAAACATCTTTTCCACCTAACAGAGGGTCCAGCGTCGTCGTCGCCGCAACAACGAGAGTAGATATTTTACGATATTTTCGTTAAATACGAAAAATCGGACTTGAAAGTACTTGAACATTTTGGGTTATAACTTTTAATCTATCTAACCAATCTGCTTGCGAGTTCCCCTGTTCCCATCTGCACAATATTTCTGATCGATTGATATCTTATACGACTTTTTATATTCAGCCTTTTGTCCTGTAGTGCTGGCCGATGGATTAACAAAAATTAACACGATTTTTCAATGGTACAACTCGATTTCCTGTTACTATACGTTAGTGGCTATTTATTTATATTTATAGTTTTACGCTTTTTTTTTTTTTTTTTTTTACTTCGCTTCGTGCCACTACTGTTGCGCTTTATGGATATACCTTAAATTTGTGTTTTATTCTCTTTTGTGTTATTTTATTATAAATTATTAATAAGTTAGTATGATGAATGTATGAATGGTGTTGTGAGAAGAGGATGTTGGAGGCAAAGCCCTCACATGTCACTTTGATCAACATAAAAACCCAAATTGCGCTTAGGTTCATTAAATAAATATTTTTAATAATAATAATCACACTATTTATTACCGTCTAAAATCTTTCGCAACTATTTAAAGCAGCGTTCCCCAAACTTTTTTTCCGTCGGACCCCTTAGAGATAGTAAAAATGATCGCGGACCCCTCCCCCCTTATACCNTATATAGTATTTTCAATTTACGCTCGTGGACCCCCTCCGGCATATATGCGGACCTCTAGGGGTCCGCGGACCACAGTTTGGGAAACGCTGATTTAAAGTATAACATAATCATATTTTTGTAATTTGTGTTTACCTCGTGTTCCATTCCGTTTCGACCACCATGTCCAATCGATTAATGAACATCATGTATAAAATCAAATAACTCTTCACACAATATTTAATTTAACTTTATTTTTACTATGCTTTACGATTAAATATCACCATTTATATTGCCCAACATACGAAGGGTATTTTATATATATTGTAGAAAATTGTAGAAAAAAACCCTCGATTAGTTGTGCAAAACAGATAGGTATGTAACAAGAACAAAAAGAGTGCAAAATTTATGTCGGTCATCCGGATTTGAAACTGGACCGCGAGTTTTCACGCGGTATAGACACAGATTAGATTAAAGTTCAATCTAATCTGTGGTATAGGTATTAATCATTATGCCTACGGCATTATTTAATTAATTCGATATTGTAAACATATGCATGTTAGAATAAAATATGAATCATACAAAAATGATTTTTTACATACATATCGGGTGAAGCATAATATTCGACCGGTCTGAAACCGTATGCAGTATGTTAATATATGCATCCGGAAATTTGAGTTCAAATAAATTAAAAAGTAAACAATGAGATAACAAAAGAAATCTCAGTGGCAGTTTTTATTAAACTAGGTGAGATCCTGAATTAGATTTCAATATGGATTTGAGTTGAAAAACCAGTGGCTGTCAACCTGTTAATGCTTAATCCATTTATGTAATAAAAACTTACTACTCATACTTTCTTTTATACTTAGTGTGTTGCATTTTTTTTTTTTTATTATTATTGATAAACATGTTTAACTGCTTTTGTATGCTGATTTATCAGTGTATTTATAATTTTCCATTTCCCTATTACCTACCCGACATGGTTTGGCATAATATTGTAGTTTATTTTCAATTTTTTGGTTTTTATTATTTTGCACCCATCCTCTGTAACTTCTATAATTGAATTTTTTATTGTTGAAGGATGTCATTAATTAATGAGAATTTTAACGAATAACTAAAACCAGGCCAAATAGACTTATTCTTTCTTCAACAAAAAAACTTTACCATCAAAAACTACAAATTAAAAAAAAATATTTAAAATGTCAATTTTTGAACATACTTTGGTTTAATTCCAAAAATATAATTTTTCAAGGTTTATTTTCAAATAACTATAAAAGTAAGTATGTTATCTAAGTTTTAATTATACCAACGAATTAAGCATTATAAACCTCACATTTAGAAAAACAAACATTTTTAAACTTACTTAGTTAGGGAATATATGTAATAGATAAACTGAATTGTTTTAAGTTTTCCCTCATAAATTCCTAATGCTGCAGTTTGCCTGACTTTTTATATTTTTAATGTATACATTAAAACACACATTTTGATAATTGTCATCACATCTTATATGTCCTTTTTTTAAATAGATACAAGAGGAGGATGAAGAAGAAGATGAAGAAGAAGAAGTCAATGCTTCAGATGATAGCGAAACCCATGATGAGGAAGAAGATGATGTAGAAATGGACGTTACAAATGCGTATGATCGAGATTCTCCTGTTTCTGTTTCTACCAGATAATTATTGAAACGTTGGTTCATCACGATTGACTACATCAAATTATTTATGCTTAATTTATTATAAACAATAATTATCAGTTATTACAATGTTATGTAACTGAATCGATAGTAAAATTATTATAAAATTTCCTAATTACTATTAATTGATAAAAATAAACTATACTTTTCATTACATTTTTTTTTTTTATTGATGAATGTCATTATAATCAATAATAAATACTTTTTATCATTTAATTACTTATTCGTTATTTTTATTACTGTTAAGACTTTTAAACACATATCAATCATCATTCATGAGTATCTGATAACTACTATGTCTATGATAACAACGCGGTATGTGCGCAATCGCAGTATTCAAGGTCAACAATTATAATAAATATTATACAGTAATTTAAATTTATAGGATTAGGAACACCTTTACATGTGGATGTTCTTTAATTTATTAGCAACTGTCAACCGTAAAATAAAATTGACTGTAGTATTTATTACTATTATATAGCTAATTTTCTTTAAAAAAAATTAATATGAAATAAAACTTCACAAATTATTCAATGTTATGGTACTTTAGTTAAAATGTTTTGCAGAACTATTGGTTTAGGTATACTTAGTGGTTCGATAGCGACTGCTTACTCTGTATACGATAATGATTTCAACATTGATTCAGTCGGCATTGTTCGATTTAGTCGAGCTACTATCACGGTAAGAGATTTATTTCTTATTTTAACAATTTAACTAAACATAAACTAGACATATTAGTAAAACAGTCAAATTATAGGGTTTACATGTTATGTACCATTACAAAACTACTCTATATGCACCATCAGTTGACAAATTGTTACCGAATTATCAAGAAATAAGATCTAAAGTATGTTTTTAGTATTTTATTGTGATATTAACTATTTTAACTAATATGATTGTGGAATTAACTGCTACAATTACTTATTTTTAGTCTCATGGAAAAGCAGCTGAAATGTTGTTAGAACTTTGCCGTGTAAACAAAGGTGTTTATATTAAGATTGGACAACATATAGGAGCATTAGAAAACTTATTTCCTAAAGAATACACTGACACATTAAAGGTTTTGCATAGTCAAGCGCCCATTACACCATTGAAATTAATTTACAAAGTGATCAAAGAGGACTTAAAACATGATGTAAAGTGTAACATTATAAAAACTGTGAAATTATATTATGTGTTATAGCCATATTCAAAATCAGATAATTTTGTCTATATAATTAATTCTTACAGGAAAACAGTATATTATGCAGGGTAATTAATTTAGTGTATAATATTCATTATTTCATTAAAGTATTGACTCTTTTCAAATACATTTTTTTTTTTTATTCTTATTTGTAGATGAAAAGACTGCCTGTTTTTAGTTTTCAAGTGGTAGTCTAAATTTATTAATTATTAAAATACATTTTAGTCTTAAAATTGTTTATTTCTGTCAGCCTGTTGATTATATATTCCACTTATGAATTTAAGTAAAGAGTGATCATTTGGGTGGTAGTACTGCATCCTTCATTTGCTCCACTACTCACTCCTTACTTAAACTTAAAAATGGAATATCACAACAAAAGCTGACAGAAATCAACAATTTCAAAATCAAAATTTATTTAAACTAACTCCATCTATTTATGGAATTTTTAATATAAGTTCTATCTTGAAATCAGAAGCAAATAGTATTATCTCCTCTTTAAAATAAAATGACGAATAATAATTAAAATATAACATTTTAGATCTGTTGGTTTCTTAGATTGTCAAAATAATTTTTTTTGAAAAAGTCAATACTTGGAAAAATAATAAGTGCTGTATGAATGAATCAGCATGTATAGATTACAGTATATGATATATATAAATGGTACAATAATGTTATTTAAAAACATATTTTTGCAACATTTTATTTACTTATAAAATTAATTGAAATAATTACTTTAAGAATATCTAAAGTATTAAATTTGCTTTTTTTAATATTTAAAAATTTTAAACAATTAAAAACATTAGACTATTTATTATTTCAATTAAACAACATATAACATAAGTGAATAGATATAGTATGTGATTGTTATGATTAGGATTTAATGCTTTAATTATTGATAAAATGGAAAAAATTAAATATTATTCAAAGTAGTGTAATTATACTATAAAATATACAATTTCCTTATTAAAATATTTGGTTTCTTATATATTTAAAGGTCGATGAAATATTCAGTGAAATAGATCCAAAACCTCTTGGTGCCGCTTCATTGGCTCAAGTACATAAGGCTAAGTTAAAGTCAACTGGGGAAGATGTTGCAATTAAAGTACAGCATTCATATGTTCGCGGAGATGCCAAAATAGATATTGCTATAATTGAGGTACCTACCTTAAGTTTATTTAATTTTCATAATATCATAATATGATAAAATTATTATCCATTATTCTATGAAATATATTTAAATATTATTATTGATTTGATACTTTTCAGTAATAACTAATAATATGAATTACATTATTTTAGATATTGGTAAAAATTGGTTCCTATATTTTTCCTGATTTTAAATTTCAATGGCTTGTAAATCAAACTAAACAAAATATACCAAAAGAATTAGATTTTATGATAGAAGCAAAAAATACTGAAACCATTAGATCAATGTTCAAACACTTGAAGTGGTTAAAGGTATTTTTATTTAATTATTAATTTGTATACGCATATTATTTATAAATATATAAACTTTATAAATGATACATATTTAATAATAACAATAATTGAAATAATTGATGATAAGTTTTCATAACATACAGATACCAAAGATATTCAATGAGTATAGTTCATCTAGAGTTTTAACACTGGAGTTTGTTGAAGGTGGACAGATCAATGATCTAGATTATATTAAACAAAATAGGTAAGTAATTATAATTATTGTGTGATTAAACTAAAATTGTATAAGTAATTAAACATTAAATTTAAACAATTTATAGTTGAGTTAACCAAAGATAGTTTTGGTACAAATCATAAAACCATAGTTAACTATTTTATTAAATAATCACATTTAGGTTGAAAGTAGGTGAAATATCCAACAAATTAGGATGTTTGTATAGTGAAATGATATTTAAAAATGGATTTGTGCACAGTGATCCTCATCCTGGTAATTTGTTAGTAAACAGAGATAAAAATGGTGAATTAAATTTAGTACTTTTAGACCACGGACTATATGCAGTAAGATTTGAAATAAATTTTTTTTTTTTAAAAAAAAAGGTTATTTTTTTAATGCAATTTATTTGTTTAGACATTATCTGATAGTTTTAGACTCACATATGCTAAATTATGGATGAGTATATTGAATAATAATCACAATAAAATGAAAAAATATTGTACCAAACTAGGAGTAGCTGAAATGTATGGTTTACTCGTATGTATGGTAGCCGGGCGTACTTGGGATTCAGTCCAAGATGGCATTGTTACTAAAAAATTAACTTCTGATGAAGTAATTTGAATTGTACCTAGCAGCAATTAATACAATGTTTTTACATTCATTTGTTTTAATTTTAAAGAAAGAAAAATTTCAAAGTGGAATCCCTTTAGTGCTGACTGAAACCTTATATATTCTACAAACAGTAAATCCTCAAATTTTATTGTTACTTAAAACAAATGATTTAATACGTGGCATTGATACAACTTTGGGAACATTATCAAAGTAAAGTATTTTGTTTATTTATTTATTTAAACTTTAAAAAGTATAAATAAATTTGTGTATGATTAATATTAGGTTGACATCTTTACGTCCAATGACGGTAAGCTGCATAAATGCAGTATATGATAAACCTTTACATACAAGTTCATTTTGGAAACGATTAAGAACATTATTCCAAAAACAATGGTCACTATTAAGAGTTAAATTATTTTACCTTTATATAAGTTTTATTGATAGTGCTTAATAAATATTTATAGTTTAGTAAAATTCAAATTTATTTATTTTTAATTTAATTTAATACATACAATTATGATTATTTGTATCCAAATATAAATTTGACATATATATATATATATCTATATAAAATTAATGACTTTATTTACAAAGTTACAAGTGTTTAAGAAGTAAAAAATACATGTGATATCAGTTAAATGGATCTACATCAGTTACTAATCCTGCATTCAGCTCAAGTTATATTACAGTCCACTGCCATTATTCAATTTTATTATACAACAAATTATTTTTATTATCTGATGTACATTTTTACTATTTAGTTAAACATGAAATTTATTTTGAAAAAATATATATATATTATATATACATACATATTATTGATTTATTATTATGTAACCATATGTGTAAAGTTCATTCATTTTATATGCTTGTTAAAAATTAAGCATTTTACCACTTTAGTCCATAATTATTTAAATTTAAAATATTAATAACATATATTAATCATAGGGAAAAACCATTCACTAACTTTAAGGTCCTTATTCAACAGCCTATTCCACCAATTTGTCTGACTACCAATTTTAGAAAATCTATCATTCATTTTTTACCTTTGTAATCATAATAAAAAATATCTAAAATATAATTTTTTTCCGTTGATAAATATTTTAATTAAAATACTCAAATCATCAAAATCAGGGATCTTTTTGAAAGCCAATTTCATATTGTTAGTGAATGTTTCTATTTTCATAATAAATATTATTTTATAAGTAGTATATCTTAAAATAATCATAGAGATCTGAAATGTTTATCAAAAATGTATAGAAGCATTTTTTAAAATAATTTGTCTATTTTTGAGTTAGTTAAAGATAATTAAAATTTTTGCGAGATTTTTTTAAATTTTTATTTTCAGTTATAAATGCTTGAACAATTTGATACAATGTCATCATAAGTTTTTTCTACTGCACAAAAATCAAATTTGATATGCCAACATTTTTTTGATAAGTGGAATTTATTGAAAACAAAAAATTATAATTATAATTTTCTAAAACAGTGCACAATAATTAGATACCATCACAAAATTATACGAATAAATAACTATATTCTGTGGTAGTAATTTCAATAAATTGTATTTTAATTAAATAGATAAATTTATATTAAATTTTAACAAAACTAATTGGTCAATTATTTTTTAATTTAATATATAACCAGAGTCTAATAATGGCACAACAAATTATATATAAATTAGATTTAAGAATTACAATCCATCTCAAATGCACAAGGATTAAATGAATAGGTATTATATTCCAACAAAACATTAGAGTACATAATAGTATATTTTATCGTATATTATTTAAAGATATAATGTATACATGATAATATTATAAAAAACTATGTGTATAATAGTTAAGTTATTTATTTATAATATAGTAACAGAATTCATAGTAATTAATATTGTATTAGTATAATATAATAGTGAAATGAAATACTTAATTATTAAAAAATAGTAATAATAAGGAATATAAATATATTATATTTCAAATATTAATGTATAGGTATAAACTGAAAAATACACCTACACAACTAGTATTACACAACTAGCTTTAAGCTAAATTTTATATTATTATGTAGTATAATTTTTGTCTAAATTTTGTATAAATTAATATTTTAAATATGTAAATTTCTTTTGGATACTTAGTACATTCTTATTAATTACTAGTAGTTTGGTGAACAGTAGAACTTAAGAATATCTACTGTAAAAAGGATTAAAAAGAATGGGAGGAAAATATATAATTATAAATGAAACACTGAAAATATAGATAGTTGGTTGATAAATAAGGTCCAGACAGTTCCTCCTTCTAATTAAGTACCTATATGAAAACTTCTCCAATAAAAATCATATTATACATATAAATTGCCTAAGCCTTTGAAAATTATATATTATATACCTATTAATAATTAATGTACTTCCCAATTTTTAACAAAGAAATTAATTAATGAGGAAACACAAGAAACAAATAATTTGGGAAATTATTGTTTAACTAAATTATAACAGTAAATTTTTAAAATACATTGATTAATTATTGTATTATAAGTTGAATTAATTAAATATTCATAGCTAAGTTAAAAATTATATTTTTAAGGCAAATAATGTATAAATAATTAACTTTTCAAAAGAATATATATTTTGAATCACACAATTTATTATGATTAAATAAGTTTAAATTGTTAACATTGCTAGATAATAGTAGATATTTTAAATATACCTATATAATATTAATTTTATAATTAGCAACATGCATAGTGCATGTGTAGGTATTTTTATTCAACAATAATTCCAATAAAAGAATTATTAAGAAACTTACAGATTACAGTTAGAAGACAAAAATCAACTACCTGGTATGCAATTTTCTCTGAAAGTATTCAAACTAAAGAAAAATGTTTTATTTTGATAGGTATGTTTTATTGCATAATATGTATAAGTTTTGGGTTATTGTATACGGTTATTTTTAAAATCAATTTGTATGATTGAAAATATACTTTCTAGAGCCTCATTTATTGTGATAAATTTCTAACACCACTATAAATATGAATTAATGTTATTATAATACTTTAGGTAATTAAATAAGTATTGTATTATTTATAATACAATTGTAAAATATGTAATAACAAATATGTAATGTATTATTTATTTGGGGTAAAACTTTTTTTTCAAATTACGTATTTATATAGCTTATAATTTAACTGCAATATTTTAAACAATAAATGACTAGATTCATATTTTAAATTATTAAATATTATTTACTTATGTTAAGGTAACAAAATGGTATTTCTCACTTTGATAATTATTGATTACAATGCCCTGATTTAAATAAAAGCTTAAAATATATTACTTATTTTTATTACCTGTATTTTATTATTATTATTTTTTATGGTGTTTTTTATTTAAATAATCACATTTTTAAGTATCAAGGGGAGAAGCATACAAAATTGTTGGACCCTTCAGAATTTTTTTTTATCATTATACAATTTGACCATCAATAACTAAAAAATTGTTATAAATAAAAATTCAAAAATTAGGTAACAAATGTACTTTATATTGTTATTTATTTCCTTTTAGAATAAATATATTTTAAAGGGTAAGGGGTAATACTAATATACAATATAATATACAAATATAAACACTTATGATACATATTATATCTTAAAAATACATAAATATGTAAAAATTGGATTTAAGTTTAGTGTATAAAATGTAGTATACTCTCCAAACAAAGACGTCCATCTTCAAAAATTAAGGAGTTAAGGCCAAAATTTTGAATTTTATTTTTTATTGATATTGACCTTTTAGGTTTGAAATGGAGCGGGATGTATTAGTTTTATAATGTTTATTTTATGTTTTTATCTGTTAACTACTTTTCTACCAGAAATTTTCAAGTTTAGCACCTATTTAGAAAGGAAATTTTACCTGGGTAATACTAAAAGGGGGGTATTTATTTGATTTTTCAAGCAATTTTCATAATAATTGGAAGAAAATGTATGAAATGTATTATTTTAAATTTTAATTTTGATTCAATTTTGTAAGTTCATTATAAATCATACTTTGTGATTAAAATAAAAAAATTGAGTGTAATGTAATTTTTTTTTATAAGAATTTTAACACCAAATTTTGGCAAAAATTAAAAATATTACAGCCTTTCAAAACATGTATAACCAAACTTCGATCAGAATTGTTTTTCATTAGCAAAGGTTAATTAGTTCCGTACAGATACATATTAAATTCCCCTCTATATCCCCAACCTTCCCAACTTCTCACCTACAATAGTGGCTCACCCATTGTGCGAGTTATGTATATCTTTTTGAAGTATTTCTAAAATGGTTCTCCACCCGCAATTCTGTACTACTGATTTGGAATAACTATTATATATAATTAATAAGTTATTAAATTTGAAACTATTGATATCTATATCTATATCTACATTATGTACCTATATATGTAGACTTCAAATATATATAGTATATATTATTTAACTGTGACAGCAGGACGTGAATATTTAAAAAAAAAAAATGGATTCTTATTCGTAAATAGATTCAGAAAGCCTCAAGTTTCACCTTATATTTGCTCTGATGGTCTTAAAAAAAATTCAAGGAGTGAGATGTTTTTATAACAATTATAGCTGTTGAGTAGGTATGGTACGATAAATGAATGGGTTGTCCACCAAAATATTTGCCTCTCATAAATTTTGAATTTGCCTTGCCACTGAATTTAAGTAGGGAAATCTGGGAAAATGTCTCCTATTACTCTCACCACTCCATGAACGTCGATGCCTTCAAATACACCATTATAGCTATTATTCAAATACATTTAATACCGATAAATATAAAAGTATTATGTTATAAATCATAAGATTGTATGTTTTGGTTAAATTCATGTATAATGTTTATCATTAGGAAAAAAGCTTAATTTATTTCAGTTCTTTTGGTTACGGGTACACAGCACTTAAATTATAAAAGTAAATAAACATGGAACTTTTTAAAATTAGTTGTGTACATTTATTAAATTAAATACTACTATTTTAATACTTAAAATTTAATATTTGTGGTTCTTTTTATATTTTATACTTTTTTTATTGCAAACAATAAGTTAATTTAAAAATTATTAGGTACTTTATTGCATATAATTAATAAAATTAATTATAGTTTACTTTAATGGTATGAAAATAAAGTTTACCTTAAAATTAAGCACTTTGTTTACTGTAATATATTTGAATATCATGAATTGTTTAAAAAAAAATTATAAAGAGCATTTATAATAACAGCATGGTAACTTTAAAGTTATTTTATAAATTAAATATATATATATATTCTTAACCTAATAAATAATGATTTTGGTGTATTAAATCATTTAAATTAATTTTTTGAATTTTAAATAAATAATTTTATTTTGATTGAGTTGAGATCAATATTTAGTTGTAACTTTTTTCTCTCAAAAATTGTTTTTTTCTGAACTATTATTATGAAGTCTATTTTTAAATAGTAGTAGAATTAAATACAATAGTTTATATACTGGTTTAGGTATAATTATAGATTAAAAGTATTACTAATTGATTTCTAAATATGATTAAAGTTTTTAAAGTTTAAATATACCTAATAAAATTATATATTTATATTATAGTTCATAATTTGATTAGCAAAGAATTTTATTTTTTTATATTTTGTAGATTAGTTTATTTGAAAATTAAGATGAAGTGTTAAATATTAATTTTATTTATAGACTACTATAATAAACAAATAGTAATATTTTTAATTTATAAGTAAATTTTGTTGAATAGGAGCTGAATCATTTATATTTTGATGATACCTTTTTTTATGTTTGTTTAAACCTGAACATCTTGTAAATGTCTCCTCACAAAAATCACATTTATATGGTCTTTCACCAGTATGAATTCGTCTGTGTTCAATCAAATGAGAATTTCTCTTGTATCTGTTCTCACACATATCACAGCCATATGGTTTATTACCACCATGAATTTTCCTGTGTTCGATAAGATTGGACGCACGCATAAATTGTCTAGTACATATCTCACACTCATATGACCGTTCTTGACTATGGATTTTACGATGAGTTATAAGATTAGCATAATGTGCAAATGTTTTCTGACAAACAGTACATACATAGGGCTTTTCACCAGTGTGTACTCTTGTGTGAGCTATTAAATGACCAAGCTGATGAAAGGCTTTGCCACACTCCAAGCACTGATGATGTCTTTCTCTTCGATGTGAACGTAGCAAATGACGTTTTAGTCCATAAGTGTTGGAAAAACGGTCATTACACAGATGACAGTTAAAAGTTTTTGTGTGCATACGTTGATGTTTGGCCAAATCAAATGTATTGGAACAATGGATGTCACATATTTCACATCTAATTAAATTAGCATTTTTAGAAATAATGTAAATTATTTCTTCATCTGGTAGTTTCACATCATTAGCAAAGAGGTCCAAGCTACCATAAGGAGCAGCGGAAATTTCAGAATATGATTGAGTATCATTTGTACAGCTAAAAAATAAATATTAAGTACCTTATAAGATTTTTATATAAATTAATATATAATAAAAATGGACGTGTAAGAATTATACATTTTAATTTAAGTGGAAAAAAATACATAGGCACCAAATTATTGGGTATATTGTTACAATTAAAAATCACTTACTAGTGAACAACAGATATTCCCTACTAATTTTATTATTATTCAAATTTTTAAGTTTAAAATACCATCAATAATTAATTCCTTCAAATAGCTTGACTTTGGTGGATGATAACATGTTCAATGATTTAGAATAGTTCTTTATATATATATTTATCTCAATTCTCTAATTTACTGTTTTGGATTTCTAATTTAATACTGTTGAACCAAAAAACCTAATGGTGTAGGTATAATTGTATTGGTAATCTATTTCCCTCTATATATTTGATATTTGGGTTTCTAATTATTATATATGATACACTAATAAAACATATACAAACTAAATGTTGTCAATAATAAAAACAAAAGAAATTAAATCAATACACCAGATAATTATAAAAAACCCTAGGATTATAAATGAAAGAAATTTACAAAATTAAAAAATTTTAGCACAAAAAAAAATTTAAATAATATTTCAAATAATACTTGTCATTAAAGCTAATCAATTCAATAATAATAATACACACTAATATTTTTCAATTAGCCTACACATTCACTATTATTTTTAAAATAAGTATTAATTTATAACTGGGATTTGTCCCATGAAGATACACTCATTGCATTATCTTTTTAGATAATAAAGTTAATCAAATTCTGTTTTTTTTTTTATATATAAATATATAAGTATATTACTAGCAAGAATAAGGACTACAAATATTTATATTTGAATTAAATTTTTATGTTTTGACAAACAACTAAAAAATTAATTGTTTACTATATTATTTTGAAAAATTTGAAGATAATAATTTTGAAGAATTTATTCTTTTGAAAATATTGATGCATTAATTTCTATTTTCATTAAATTCGTGATTTTTAATAATTTTTAAAGTTCCAAGAAAAGTACCTATTACTATGCAGCAGGGTGTAATCACATTCACTAATTGATTATTGTTATCATGGCTACATGGCTAATGACTTTACATACTTTTACTTTAAACTTTAAAAAAATATTAAAAATCACGAATTTAATGAAAATAAAAATTGATACATCAACATTTTCAAAAGAATAAATTCTATAAAATGGCTATCTTTAAATTTGTTTAAATAATTCAATATAAAATGATTTAACTTATAAGTTTTTTATCAAAATATAAAAAAATGAATTGAAATAAAAATATTTGTATCTAGTAGGATCCTTATGAGTACTGTAAGTAATATAAACAAAACATAATTTGGTTATCTGTATTATGGAGATAATACAGATAATACCGAAGGGAGATTTTGCAATGGGTATGTTTTTTTAGTTAACACTTTTTGGAGCTTCAAAATAAATTTTTTTTTTTTTTGCTAAAACGACTGTAATAGATCAAAAGTTTGTGGGAATAGACTTTGAATCTTTTGCATACCAGTCAATTGCTTTCCTAAGCTCTGTTATCTAGTAACCAATATATTATTAATATTAAATTAGGTAACATACGAATATATCTTACCTTGGAGGATCATTTGTAGTAGTATTCTGATTGTTTTGGTAATTATTTATATCAGTACGATCAAAACAATCATCAATATCAAATAAATTTACAATATAATTTTGATTACTAAAAAAAAAATATTAATACACAAAGTACCTACTGTTAGTTAAATAATAAAATTAAAATTATCATTGATTTTATAAAGAGTCAACTTACTTATTATCTTCGTGTGGTATAGAAGTCATTAGATTTATTGTTTACAAATTTATAAAATTACCACAGGGCGAATTCGAATTTAGTTTTCAAAATTTAAAAACAGTGAAGAAGGTAGGTAGGTATTAAAAATTGATTAAATAAATAAATAGGTATTGCAGAAAATCTAAACTAAAATTAGTTTTTTTTTTTTATCATTTTGCTGTACCATAGTCAAGAATATGAAATTATTGATCTGTATGCCATATGATTCTGTACAATAGGGTGGTTGGTCCATCCTACGAACATATTATAATATGTATAATAATCCACCCTTAGGTCGTCCAATAGCGACGTTCAGCGAATTAACGGCTTGGTAAATAAAATTAGGTGTAACACTGTTGTTTGAATGCCCAACGATCTTAACGGCTCTGTAAATTATTGTTAATCAGCCTTATAAATTAATGTACGTAGGTACTATTTTTCTTATATTTTATTTGTTCTGTGTTATATTAATCAATTTATTATTATAATATAAAAAAAATGTATTTCATACCAACATATTTAACCTGTGTAAATAATTACTAAATAACTAATTTTGAAAATGCGACATAATACATTATTTCTATTATCAAATAATATTATTATGGTACCTTCATAGTTCATACCAAGGTGGATTAATCCTATGAGCTGCTATATTACTATGTACTATCCTAATACTATGCAAATTGCAATAACTTTTTACTTTACAACTACCAAAGTAATAAGGTAGTTCCTTGATAGCCACTATAAAATCACATCTACTGTGATCTATTATGGATTCCTCGATCCCTATCATTCCATTTTCTACAGATTGTAGTATCCAAATCCATATATTATATTATATATATATGCATATTTTTATATCTTAAATCTACTTTGAATATGGCGCGTTCGTTAATCGTGATAGCTGATAAAACCCATTATTCCATGAAATTTAAATTCTAAATTATTATATAATATGCAAACCTGTAATTAATTTTTAAAAGGTTATAGAAAAATAACTGATTATACAACATGCTGTATAGTCTATTATCTATACTTGCTGTAGAAGTATTAAAATTATAAACACGAAAAGATAAACATAATTTCAAAAGTTTATTAATGAAATGTCTTTAAATTACAGTAGATACTTTTTATAATTTACGAAACGTCACATTTACTATGGACATTTTATCTAAATTTTGTCTCAATAATCAGGTAATTCTTAATTTATTTATTTTAACATTATAAAAGACCCATTTTAGTTTTATATATAAATAAAACTTTACAGCTACATGCAAATCACATAATTTTTGAAAATTTGTAAGATAATTATTGTGATTAAATTAAACAATAATTACCCACACCCGTAATAAATTAATACATAATGCATTAATATAGATGATAATGAATATAATATTTAATTTTCTATAAGATAATTGTTTTATTTAACTTTCATTTTTAAATAAGTCTCTACCATTATATAATTTGTTCATTAGTTTAGATATTTTATTCTTTACAGTATGGTAAATTTGGTTTTTAATATCTCTTTAGATTGTTGCCATGCGTCACATAGTGCGTAAATCAAAAGTGCATATAATAAACAAATTATCTCGAGAAGCAAAAAAGTTAAAAGAAAAAAAAGGCAATGAAAAACAAATTGAAAAAAACAAAAAAAAAGGTGAACGTTTTGTCAATGAATTAATGGTTATAAAGGTATACCTACAACTTTATTATTTAGTAAATAATATTTAAATTAGGGGTGGGCTAATACTTAATATTGGCTTACTTGAAAAACCAATAGTTTTGGAGAAAAATTTCTGTTTTGTCTGTATTATGAAAAAAGTATTAATGAATTGGGTTTTTAGCCAATATAAGAGTTGATTTCAACATGGTTTTAAATTTAAAATATTGGATATTATGTGGTTTCGGCCCATTCCTAATTTATATGATATTTTTTAAAAGATTATTTATTGTTTTATGTAGAAATTGAAGGATGATATCGTAACAAAGTATGCTTTACAAAATGAAATTCCGCTTGCCACAATATTAAATAATATAGATATAACCTTGGAGGCCAGGGCACTAGCAAGGTTAGCTGGTCATAAGTTTATAACAGATGCAGTTCAAAATTTTAGAAATAAATATCCTGATTGGAAATTCAATTTAACAGAGCTTTTGAATGAATTGGGGTCTAATTATAAAACAAAACACAAAAAACAAAGAGGAAATAAATTATCTAAGATTAAACCAAAAGAAAAATCTAAAATTCTTGAAAAGAATAATAAAACAATTATGGATGTTGAAGATATTCAGTCTGAATCCAAAAAATCTATAGAAAGTGAAAATCAAGATGAAGATTATGAAATGGATTTTAACAAATCACCTAATATTACATCTGAAGAACCTCAAGCTGAAGTTTCATTAGTCAACAAAATGTTATCTGTAGACAATAAGGAAAGTCAAAACAATGAATTAAAATCTGCAATTTTCAACAAAGAATTTATTGACTCAGAAAGAAAAATAGATTTAAGTAAATGTGATACAATTAAACAACTTCAAGAAGTTAATGTTTCAAATACACAATTACCAAATTCAAATTTGTCAATAAATACACCTAACTATACTATTACTGACAATATAGATATTAATAAAAAGCCATTTAAAAGAAAAGCTGGTCAAATTATATCAAAAAGAATTGACTTAAAGAAAAAACACATTATGACAGATGATGTTACACCAATTTGTGAAACTGTAGATTCATTTTTTATGACCACTGATGATAAAGATTATCTGTCTGTCTACAAACCTCCACCAATAGTAGAAAAAAACCTTGTTGAGCGCCCAAATTTGGAGTGTCAAAAACCAAAAGAAATTTTCATTAAAGGAAAAAAATTGATTATTGGCAAAAAAAATAACATAGGTAATCGAAAGGAAAGAAGGCAACAAGTTGAAGAAACTGTTGATACTGTGTTGCATCCATCTTGGGAAGCAAAGCGTAAACAAAAATCTTTAGTGAAATTTGAAGGAAAGAAAATAACATTTGATGATCAGGAATAATATTTATTAAAAATAATGTTTAATTCTATGTAAATAAAAAAATATGATTATACATTATTTATGTTAATTCTTCAAATATTTCTTGGTTTTAGGACTAGAAAGTGTGACCAAATTTACTCTTTTCTTTGTAGGAGGTTCAGAAAAATCAAGTTTTTGCTTTTCTTCTTCTTTTGGTTTTATTTTAATCTCAAAATCGTTATTTGGAACTTCATCAATATCTTCTAGAACAGATTCTTCAGTCACCATCATTTTGATTTCTGAATAATACGGAACGCCTAATTCTTCTTTGCTAAAACTTATAATTGAACAAAATCCATCTGACGAAGATACTATAAGTAATAGTCCATCCAAAGACCTAAACATTTTACATAGCTTCCTGTTTAATGATGGTTAAAAATAAAATATTTATGTATCTAAAAATAATAAAACTACTTACCACGATAGGTCTGTTAAGCGTGTATAGTGTATATCACCAATGTAGGCAAATGGTGTAGCATGTTGAGTGTCCATCAACAGAATACTTGAATTAGTGGCAATGGCATAAACCATTCTATAAGGTAAATCAAATATTGATTTTGTGTTTTCTTTAAGTTCATACAAAATCGGTGAAAATTGAATAGCTACTGAATATTGGTCAAGAGATGGTACATATAGCACAGGTTTAGTAAATGATTTTCTAGCGAATACATAACTAACATTTGTAGTACTTTTATTTTTGGTTTGTTCATCAAATGTCTCTAAGATACCAGATGAAGTTACAAGAATTTGACCATCAGGTGAAAATGACAAACGTCGAAAGAAAGACTTGAGAGTATCGTCATGGAATAATCTACTTTTTATTTCTTCTCCATCTCTTTTTTTTCCCAAAGGAACTGATTTATCACATTTATTCAATAATTTACAATTATTTGCATTAAATATTCTTAAAGTCCTGAAAAATGTTATATAATACATTAATAAATTAACATGATATTTTATTCTCAAAATATAATTATTTTTTCAATTAATTTTAGTGTGTTTTTAAAAATAAATTTAAATAACCTACCTATACTGTTAGTATTCAAAATTTTACACTAAATACAGAGGTGGCCAAAAGTCACGCAACTAATTTGCAACACAGTTTTTATAAAACTGTTGTTTTATGTAAAATATGTTGATTTTTTATAAACCTTCCTGTTGTACGTAAACAAGATAACGAGACCAAAGTTACAATATGACACAACGGAAACGACGTGGAGGGAGAAACTGCGCCGTAACGCGCGTTCCATACAAGACCGTAGGCGTTGCGCGACTTTTGGCCACCTCTATATTATACTATTTGTGTTTACCTTCAAAAAAGTTACAAAAAAATTGGACTATATTAATTAAATTTATTATCTGATTGACTATTGATTAACATACTTAATAATATTTGTAAAAACACCCCTATGGCAAATATATTTCAGTGTTAATGTTATTATCACTAATTATTTTTGGTTTTTAATGTTTTTAATAATAATATCATTTATAATTCAATCTTTCTATGATTAGTTTAATTTGAGAAGTAACACAAAATACAAATGCATTTAGGAATATAATATCGCTCTCATACAAAACAAGCTAATTGTCTACATTTTTTAAACTAAATGTAATTTATCAAAATGTGTGTGGCCTAAGAACCAAACTTATTTTTTTGTAATCCTGTTTTAAATACATTTATTATTTTTATCCGAAACTTAGTGTTGTTGTAATATATTAATGAGTGAATTATTAGGTCATAATTAGAGTCATAATTACTGAAAAGGTATCTAATTTAATTTCTAAAAATCTAAGTATCTACCAGAACAGTTTACTTTCAAAATAATATATACAGACAAATTTATTATTATTCCAAAATTCCCCAACAAAATCCTTAGAATAACCATTATAAATAAACATAACATTTAAACTGATTTTCAAGGTAAAACATAGGGTATATTATATCATAAAATAAAATCTTTAAAGATTTGGAGGAAAATTTCTAAATTAGCTTTACCCTTATCTCACTAATTGTATACAATCAGTAAAAATCTCGTTTTACTACTCTGATAAATATCTGGTGACCTCGCATGTTCCGCAAGGCTCTCACCTAGAACCATTACTATTACTTATTTTTATAAATGATCTACCATTGATACCAATATTAACAATTTGTTTCCAGATGATATAAAAAATTATGCTTTGACATTAAATCTGTAAATAATGCAAATATATTACAATCTGATCTAAATAAGTTTTGGCAATAGAGTGAACAAAATCTTCTTCCTTTAAATATTAATAAATGTCAAATTATCACTTTTATACAAAGTAAAAGATCTAATAATATTTCAGTACTAAATTAATAACTATTCTCTTGATAAAATAAATTATATTATAAATTTATGTGTCTACTTTGAAAATGATTTATCTTTTTAATTAAATCATAAAATGATTATAAATAAATTGTATAAAACGCTAAGTTTTATCAATAGAAATACTAAAAAGTTTTAAAACCATATTTGCTTAAAAAGACTATATATTTCATTAGTAAGATCTAACTCCAAATTTGGTTCACTCATTTGGTATTGTAATTACTCAAAATATATAAACGATCTTGACAATGTCCAATACAAGTTTTTGAAAAAAATTACTTATGTCTCTAATATACATATCACTAGAAATACTGTTAACATTGTTAAAAACATCTTGAGACTAGATTCACTTAGTACAAGGCTTAAATTAACATTTATTATATTAGTATACAATTTTTTAAAATAACCTCATCTACTCTCCTGAGTTATTTATCTGAAATTGGTTTCTGTAAATCATGTAAAAACACAAGGAACTTAGATCTATTTGTAATTCCTAATTATGACACAAACAGTGGAAATCATATATTCTTTTCAAAAACTTTTATTTTGGCCAATACGATTTCCATCAAATTAATTCTTTGCAACATATTTAAATTTAAGGCTTTAGAACTAATAAAATTATTATATTAATATTAATTGTGATAAATAATATTATATACTTATTATTTATGTACATGTCAGAAATGTTACAATAGTTATTAAAATCTTGTAAATAGGGCATTTGCCCATGAATATAAAATAAATAATATACATTTGTCACTTACACTTCTTATCAAAATTTTAAATCCTGGTATAAAAACTAAAAATTGATTAATAAATTATAGATTATTATCATACCTGTCACTACTTAGTGTGGCAGCATACTTATTTAAAGGATCCCAAGCCACTCCTTGAACAAAACCTTTATGATCAGAAAGAATAGATTTATATCGTCCTAGAAAATTTAATTTTCACTAACCAAATTACAAGTTACAAATTACTAAAAATTAAACTTATTTGTAAACCTATAATTATTACCACTATTAATATCCCAAATAATTGCTTTATTGTCAACACCTCCGGATACAAGTCTTTTAGAATCAGGAGACCAAGATAAATCGTATACATCTTCTAGATGACCTCTCAAAACACAATGACATACCCATTTTTCAAGATTTTTTGATTCGTTATCTTCTAACAGATCGGGTCGTTGATCAACACCATTTTCGGGTTTGAATTTCCATAAAACTATAACAGACTCTGGAAAAAAATTAAAAATAATAAAACAAATATACCTAAAAAATTTCAAGAGACAAATAATCAACATACCATCATCACCACTGGCTAACCATTGTCCATCAGGTGAAAAACGTACAACATTAACGGCTTTTTGGTGCTTTGTTAAATTGGCTGCATATTCAACATGCACATTCTTACCATCAACTTTGATTCGCCATATCTAAAAAAAAAAGATACATAAAAAATGAATATAATTCAATATCAATCTTTAGCAAATAAATAAGGTTTTTACAAAAACATGAGAATCTGATCCACCCGTAGCCAATCGATAAAATCCATCTTCATTGGTGGGTTGAAAGTGAACACTAAGCACTGGGTCACGATTGTGCCAAGAGATTTCTGGAATCACTAGTTTCATAATTGTAAAGTAATATACAGTATGTAGTAAAAATAAACAAATAAAAATGTATATATTAATATTGATATATTTGGACGTTATACAACCAGTTAGTATGTTTACAGAGACACGATATAAACTACAGAGGAAAAGTAAATATTAAATAGTGACCAAATACTGAATATATCCTATGCCAGTTAAGTGAACTGCATATTATGGCTGATGGACTCTGATATATTATTAATTTGTCATTTGGTATCAGTAATCATCAAAATATTGCAGCAACCTTGATGATCTAATATTTTGGCGGGAATATATTATCAACACAATGAGAAACATGTTTTAAACCTAACCTAACCATGTATACCACGATAAAAGATAGTATCTTGAACCTAACTATAATAAACACCATGAACACATTATTAAATACCTACTACATTGAATTTATAATATTGTATAACTATTAATATACTTATACCTATATAACTCAACACACTTGTTAATTAAACTATAATTAGATATTTATAACAAATCCATAAGTTAAGATAAAGTACTCTATGAATCACGATTATAAAGAATCTTTGTAATCGCGCTATGAGCCAAACTATCAATGGCTCAAGGTGTATTGAAATCAATACACTACACATTGCTATGGCCGTACGATAGAGTAATATAATAATGTATGATTACCATGATTTAAGATAATGAATCGCGGACGTTTCGTCCCCGGCAATCATTATGATAGGTTTAATATTACGCTTCGTCCCGGAGAGTTATTAGCGATAGAACGTTTGGTCCCTGGCATACTTTTGATAATCTATAAATACATTAATTTTTAATGAAAAAATTAATACAATATAATTACAAATTGTCAAAATTTAAATAAATCACGATTATATTAAGTCAACACAAAATATCGTAAAAATTAATAAATTAAAATTAAATACTATAATACTAAGATTATCGTCATTATATTTTAAATCTGTCCAATATGATTATAATTTTTATTATCTAAACTTCTTTGTACAATTATTATTTCATTTTTTTTTTTTTTTTGCACTTATGCTGTAGTTGCAGACGCATTGCACATCTGTATTGATTCAATAAATATATACATGTTAGGATGTTTAATTCTTACAATATTTTTGAATTTATTGTTAAACCATTCTAACACGTTAATTCGACTATAGTCTTTTGTAGCATTGTACACGTTTCACGTGTGCGGTGAAATATTGATGAATGTCATAGAAATCAAGTTGTACCGTACTCCATTATTATGGAATTATATGTCCCGTTAACGTAAGTTGAATCAAAATACACCAAAATTTCGTCTAATTCTTCTGATTTTAAATAATTGGATAGTAGTGACATTTCTACACATTTTTTAAATACTTAATGATTACTTACATTTATACAAAATAAAAATTATAAATTACTTTTTTTTACAATATTTGCCGGAAGAAATGCTAAGGCAGGAATCATTTTTACAGCTTCTCTAAATTTTTGTCTTGTTTATATGTAATGGCTAATACCAACTCTTGAACTTTTCACCAGATAAATTGGTTTAAATGGTTAAAATACAATTGCACAGATACTTCATTAATAAATACCTACTTGCTTAATTTCCAGTACCACAGAATGTTCAAAATCCATTGAAATTTTTGAAAGTGATTCAAATTTATCTTTTAAAGCAGTCATACTTAAATGTATTCCTTCCAGTAAAATATCATCTATTTTTTAAATTTTTGGATAGATACTGTAGCGAATACGTCACAAACACCTTTTTATCAAATTTTCATTTGCAATAAATTTTTTGATTTCATCTGGTTAATTAATATTTCGTGCATAAGTTCGAGATGGTAAATCATAATTTTTTTTTGCAGTGTTATTCATAGTATATTTAGCTCTCTCTGTCTTAATAAAATCTGTATCACCTTCATAACTATAAACTCCAAATTTAAAAACTGTAATTATTTAATCGTCTGTTAACATTGTTCCATTGTGCAAGTCTTTGTGAACACACACCCACCGAATTCCTAATTTTACTTTATTTTGTTCATATCAAAAATGTTTGTAAATTAATTTCTTTTTGTAATTAAATACTCAATATTTGTACTATATACGCACTACAATACAAACAAAATTTAACTGTGTACAGTGAATGTGTAGAATTGTGGAAATAATAAGTATAATAATAAATTCATTAAGAATAAAAATGTATTAATTGTTAGTAAAATAATGAACTTTGAAGAAATTAATAAATAATAATGATTTAAAAAACCTGAGAACCAAATTTCAAATAATCAAAATATGTCGAGGACCATACATCCTATGACTAATAACTCTCCAGGACAAAATGTCCAATCTAAATAATTGCTGGGGTAGAAATATGTGTGGACTGGTTTTTTTACGGAGGCAAAACGTCTGTTAACCTGATAATAATCTGATATTATTCATGAATTAAGATAACAATTTAAGATATGTAGGATAGGCAGCGAGGACTTATCAGAGGGATTATCACTTATCAGTATATATTTCTTAAGTTACACGAAAAGGAATGATATAATGTGTACTTGGTTACTAGTAGGTGCTCAAATATTGGTTTACTTATCATAATTATATGCATATAATTTGATATGCAATATTTGATGAACATATTAATGCACTTTACCGTTCATAAACATTTCTTAATACTAGAATATATAAGGTTATATATACTAATTCATAGAGATTATAAGATTAGGAAATAACAGTTTTATAATTTTATTACAGAAAATACTAATATCTACAAATACAAATACAAATAACAATACAGTTTTAAATTAATAACCTTAAATAGCAAAAGAAAATATTATTTATTTTCAAAGACTATTTTAAAAATATCTTTATAATATGAAGCAAAATGTACTTCGAGTCCATCAGTAATAAATTTTGGAAGTTCGTTAAAATCTTTTCTATTTTCTTCAGGTAGTATCAAACAGGTAACGTTTTCTCTTTTAGCCTAAAAATGTTTTAAAAATTCTTAAAAATAAGTCTCAAGTGTCAAAATCATACAATGTACTCACAGCTATTGTTTTTTCTTTAATTCCACCTACTGGCATTACTTTTCCTTTGAGAGAAATTTCTCCGGTCATAGCAACATTGTTGCGTATAGGAATATTTAATGCTAATGATAGTAGAGCGGTTACTATTGTACAACCAGCACTCGGTCCATCTTTTGGTGTAGCACCCTACAAAAGTAATTAAATATTTTAGTTGTAGTTTAGGTTAGGCTTACACTATGCCTTAAATATAATTCTATGGTATACCTATAAGTTCTATGGCCTAATATAAGATTCATAGACTATAGTCATAACACTTAACCGTAATTGTGTAAAAAAATATTATATTTGCAACTGGGTGTATATCATAATAAATAAAATGGAGATATAAAGCTATACAATTATGTAAATGAATTGCATTAGCATTTATAAAAACTAAATCATTTAAATACATTTAAAAGTTCAATTATAAAATTCAAGACATTAATATTTAATACTTGTTAGGTATGTACCTAACAAGTATTAAATATTAATTAACTACTGACAACAAATATTTTAATTTTTTTTAATAACTTGATTATTAATTAATTAATTAATAATATATTATACTTAACAAATTTACCTCAGGAACATGTAAATGCAAATTTCCAGTTAATAATGATACGTTTTGTGGATCCAATTCACTTAAATATTTTCTAGCTACAGTATATGCAGTTTTAGCAGATTCTTGCATAGTATCGCCCAAACGACCAGTTAATATGATGTTTCCAACAGCTTTATCCTTGTCAGTTATAGTTGCTGGATTTTTTGTCCACTCAGTTTCAATATACATCAAGGCACCACCTGAATGGATAAATGTTCATTATTATGAAATAAAACAGTAAAATCTATCCTAACCCATAGCAGTCCAAGCCAGTCCCATAACGACTCCAGGTATTGGCTCTTCATACATTCGATTCTTGGTAAATATTGGATTACCAACAAAATCATATAATTTATCACTGGTGATAATTACTTTTTCTGATTCACCTTTAACTAATTTTAATGCAACCTTTCGTAACATCTATACAAATAACAAAAAAATAAAAAATAAACTTTTTTTTTTAAAAAAATAAAAATAAGTTTACTACAATAATATAGTATAAGTACCTTTTCAACATGTTTTTGTAAGTTACGTACACCACTTTCTCGACAATAAGATTTAATAAGTGTCGAAAGACTTTCATCGGCAATTTCAATCTACAAATACATATTATTTAAATAATAAAATTAATTATATTATGAGTATTTTTATTTTACTTGTTCATTTTTCAGGCCTGTAGATTTAAGCCCTTGAGGAATTAAGTATTGTTTTGCAATGGCCATTTTTTCTTCGGCCACATACCCAGAAACATCTATAAGTTCCATTCTATCACGGAGAGGTTCTGGAATTGTGTTTATTACATTTGCGGTACTTTATTACATTTGCGGTACAAATAAATAACACTTTGGATAAATCTACAGATACATCCAAGTAATGGTCTAATCTACAGATACATCCAAGTAATGGTCTAAGAAATTAGCATTTTGTTCAGGATCAAGCATTTCTAATAGTGCTGATGATGGATCGCCTTGGTGTCCTCTAGCAAAAAATAAACAAGCATTCATGTTCTGTAAATTAAACAATTGCATATCTAATAATTATATATTACCTTCCAATTTTATCAATTTCATCAATTAAAACCAAAGGGTTTTCAGTTGATGTTTTCTTTAGACATTGAATCATTTTACCAGGCATAGCACCAACATACGTTCTACGATGACCTTTAATTTCAGCTACATCAGTCATACCACCTACACTAAATCTAAAATACTATAGAAAAAAAGAATATATAACTATAGTTTAGATAATAAAACATTATGATTTTAATAATTGACTCACTTCTCGATTTAGAGCTCTTGCAATTGACTTAGCAATGCTTGTTTTGCCAACACCTGGTGGACCATGAAAGCATAAAATCTTTCCGTGTGTTGACCCTTTTAATTTGCTAACTGCAATAAATTCTAGAATTCGCTTTTTAACATCATCCATTCCATAATGATCTTCATTTAAAATAGTTGTTGCATGGTGTAAATCAAAGTTTTCATCACTTATTGAACCCCATGGCAATTGTGTAAGCCAATCTAGATAATTTCTTGTAACACTAAACACATTATTATATAAATAATTAATAATTTTATATATGCGAATTTAGTTGGTTAAAATTTAAGATATAAACCAATTTAAAATACCTAATATCAAATTAGAATTTTCAAAAAATCATAAATGTATAATATTCTTATAGTACAGATAAGAACTTACTTAAATTCTGACGAATGCTGTTCTAAAAATGACAGTTTAGTTAATTCTTCTTCGATGACTTCCATGACTTTAATAGGTACTTGTTTATCCTTTTAATTAAATACATACATTAAAAAATAAACATAAAAATGTAATATATTATTTAATAAAAATTATTGAATATATATTAGTGACGAATAATAATTATTAAATAAATAGATTTAAATTATAACAGAGAAACATACTTTCAGTCTATCTCTGAACTTTTCTACTATTGAATCTTTATCATCCTTTTCAAGACCAAGTTCTTTTTTTATTACTTTTAATTGTTCTTGGAGTATAAATTTACGATGTTGTTGTTTTACTTTTTCATCAACTTCCTTACTTATTTTTATTTGAATTTCACTGAGTTCCAATAGTTTTTTCACACAACCTAATGAAAGTAAAAGACGTTTTGGAACCTAAAATAAATAAAGTTACATTTGGCACAAATTAATTAATTACCATAATAATAATATTTCAGTAGCAAATTTAAAGAAGGGTCTCGAGGGGCCTTGCCCCTCCCTCATTGGCCTAAGTTAAGTTTTATTAATTCAATAGTCATAGATAATTTTGTATGAAATATTATTATGGTCACTGAATTTTGGACTATGGGCCCCCCAAAAATTAAATCCTGGATTCACCGCTGTAATGTTTAACATTTGAAGTGTTTGAAGAATTTAAAATATCAGGCAGATCCAAGGGAGTATTTAAGAAATAAAGAGAATCAAAAAGAATAAGACATTTAGCAGATAAAGTGGGACAGTCTGAAGAGTATATGAGATGAAACAAGTACTCTATTTAGGTTTTATAATCTTCTCTGAGTGGTGTTTTAGTAAATATTTTTTAAGTTAACTACATTTTATTTTATGCATTACATAATTGTCAAATTATAATTTTTATAACACTTACATTAATTTCTTCTAAAATTTCTTGATATTCATGAGTATCGCAATCAGCTATAGCAGCAGCTATATCAGATAAATATGAAGGATCATCTGCTACATTGCCATGTTGCAACATTGGGTGTAATATTTCTTTGTAAATAGGATTTATACTAATAACAGATTGAATAGTTTTTATTATTTCTTGGGATAGAGCCTAAGATAGATAAAATATTTAATAAACATGATAAATAATTTTAAATTCATAGTAGACATATAAACATACTTTAATCTCCATTGTTTTTTCATAAGGTTCATCTTTTAAGTTTTCTACCTCAATCATAAGAACTTGTTGCTGTGGCTTTTCAGTCTCCGGAATCGGCTCTATTTCAGGTATGCTTGAAACTCCCTTAGTTCGTGTTTGTTTCTTATTACGTTTGATCATATCATTTGTTACTATAATGTATTACATAAACTAGTTTAATGAATACAATATTTACTAAGGTTACAAAAAACAATACTTTTATCAATATCTTTATCTTCAAAAAGTGGCTTTGTCACCTTAATACGCCTAAAACATTGAATAAGCATATGCAATTTGTTTCCAAATTCTCGCATTTCATTTATTCGGCCAAGTGATCCGATACTATATATTTCATCAATATCTGTAACAACACTATCTGAAACTCTAAAAATGAAACATTAATCAATGTATGCTTTATTCATATAACTTAGGCATTTTAAATGAATTTAGGAAAAAAAAGCAATATATTTATTTTACATATTATAAATTATAATATAAAAAGTAATATTATTGTTAGTACTATATATTATTAGCACCATATAATAGGTAACCACGCCATATTTTCATATCATTGACTATATTATGTATTCATTGATAATATTTTTAACATTTTCACAAAAATAGTTATTGGAATAAGTTATCAAAATCTGCAGCCATAATCGAAAGTAACAAAAATGGTATTAAAATATGGTGTAGGTATCAATTATATGGTACTATATAATATGTAGTACTAAATAATAGTTACTTATTATATTATAATATGCAGGTTTTATTGCAAGGTTTTTTCCAACTGCACAAATATACATAATGAGTCAAATAAACTGCTGTCCGTGTCAGCTATTATAATATTATACATGGATTATTTTAAATAGCTCTGGCAAAGTAAATTTTATTGTATTTCTCAAATGCACATATTCATTCAGTCTACTGCATGTTTTATAATTCCTACTGCACAATTAGTGTCCTACTGCACCCTACAATAAAGCCTGAAAATATGCTTTTTTTTCCTAATCCCATTTTAAATAGTGCATATTATGCAATAATAGTAGTTCACTCACAAATCAACATTTTTTCTCATAAATAGCCCGATAAAGGGTTGATTTAATGCTTTTTTTTTTTTGATCAATGCAATCAATTTAGGGTCACTAATCTAATAAAAAATAATTCTTATTTAGTAAATATTTTGATTCAGATTTTACTTTTGTTTTTTACAAACCTCAACAATTCTAAATAATCTAGGATATAGCGGTGGTTTTGCTATAGTGACTAATGGTAAAAGCGGCAATTCGTCTGGTACTTGAATAGTGGCAATTGAAGTATTATCTGAATTGGACTTAACGTCGTAAACAGCTCTTACATTTTGGGATTCTTCTACTTCTTCCGAATTATCATCATCTTTTGGGTCGTTTTTACTGTCGAATCGTCTATAACGTACTGGAACACTAATAGTGGAAACAACACATAAATTAGGAGTTGCGATTCGATTATTCTCATCTAGGAACGATCTATCATTCTTTGAAAGTATGGTGCTAGCACATCGGGCAAATTGCCGATTAACAATAAACGTTTTTTTTAAACTAGCTTGGTATATACGGGATAACATTTTATTTAAAATTGTCTAAACACTAAAACTAAAACTTTAATATTTATAAGACATTGAGTATTTTAAATGCGGTTAAAAAAAAATTAAAATTAACCATTAAGCATTAAGCATAATCACATCACGGAAACAGTGATAATAGTAACAATTTATAAATTATTAACCTCAAACCAATAATTATGGTAGGGAAACATAGATGCTAAAGCCATAACTGATAATATATATAATATATCGGACTGAATAGCACTTGTTCGGAAAATGATAAGTTCAAAAATGACGACGGTGAATTTGTTGCCAACCTAAAATTTTCGAACATTTTGTGAAAATAGTTTTATTTTCATTTGTGGGTACACATTGTTAGTATGAACCATGAACTTCTAAGATACAATTATTTTCGATTCTTTATCAAACGAGTCTATAAAATTGTAGTAACTCTATAGTAAACTATAACAATTTAACACAGCTAAAAATGGCTACTATGAGTTTTTTTCAACCCTAGGTTGGTTTACAACTCCGGTTCTCCATTCTGATCGATTTTTCGCCTTTTCTTTGAGTTCCTTAAGAGTTTTGACTCTTACATCCCATTTCCTATATAAGAATTTCAAAGACGTCCTACAGTTTTCTTTATTGCTTCATTTTCTAACGTCTGAATCTAATTGCAAGTTACAGATGTAACATTTTTGAAGTCAACAATTTATGTTTTTTACAAAAGGCAGTGTTTACTAATATTATACGTTGTTTTACCTCTCAAATGCTCTTTCTATTAAATATGATTTTGCTCCCTAGGTATACGGTTTCCTCAAATTGTTCTAAAATGTGAGGGAACATATTTTGCTGTATTTCTCAAATGCACATAATTCGTTCAGTTAGAAAAATGATTCAATGTCTAAAGAAAACATCAACTGAAAACCCTTTGGTTTTAATTTATGAAATTGATAAAATTGGAAGGTAATATATAATTATTAGATATGCAATTGTTTAATTTACAGAACATTAATGCTTGTTTATTTTTTTGCTAGAGAACACCAAAGCGGATCAAGCATTTCTAATAGTATCAGCACTATTAGAAATGCTTGATCCTGAACAAAATGCTAATTTCCTAGACCATTACTTGGATGTATCTGTAGATTTATCCAAAGTGTTATTTATTTGTACCGCAAATGTAATAAACACAATTCCAGAACCTCTCCGGGATAGAATGGAACTTATAGATGTTTCTGGGTATGTGGCCGAAGAAAAAATGGCCATTGCAAAACAATTATTAATTCCTTTCAATTTTTAGGAATAATAAACCTTCATCAGTTACCACACAGATAATAAAAATCAATGAGTTATTACTATCTAATATAATCAGTAAATGATTATGATGATTTTTTGTTGCAACAAAATATATTTAAGTAGGTATATATTGTAATAATATTGCAAGTAAAAGTAATATGATTTTACAACGAATATTCACATTTTTTACAAATTTAATATGAATCAATTGCAAAAAAAAAAAAACAGCTAATGGAAGGTAAGGTTAAATCCGTGTCAATAATAGACTGCTAGTTAGTGTTAATATTAGCAGTGATTGCTTAAATGTATTAAAATTTGCTAAAACCCCATGCTGCTCAACGATAAAGCTAATAGCAGATATGTGAAATGACAATTTAAAATTTATTTATACAAATTATACTTCTACGAGCTTATCTGATATTGCTAACTGCTATAAAATTAACTGATAGTAAAAAAATAAATTAAAATTACATTATAACATCATATTATCAGCTGTTTCATAAAAATAGCAATAGCTTCTATTTTAAATTAGTAATTTCATTAGCAGTTGCTAAAAAATAATTTAGTTGTTTACCATCACTAATTTGAATCAGAATTAACGTTGTGAGATACTTGACTGCCATCTAGCGTTATAATAACGGCTGTCAGTTTTCACAACATTACTTCTTTAATGTTATAGGAGCATAGACAATTCGAATAATATGTATCACATTTCTTATCAAAACAGTCTCCTAACTTCACACCTGTAACTTTGGGTGTGCTAAAATTATGGACACATTGAAAACCCATGGGGTTATACCCCCACAATCCCTTTTACACGTTTCTTACAATAAGCATTTACACATTTCGTTTACAATTGTATACATAGAAATGTATTGTGATTGAATCGCTGAATGAAAAAATAATAACATTCCTCAATAACTAATTTTCAAAAAATTAAAAAAACTGTTTACTTCCTTAAGTTTTAATTGAATAAAAAACGTGTCTGTACAACATAAATTCACTAGTATATAACCTTTAACCTCCTAAAATATAAGATCTTAAAAACCAATAGTTTTTTTTTCGTATTTTTGGAATATTATCCTTTTTCCATTCAGCTGTTAAATTATTTTTCTGTAGTGAATTGTCTGTAGGAAATCCATATTTTATTCTGCTTATTCATTTTGAAATGTATGAGAATAAAATATTTAGTCATTACTGTGAAAAAACTTATAATATTAGGGGTTTTCGAGAGGTGCCAAAGACCCCCTGGTTGCACCTATGCACCTAATAATAAAACCGATAACCAATCCTATTTATATTTTTATTTATATTTTATTTTCTTGGATTTATGAACTGATGTTAAAAAAGTATGTACATTTTTTTCAAAAACAGATAACTGTATAAATCGTGTGATATATCAAAATATTTTAGATTTCTGCAAGAATTATCCTTGCAGAAATCTATATTCGTATCTATAAATGAATAATTACTACCCTTATTACAGACTGTGACTTGTATTAACTATATACTCCAATTTTTTGTCACCACTAATAACACTCCCGGTGACCGTACAACGAAACTAAATGGGTACAAATGACCCATAAAGAGTTGCACTAGCTTAATCTACGTATATTTTCACAACGTATACTGCATAGCACAAATTAAAATTTAGTTTGTATATATTTTAATTCATGTTGTATAGTTCAGAAAATCCTTACTAAAATCATTACGGTACTTGGATGCTCCCCACATTCTGGAGATATTCTCCATAGAAAAACTCGACCACACCACTACTACCCGCCTGCCATATCGTTGCCTGTACGTCTTCATATTATTTGAGTTCATGATTGAAATATACTTCTGGCTTCAAATAAAATGACGGAACAAAATTTCGGAATTCGCATGTTATTACTATTTAGCAATCTAGCGTTTATTATACCTATAAATCTATAATATAACATCAACCGCGGTTCTATGTACAAACTTTGCATCAACTAATTAATTAATAGCATTGAGTCTTAAAACCTAATATCTATTTTTGTATACCAATATTATATTGATTAATATTATGAAAATTTATGTTGTTGTACATAACAGCGCGCTTTACTTGTATTTGGTAAAACTAATTTTTGTAACAAAATACGTTTCCAATAAATTATTTGATGACAAATTTATTTTCATAAACAATATTTCGGACCAAAAACTTTCTGGTAAAATATTTCCCTGACATTTTATTTACATCTGTATATTTTCGTATAAATTATTTTTTGACAAATACTTTTCTTCTAGAATAATTTTCGTAAACATATTTTTAACGAATATTTATGAATAAAATATAGGTCACCAAGCTACAATTAAACATATTAATTTACTCATAGTACAAATATAATTTATCGCCTAATTCAATGCACATTATTGACTGTGCTATTGAATATTGATAACGTATCCTAGATCACGGACTAAGATATACCTTAGATATGTATTTTAGTCTATGTACTAGATCAATGAGTGCGCACATGGTGTTGATGAGATCTGAGAACTCGTCATAACTCATAAGACCGCAGCTGAACAGCTGTTTTCCAAAGTAAATTTGGTGATAAGAACCACTTAAACTATTAAAATAGATAAGCTGATTTTAGTTGAGTACATTCGGTTTATGTCAGTACTCACTACTCAGTAGGTATTTCATTAATGACGATAATAACTAATTAAATGTGTTAATCGCAATTTGCATGGTACAACAAAATAACGCTGTTTTTCAAATATGTCTCGTTATAGTTTTAAAATAATTAACTTTGTTTTATTGCACTAAATAATCTACCTATAAGAATTAAATTTGGCACGATAGTAGTTTTTTTTTTGTTTATAAATTAGTCAATACATACCATTTATATAATGTATTAGAAAATTTAATTATACTATACTTATGTAGTACAATTAATTTTAGACAATGTCCCCGCCAACCATAAGATCACCTCAAGGAAACACAGCAAATCAGACTCAAGGACCGCAGTATGCTAAAGTATTCGTTCAACGTGATTATTCAGATGGTACAGCTGTAAAATTTATGACAAATTTTCCCCAAGGACTTGAAAACAAAGTTAGATCTCATTGAGTGTTTTCTTATTTAAAATAATCAAGTGTACTAATATTGCTTAATCACAGATTGAAAAATCCGTTTTTGAATATACAATCAATCAGTTAAATACATATTTTGCCGAAGCAGAAAAAGCATCATGTAAAACATACTGTGAAGGTTGTTTTGCATGTTTCACTGTGTATACTATGTTTTTTTGTGCAGATACACATTATGAAAAAGTAAATACAAATTATATTACTTATATTACCTAAATTTAAAAGTGTTTCAATATTTTTTCAGTGTTTACGTAAAGTTGGCAAATTCATTGTAGAACAGAATGAAATGGTATATTTACCAAGAGGTTTGCTGCTTACCAATCCTGCCGAAAGAGGGTTGAGAATTGTATCCTTTTGTTTCATTGTTTTTTAGCTAAGCCGTTAAATATTTCTTTAGTGCTTATATATGTTACTGCGAATATCCGCAATTGGTGAATACTAACAATCATCCAGTGAATGTCCACATACACCTCTTAAATTGGTGAATTTTGAAAAATTAAAAAAATGTAAACATTTACATTAAGATTTTGATCAATGTTGACATACACAACATGGTTTTGGTTAATGTTGACATACATATTCGTACATATTATAGTATTGACTAGTAGGTAAATATGGTGGCTGAGAAGGGCTTAACCCTCCCTGAACCATCTTAAGCCCTACTTAAAATATTTTATTATATAGGTAATCTTTATTTTAATCAATTTTGTAATTTATAATATTTATACATATAATTAATAATAATAGCTATGAATATAATAATAGTAATACGTATGTAGGTATTCAAAGGATTTTCATTTTAACGTTTTAGTGATGGGCAGAATCAACTAGTTTTAACTAACGATTCAATTGATAGTTAAAAAAAAAACTACAGAGTGATTGATTGATTGAATGAATAAATATCAATAAACTGAACTACTTGAGAGTCCAATAGTTTCTATAGTATAGGTGATAGTTTCGATGGCACCAAGGAAATTGATAGTTTAAAACTATCAAGTAGTTCAATAGTTTTCACTCAGTATTCCTCATCAGCATAGGCGTGCGCAGGAATTTTTCGCAGGATGTGCTGAATAATTCTAGTAGGGACTAATACAATGCAATAAGATAATTGCCTCTATATTACAATAATTCAAATTTAGTTTATAATTTGTATTTGTATACATTGTTGTATTAATAATGAAAAGAAGAATATTAGATATAAATATAATATTATTGTTTAAAACTTATTTATAGATCATATTTGTTTATAACTTAAAAACAATTATTCATTTATATGCCACTAATTTTACATAGGTGTGATTATTTCACAACAAAAATGTTGGTTTTAAAATAAAACACCAGTGTACACCAGAAAGCAATCACGACAGTATGTCACTTTAACACTTTAGTGTACAGACTAACTTTTTAAAACAAAGCTAATGACTGACATGTTATAAGTTTTTAATATATACATTTTTTTTTTTATTTGTATCTATATTAGATTTATTATACATTTTAGCTACAATTAATAACTAATATTTGCAAATAAATCAAAAATTTAAAGGAGACATAATTGTTTGCAGGGTGTGCAGCTGTCCACCCTGCACATCCTGTGCGCACGCATATACCCATCATTAGTTCCATAAACTATGATCAGTTGATGGTTTATTATAACGGTCTGCCACTTATACCCATCGCCATACAGCCATGTGAATGTCAGGTATAATTGCATTGCATTCTCAAATATCACTAATAATTTATTGCATATAAAATATATTATGTATATTATAAACCAATGTTTTGATATTGGTATTTTTTGACCAATAATTAGATTTTCTTTTATTATTATTTAGACTAGTAGACCAGTGATCCTTTTGAGTCCAAGCCCTATTCATTTGAGCACCCTATTTATTTTCTATGATAGACTATAAACAATAGAGTAAAATTTCTTTAATTATAAAGTTTTCGCATTAAAAAACTAATGCATGGTTTACAAAGCAAACCAACCATTATTTAATACATTTTATGTTACCTAGTTTTTCACTTAAAGAGTTTTCACTGTATATAAAATAAGTAAGTGTTTAATTGTATAAATTAATAATTATTGTTAAACAATATTATATTTGTACTATTAATTTAAATTATGATAATCTTATCACACAAAAATGGTTATTTTTTAAAAAAAAAAATGGGGGAAATAGTTTTACTTATTGCAATATGATAAACTGTCATGTACTACATACAATGTCAAAATTTCTACAACTACACTTTTGTAGTGCACTTTGTTTTGCACTTGCATTGTGCATACCCTTTCCCACCAATTGATGAATTTGATTAATTAAAAGTTTATACTCTTCAGCCGATAGTAAAAAATAATTATCATGTCTCTTATTAGACACTAAATTATTAAATTTACTTTAAAATATTTAACTGTGTTGAATGACAATATCATACTAAATGTTAGTAAGACAGCATGGCTGTTATCTAGATATTATAATGAAAATAGTTGGGTAAGATAATGCATATATAAATACACCAAAATGATCAACTTGAACAATATCTAATATTATATAAGTATTAAGTAAAATGTTTACTATTTTAGTTTTATTTTAATAATACTGTATTATTATTATGACTTTTTCGATATCCCTAGATTACATTTAAAGAAAAACAATATTGGCATTACCAACATTCACTAGTGAATGTTTATAAATGCTACAAATTTAATCAGTATACAATCATTTACTAATGACTGGTGTACGACAACATTAACCGGTGACTGTCAGCATTCACCAACTGTGGAAATTCTTAGTAACATTTAAATTCAACAAATACATTAAAAAGAAAAATTATAACGTGTACATTTGTATTAATTTATAAATATCATTCTGTTAGAACATAGGTATATTGTTTTATCAAAGAGCTGAACAATATTCTTATTATGGATTTGTTTTCTTCATACTGATGGGAGTTATATACATGGGGAATCATATACACTTTACACTTTATAAACACTCTGATTAGACATGCATATACAAAATACAACCTCTCCTTCTTTTTAACCACTAGTTTTTTTTTTTCATTGTTTATCATAAATTTTAATAATCAAACCACTTTCTTAAATGGCAATTTAAATTATTTTATATTCAATATGTCAATTTTATATTGATTTTCACAATACTTATTAAAATTGTAATAGGCACATAATAAGCTCCGGTTTCATTATTTTCTATCATTAAGATAAACATTACTTTATGGCTTCATATCCAAATATATTGAATAAATTTAAATTTTCATGTTTCTATATCAACTTAGAAAAGTGATTTGAGAAAAAAAAGTTGTATCTAAGTAACAGTAAAATTTCTGACTGCATGAAAATGTTTATTAAAAAGTAGATTATAAAACTGTATGTCTACATATATACTTTTTCATATAACCTAAATTAAATAAATATCCTTTACTTTTTATTAAAAGATTGAAATTACGTTGTTGGATCAGCCCATAGTTGCTAGAACATGACTCTCATTATCCGATTCGTCTGAAGAATTCTTCATGTGAGAATCGGCTAAAACTTTTATGGAATGCAAGTATGCAATATGAAACCATTATAAATTGGCAGTCAATAAAAACTTGCCAATATTATGATAGTTTTTTTTTTCTACAGTTACTTTGAATATTGCATTGCAATGAAGAAAACTATTTTGTTATTTTTTTTCTATGTATTTTTTTTTTTGACTTAATATAACCTAATACCTAATGTGCATTTACTTAACTTTTTACTTGTTATAAAAAAAATCCCTTATTATTAATCAAAAAAAGTTGATCAAATAAAAATGTTTTTCTCCGAGCATTTTTTTATTTATAATATATACAAAATAATGATTAATAAGTGGTAACATAATATTAATTTGAATTATTGTTTAAAATTAATTGAATAACCACCGGTATTTGGGTCTTGGTTGACTTGAAAATTTTGAGTCGATAAACCAAATGGTTTTAATACTATATTTCCCAAATCTTTAAGTTTAGCCATCATTTCGGTTTTCAATTTTTCGTTACGTTCATTTATTTTTTCTTGTAAAACCTATTTCCAAAAAGAATTAACAAATTACAGCAGTGATAATAATTTAAAAATTGTATTAAAAATAGCATACTCTTGCATTGTAAGCTGCTTCGGTATAATTGCGATCAATTTCAAGCACTTTTTTGAGATCCTCTAATGCTTCATCAAGTTTGTCATTGCGTTCAAATAATTTAGAACGTCTTATATATGCCTTTAAATAAACTGGATCTAATTCTATAGCTCGAGTACAATCTTGAATAGCACTTTCTATATGCTTTAAACAAATTAAATAAAGTTTTAATTAAAAAAAAATCATACTTTATGATTTTTTTTTTACTCATATCAGGTGCATACAACAGTAACATAATATAGGTATATAATTTAAACAAAATATTCAATAAAAACATACAATAGTGGATTTAGCAGCTGCTCGATTGGAAAATAATATAGCCCTATAGTTTGGGAACATTAGAGGACAAATACGTAATGCTTCTGTATATATTTTAGATGCTTCTTCATGTTCTTGATTCTTAAATTTAGTATTACCTTCATTTTTCAAGCTAAGAGCTTTTTGTAATAATTCCTAAAAAAATGAAAAATTGTTTATTTATTACCTATTTTAATACGATTTTAAGATTTTTTATTTTATTTTGTTATTTAGTAAACAAAGTTTAAAATTATGTTATAGTAAATATTGTTGGTTATTAGTAGGACAAAAAACTTCCTTTATGTCTTAAAAAATGTATGCATTTATGCCTAAACAATTATTAAATATACATAAATGCGCTAAATATTTTATTTTCCCACTAAAATAAAATATATTAGAAAATTCAAATAAATAGGTATTTATTTATTTATTTTTAATAACCTATCTTTTAAAAATTGCCTTTAAACAAAAAAAAAAGCAATAATTCAATCAAAAGTGCATATTTTATTTATTATTAAAAAATTATTAAGTTCTTACCCAAAATGAAGAATTGTATTATATGGCCATGTACATTTCAAAAATGAACAAATATTTGATACATTTTTTTTCTAATTTCAATTTGATTATATTAAATATTGCATACGTAAAAAATAGAAATGTAACAAAATATTTACTAATATGGAAAATGAAAATAATGTCTACATTAATTAGCTACCTATATTTTGAATGGTTATTGAAAAACTTGTATACTTCTATAAGTTACTGGCCCAAGTAATAACTTAAAAAGAAAATATATAGATATGTATGTTTGTTTAAAATATTATAAAAAAACTTGTAATTGTGAACAATTATTTTTACAATAATAGAATGCAACAAAAGACCAATGTATTAAAGGTTAATTAAAGAGTAATACTAACTCGTTTTTCTTCTTCTGATAAATTCTCATCTCTTTCTTTAAGTAGATCGTCTTCAATATAATCTACATCTCTTATTTCTGTTTCGTCTTTTGAATGTGAATCAGCCTCTGTATCTGATTCACTAAAAGAGTGAGTTTCGTCATTACCAAACGAATCAGTTTTAATAGCTGAGTCTTTTAAATTCTTAGTGAGCTCTTCTATAACTTCTTCGTTTGAGGGAATTTCGTTTTTTCTATCCGAAGACATTTGTAAAAATTTATGTACACTTAATGGATTCACGTACGTCAATTTATGAACACGAATTGAGTTCTATTTCCATTTGCCTAACGCCAATACAATATTATTAATGCAATAATTCGGTTAATCCTTGGTTGAAAATATTAATTATTGTATCCTATATGAAATCTAAGAAAACATACTTTGTGTATGCAATGTTAACAAATAACTTATAATATAGGAACTAGTATAGTGTTTAAGGTACTTGAAATTACGATTGTCCAATGACATGTGTTATCAAACAAAATATGTTATCATCATAAAGTCTATGTATTGGGGTGGGGTCACTTTTCCCGAAAACATAGCCTTAATTGATATTATATCAATAATATATTATTTGAACAATGATTTTATAAATATTAATTCAATGAGAGAATTACGGCGTGAACTATTTTATTCTGGTTCAGAGGTTTGTACTACAAAGCATCTCGCTACAAGATAATTTTCGATATCTAAACTTACATATCGCGTACATGGGTGGTTGTTAATATTACTAAATAAGCTGTGTGCCCCTCTTCGATTATAAGTTACCATTTTAATAACTATTTTGGAATTACCTAGAGACCCGGCGGGAGCCATTTGCTAGCTTTGTATTATGCTGATATAACCAATACCACCGGTTCGATAGTGGTAAGTGTTATCTACATTTTATTTTCGTCCAGTGGCGTAGATAAGGAGGGAGTTTATGGGATTTAAACTCCCCAGAATGAAAAAATAATAGTTTGGTTTGCAAAGTTCTCTAGAATTTAGATAGGTACGTAATGGACAATGGTTGATCTTTTTTTATATTTCCTCTTAATAGGTACTGTTGCCGACCGGCGACCGCAATTTTATGAGGGTAGTTTACAGGTGATATTTAGGAACCGTTTCAAAAGATTGGTAATGATCGGACATATTCTAGGCTAATTTCCTTGAAAGGGATTTAACGGTGTCACACTGTGTGTGAAATAAAATGTTGTCCGTGGTATTTCCTTCTATTTTTCCTAGGCCGTCAAATTGTTTGCCCGCTTTATTGCGTTATACGTCATCTTTTATTTCTTTTTTAGCGCCTTTTAGTTTATTTTCCTTTGTGCGAATGTACTTATTTATTGTCTATCTAACGCCTACATATGAATGTTTATGCATTTTGGGAAGCACTGGGCTTTCTTATCAAATATTGCTAGCGAATGTATGTAAATATTGCACTCAGTAAACTGTGAATTTTACCGAGTGACACCAGAAATTGATAAATTATATGTTATTCAGTTAGGTTCGCTAGTAAATGGTATTAACTATTAATTTTATTTATATAAACCATAGTTGATAAATGATCTATACCTATGGAAAACTTTAAACAATTATGTTATGACAATAAAGTTATATTAGCACCTATGGTTAGAATTAATACACTACCTATGCGTTTGCTAGCTTTGGATTATGGAGCGGATATTGTTTACACTGAAGAATTGATCGATCATAGACTAATTAAATGTTCTCGCCACGTAAATGGTAATTAAATAAATTCATAAATTAAATTATATAGTGTACTATAAACAGTTATTAATTACTGTAAATAAATATATAAAAATTAATAAATTAATACTTCTTGAGTATTATGATAAGTGAATTATATGACCGATTTTGAATTAAAAATCCATCAACCGATATATCACAGTCCAAATGTAAAATGCGACTGAATATAAAAAATTAAATGTAGGAATTCATAAAAAAAAATTACACAAATTGGTCGTTTTACATCTCTAGAAATAATTTATTTTAATAGAAGAGATTATTTAAAATGAGTTATTATTAAACATAGTTATGTTAAGAATTATAAACTATTTGATTATTATTTATTATATAAAATGTATTGATATAAGATATTATTTTTAAAATCGGTTTGTACATTTAAAATATTAAAATTATTTTCTTTATTTCATTTTATGTATGTAATTCTTCTAAAACTGAATTAATGTAAATGTTTTTTTGGGTATTTAATATCTCTAAGTTTGTATTAATATTAAAGCCTTTATTATAGTTATTTTCTAAAACATGTTTAGTGAAATTTGAGTTTGGGGTAGTCTTTTTTAATTTTATTTCAGAAATGTGTTCTTTATATCTTATTTTAAAATTTCTATTTGTCTTATCTATATAAAATTGATTACTGTTACATTCAAGTTTATATATACTATCGTTTTCAAAAGAAAGGAGGGTTTTCGTGAAGTTTTTAGTTCTAGTGTTTATATGTTTGATTAAATTATTATTAGTCTTAAAATTGATTTTTACATTATTTGTATTATTGTTCAGAATTTGAGCCAATTCATTAGACATATTTTGATATTCCATACTACAATAGTTAACAACATTATTCATTCATGTATTTATTTTTTATTTATATATTTATTTACGAGTATTAATCATTTTAATAATTTTGTTTTTACTTTATTATTTTATTATTAATTATTAAATATGTTTATTATTATTTTAGATACATTACAAAGTATTGATTTTATTGACAAAAGTAATGCTACTGTAGTGTTCCGTACTTGTTCACGTGAAAAATTGCATGTTGTTCTTCAAATTGGTACTAGTGACCCTGAACGAGCTGCTAAGGCAGCACAAGTAGTGTAAGTACAATTACCACCAATAGTACATTTAATTTCTTATTTATTTAATTATCATTATTAGAGAACAAGATGTAGCAGGAATTGATATAAATATGGGTTGCCCAAAAGATTTTTCACTCAAAGGAGGAATGGGAGCGGCCCTTTTATCTTGTCCTGACAAAGCGTGTACAATTCTTTCTGCAGTAGTTTCAGCTGTTAGTATACCTGTCACATGCAAGATTCGAGTGTTACCAGATATTAATGATACTATTGAATTGTGTAAAAAATTAGCTACTACTGGAATAGCTGCAATTGCTGTACATGGTCGTACTGTTAAAGAAAGACCCAATCATCCAAACAGAAACCATTTCATTAAAGCTATATCTGAAGCATTAGATATCCCAGTTATTGCCAAGTTATTATTAATTAGATATACAAATGTATTATGTTTAAGTAGGTATGTCCTAACAAATAATAATGTTTGTTTTAGTGGAGGGTCAAAAGAAATTGAAACATTTGAAGATATTACAAAGTTTAAAAATATAACTGGTTGTTCCAGTGTTATGATAGCCCGTACAGCAGAAAAAAATTGTTCAATTTTTAAACGCGATGGGAAATTAGAATTAGGTACCATAATAAGAGATTACTTGCACCATGCTGTAGACTATGATAATGTAGCTCCAAATACAAAGTACTGTATTCAAAATATGCTACGAAATATTCAAGAAACTGAGCAAGGAAGACATTTTTTGGAGTCTACATCCCTACAACAAATATGGTTTGTTTAAAGACAAAAATACCTAGTTAACACATTGACTACATATGTCTTTGCAGTTATCACTCAAATGTGTACATAATTTTTTATTCCTTATCATATTAGTTATTTTAATTAATAATTAAATATCATTCAGCCACACGCAGGGAATAGCAAACTATTTACACCATAATATGTATTATGTTTATTGGACGTCAAAAGGTGTTGAAAGTGTTGCTAAATGATCCTTCATTCTTATGACATCAATTAGTCTATACACAGTTAATCTGTTAATAATTTATACTAATTCAAATTTAAATTCTATATAATATAATATGATTAACAAATTGTTCTGTTCTATGGTTTTACTTTTTACATCAATTTTTTTAATTTTATAGAAAATATTGCTTGTAACACTATCTGTGTTGCTATTTTTATCTAAGCCCAGTACAATTTAGATATTTTATTACATTTTGTGTAATGATATACCATGCTAGTTTTATATGCCATGGAATATTAAAACTACTAAATTAGCGTTGATGAAATGTGTGAGACGGGGCTACACAAATTAGACAGCTTTTTGTCATGCATGGTATATATTTACCTGAGTATAAAAGTTGTAATATACATTTAAATCAACTGCCTACATAATTTTTTGAGTATTTTTTATTATTTTTTAGTGACCTTTGGGATGTAGGCGATTACTGTCGTGAGAAAACAAAGACAATGAATTGTCTTCGTTTTGAAGAAAGAGATATTGCATGTAATGATCAAAAACGAATTAAACCAAATCCTATCGAAGAAGAATTGAATGATGTTAATAGTTTAAAGTGTATGTATATAAGGGCATTATATCCTAGACCAGAGGATTTACCAAAAACAAAATTGTTAAATTGGTCAAAAAAACACAATAAACCGTTGCCAAAATATCATACAGAACAATTTGAAAAACTTTTTAAAAGTACTGTGACATTTGATAATAAAAAATATTCTTCAACTTTTTGGTAAGCAAATGCAAATGTAACAATTTTTATATGTTTATTCATAGTTTTCCAAATTTGAACATCTTTGTTTTTTCTAGGGAGAAAAACAAACGGTGGGCTGAACAAGGTTCTGCAATTGTTTGTTTATACTACTTAAATATTTATGATATTGACTATATGAAAATAAATGGCATTCTTGAGTAGTACCTACAATGTTATTACCTGTTTCCATATTACTAAATTAATTAATTTTATTTAAAACAAAATAAAATTTATTTATTATATTTTTTTATAGATATTTAATTATTAGATACTGATTATACCAAAGACATTATTGGTTTTTCTAAGATGTGTGGCTCTTTCCAGGAACATTTTTAAGCATAGTAAAAATACTCCTTGCTAATCAAAAATTATTTTAAAAAAAGTTTGATTATACAAAGTTTAAATGCCGAGATTTTTATAATTTTCTACTTTTTCAAAATAATTATGTTCATATAATATATAAGAACTAAAAAAATATCAAATACCTAAAAGTAGCTCAAAAAGTTTTGCACATTTTAATATGTATAAAATAGATGTAATTTGATATATATTCTGTGGATATTGTATGTCTATTATTATTTAACCGAATTACAAAAATAATCAAAAACAATGATGTTCCAATAGGGATGTCAGTACAGTTAATACTAATCTTGGTAACAATCAAATGGTGATGGGTAATTTTTATATTCCAACTTTAGTAATTTTGTAACCCAATAGAAGTACTCTATTTTAAAAAATTAAATACACTAATTGATAATAAATCAACTAAAAATCTACACAATTCAACTACCAACAGTAACATAATGTGTTCATTAAAAACCATTCAGAAAGGTCATACCAATTAAAGTGTATTATACTATTATTAGCTCCTACACAAAAAAAAATTCTAGGACTATTCATTCTTAATTTTGTATGAACATAGAAAATCATGTCATTTAACGTTTTAAATTTGTTGTGTTTCATAGTGAGTTGTGTGATCATCAATTTAATTTATACAACTATTTTGTTAGATGTTTATATTGGTTTCAAGTCGCTAATCTTATAGCCTATGTGCATATCTGGCTAACTATACTAATATTACAGTTACTTGAATATAAATTTTTATTTATAATTAATTATCAATTTTTTAATGGTTTACAAATATTGAAAATGACTTAATGCACATACCTACCTTATCTATTTTTTCTTAAACAGATCACTTAGATATAAGTCATTATAGACCTGATGGCTAAATACCCTTAAACAGATTATGTTGTGTATTAGGTTCTAACAAACAGTTGATTCAATTTTTTTTTTTTTTATAACTTCAATATAATGATAAAATGTAGCCAAAAACTGTATTTTACTGTTGGACATAATATAATATAATAATCAATAAGAGTAGGTATTACTAACCACTATAAAATTAAACATTTAAAACTGGAGTTTTACGTAATGTTTTTACTGAAACTATGCAACACTAATTAGACGAGTTTTTTTGGTGATTATATTTGTCAATAAAATTATTTAGACACTTACTAAAATTTTGATTGTATAAAAAACATAATATTTCTAGATTAAGAATATTTTGTACAGAATGATGTTTTAAGAATATATTGAGATGTTAAGAAATTGTGCAAAACTTATACATTTAAAAAAAAAAATACAAAAATATTTGTAATCTTCAGGTTTCAACCACGGAATCTGTGATTTGAAGGAAAAAGTTTACCAGTTAACTTAGAACAGTGAAAATTGAAATATTTTATTTCATAATTTATTAATATATGATGCATACAATTTGAACTTTTACTTGTTTTCTTTAATATTTGTATTTATGTTTCAAGTACACCGGACGCAAGGTACAGAGTACTATAAATTATAATATACAGAGGTGTTTTTAAATTTTTATTAATTTTCAACAATTAAATTTGACTTAATAATCTTATACTTTTATTACCTTTTTAGGTACCTACTTTTATTTGTATTTCCCAGTCCCTAAGTCTTTTATGAATTTGTATGAATATTGTATAATTTAAAATAAAAATTATTACGTATTTAAAAAAAATATTTTTATGAAGTTATAGATCATTAAAATGCATGAATTAATCCTAATAATAAATAAATATACTTATCAGAACAGAAATATGATTTATTTAATTTTTAATTCAATATTTTCTTGAAATTTAATTAATTGCCTATCTAAATGTATAAACAGATAAGTTGTATCTATCATAAAACAAAGTATCAATCAGACTTACAAACTAATTTTATAGTATCAATAAGGTTAGGTAGACATATCAACTATAATATCTATTTATGTTTATTATACCTTTATGAGAGATTAAATTACAAACGGTCATTATTTCAATATTTGTTATACCAAGTCATTTGCATATCAAATTGAACTGTGATAATAAGGATTTATTATTTATGCTTAGGAACAACAAAATAATGTGAATATAGTTTAGTTTCAAACCATAAAGAAAGGAGTCGTTTTATTATTTAACAGTAAAAATGAATTGGATTTGTGTATGTATGTTTTGTTTGCTAATCATTTTTGTTCTTTCCGATTCTCAAAAACATGTAAGTATCAAGTATTTTTCAGTCATAAAATGTAAAATTATTAAAATTAAGTAATTAAAATAAAAGTGTAAAATTAAATTTGTATTCATGAATAAGTATAATAAAATACTTATAATATAAGTAAGAACAATCCCTCGAGATTAATTACTTAAGGAAATATGGAGGTACTTATTTAATTATTTACTTAGGTATCTAATTGAGTACTTTATCACATTCCCTCCCCTCACTACCTCATTTCATAATACATTTTCAAAATATTACCTAATAGATATGAATAATACTTAAGTAGAAACCTACAATAATGAATGAAGTAATGCATACCAATACAAAATTGATAACCTGTCTTAGATAGCAAGTAGGTACTTACTATACCCAATTGTGAAGATAGGGATTTTTTTTTTTATCCATTTATTGTACTAAATACTATAAAAAAAATAGTATAGGCGGTAGGTACTTGATACTCAAATAATTAGTTTTTAACCAATTAAAGGTAAATTTTGAATTAAATAGTAAGACTCTTGATAAAAGATACCACTTAAAAGGGGGAAGCCCCACAAGTTTTTCATTGGAAACAAATTATGGAAAATGATGAAAGATCCCAAAATTGTTGCCTCCCCATAGATATTTTCTGGCTACGTGCTTGTACACAGTATAGTTTCAGAATAATAAATACAAATATATTTGTACTTATAATTTTAGTAACTATTAGACATTGGTAATAACTGATGAGTAATGACAGTAATTAGTATGGATACTATTATATATACCTATTTTTATTATTGACATTCAATAGTCTTAGTTTATATAGGTAAAGAAAATAAATAGCATAGTCATTCATTTTACTCAGGCGATACCAAATTTGTTTCATCCATATTTTGACCAGTGCATGATTAAAATTAGGTCAGGAGCCAATCGGTGCTCGAATTGGAAAAATAAAAGTTGAAGGTCTTTGGAACTTAAGAAATTTAACGTCATTTGTTTTATTTCATTTAAATTGTAATGACCGGGTTGGGTGCAAGAAGGGCATTTTCACGGAAATGCCCTTTTTGCTTAAAATATTTTTTTGGACTCTGACTTTTATACCAGTGGTATAAACCGGTTGGTTCAACCGGTGGGTCGCTATAAATGTTAGTCGCGTTATTATTCTAGTCATATTTACTTAACCGTTAAAAAGTTTTTTTTTATTTTTATTCAGTTATAACAGTACTACTACAGAGTATTAAGTAATTTTATATTTTTTTTTTTTTGTTTTTCTACAAACGTTTTTCTTTATGTATGCCTTATATGGGTCGCTAATAATTTACGCCTAAAAAAATGGGTCGTGAGTCCAAAAAGGTTGCTTTATACTATATTTGTATGCAATTAGTTAGATAACCTTGTTATTTCTGGTTGTAAATTAGTAGGTTTGGTAAAAACTGTTTCTAAATTATTATTAGTAGTCTCGTGTTTTCGTTGCAATGTGTTACACTTCGTGACTATTAAGTATTATGCCGCGTTCACACCAATGTAACATGTTATACAATACAAAATATATGTTATATGTAACAAATGTTATAATAACATGTACGTCCACACCAAATTGCAATATTTTTATATTTATCAGTTGTTGACATCATGGCGACCCATGATAACATTACTATTGCAGTAGCAGTGTGCGTAATTTTAAATTTAAATAAAAATAAAAAATAAAATTTTGGGTTCGCCCCCTTTATTAATGAATAGAAAAAAGTATAATGGTAGTAATCCTTTAGATGATTTAGGACGTGGTGATTCCTTGTCCGGTGAACAGAACATTGATAGGTACTTAAATAAATATATAAATAAATAAACTTTATTACATTATTTCAATACACTATTTATTACTTTATTACAATTCTTTAATCTCCCTGTACCTTTGCTTGAAATGAATCAAATATTTTATATGTTATTTAATTTTTTTTTATATTTTCCATCATCAGTAGAAAACAAATTTTGTTCTATAACACTGTTATATAACAGATGCTATATAACATTTTTATTAAATTTATACAACATGTTATATAACTTTGTTATAAAACACTGTTATATAACAATTTTACTTAGGTGTGGATGCGGCATTAGTCATTTAACATTTTTGTATTTTTGTTTATTAACTAATAGTTTATTATTTATTTGTTTATTTATTATTATGTTCTTATTATTCAAAAGTTATGCATAAATTAATAAAATTCAAGTTCTTTAATCATTTTAATTGAAATAGAATAGGTAATTACTGTTTGATGCAAGAAGGGCATTTTCATGACCAAATATCTTTTTTATTTAAAACTTAGTGGACACAAAGAAATACATAACAAAGACATAATTATTTTCTTTAAGATTCAATCTTTTATATGACACAAATTTTATAATTATGTAAGTAGATTTAAAAGAGTGTCACACATTTAAAACTTTAACTTCGTTTATCTCAAAACACGTTTTTCAAGAAAACGGCTTTCTTGCACCCAGCCCCTTAATTATTGAACTTTACTTAACCTATGGGAGGCTTTCCCTCCCACACTAATTTTTAAACATACCTATCTAATTCAAAATTTCCGAAAACAAATAATAACACTACCTACCGTGGGGTAACTTTTTGTTTACATAATAAATACTTAATGATTAAGTATATACTACTATGATATGTGTTTTTGTTTTATTTTCTGTGTGTGAACCACTTTTCTACCATAAATCTTGCTCCGATCATCAGCTTTAGAAATGTTAATTTTTATTAAAAATTATTGGCTCGTTGGTGCAATGAGAAGAATATTTTTTGATTTTCTTTGTAGTACCTAATCTTAACTTAAAAAACCTAAGAAAAACGTTGGAAAAACTTTTAATTATTACCTACATTAGCACTTGAACGGTTTCTTTATTATATTTTATTTATTCAGAAGAGTATGTAAATTTTACTGAATACTTATATAGATATAGTCTTTTGAATACACTTTTTTTCAGACATGGAACAATTTTTAAATCATTCTGGAAATTTTTCAGTTATAACTTTAAAATGTATTGTTTTAGTAAATTGCAATTCGTGGAAAAAAAAATTCAACTTAATGTAGTAATTTTTTTTATATGTGCTTTAAATTCAAATTTTAATGAATATTATAAAATTTTAGAATATAAGAATTACGTAAAAATCACGGCCCAATGGGTGAGAGGGGTGATTACTCTGGAGCCCTCCCTCTCTTGTATCTGCCACTGCGTTCCACTTCAAACAACGCTAAATTTCTAAAAAATTAGTTTTCGTATTCGCTCCCAATTCGAGCACTGAGGCCAATGGATGCTTTTTTTGAATGGCTATTTTTTATGATTTTTAATAGCGTACATACATGTTCTTACATACCATATAGGAGGATATTCGAGATCATGATCCCTTCCCAAATTTGAAATTTTTTTCGAATCATACGTAATAATTTATATTGCTTACATCAAATAGCAGTATATTCCTTAAAAACTATAAGTAAGTATACTTATAGGTACCATATTTTTGTGTTTTACTCTTTTAAATCTAGCGTATATGGTAGTGGAGAAGCTATAACTTTAGATTCGGAGTTTTTTTTTTTTTTTAGACCATAAAGCTTATGGCTTTATAAAGATGTTTATTTTTTATATTTTTTTTTCTGTGGACAACTTTTCTACCAGAGCTCTTAATCAGATTGTGATAAGTGACTCAAAAGTGTAGCACCTTTTCTGAAAGGAAAATGGTGTGGGGTGGTAGGTACTTTAGAGAGGCCATTTTTTGATTTTATCTGGGGTTTTATCAAAAATGTGAAAAACCGAAAAAAACGGAGGAAAAACTGGAACATGTAAGAAATGTAAGTAGGTATTAGTTAAAAATATTACGGCCTTCTTTTTTCCTGTGGACAACTTTTCTGCCAGCAATTTTGCTCCGACTTATAACGATAGTACTTTTACTGAAAGGAAATCTGACTTGGAAGGTACATTAGGAGGTCCATTTTTCGATTTTCTCAAGATTTTCCCTCGAAAATGTGAATAACCAGGAAAAAATGACGTGGGAAAAACGGGGAAATCGGTACATTAAATAAATATTATTAAAGAAAATATATAATGCTTATTTATTTATTTTACTATATTATGAGATATATATATTGTTGATAAAACATCACTATAAACTGAGCTCCGCTTAGAATAGTTTTTTTGTTAGCAATGGTTTATCGTTGCTTACAAGTATAGATTAAATTATCTATAACATCGGGCTTCACCCGTCCCCATTATCCTAGGACGTCTTTTTTTTTTATTTTAAAACCTAACTTACTACCATTTGTTTGTTTTTTTTTCTATTTCTTTGATCAACAAATCCATTTTGTCACTTTTTTAAAGTTTATAGATTTTATACTATTAGTTTTAAATTAAAATGTCAGTCTGCAGTTTTATAAATTGTTTTATTGACATTAAAAAATAAAACTATTACACAAGTAATTAGTAAAAATCGTACAATCTGAGTTTCTACCACTGCATAGTGCATAAATTAAATAATAATAAATATAATTATACAAAATTTAGTTTGCTACCTCTAAAATGTACATTAAATTACTTATAACAGTGGCTGCACCCGACCTCATGGGGGGGGGCGAAATAATTAAATTTAATATTAATGATTGGTAAGAAAATAAGGACATACTTTGCACGATGGGTGGACCACTGTTAAAGTGGAGAAGTTGGGAAGTTAAGATACTGAGGGAAATTTAATGTACCTTAATAAATTTAAGTATTGCCAAAAAAAAAAAATTTTGTGTGGAACTCGGTTAACAGTATTGCTCAGGAGCGTCTTTAGGTAAATTTCATGGAGGGGGGCAAGCAGATTTTTTTCTTGAATATCACCGCTTTGGTCAACAAAAACTTAAAACCTTTATGTCTGATGTTATTTAAACTTATATTAGCTTAGAAGACAGTAGATATATTATATAAATGTAGTAAAACAGTACAATTATTTAAAAGTTAAATGTATTTTTTCACACTAAATTAATAATAATTAATATAATAATAATATGAACGACAAAAATAATAATAATAATAATTAATAAAAGTTAGATGATCAAGTCCAAAATACTTTTATTTTAAACAGCGTTTTGCAAGCGGTTTGATTAACAATATTTTCTATATCAATATTTTCATTTCGATGAATATTTAAAAGTGATAAGCTAGTTAGTCTCTGCTCAAAATTTTTCTTTTACTATAAAGTACGAATTTTAATAAAGTTTATGTTATATTCCCAAGCATTTTTGTTTGGTCCAACAATTTTATCCACAGAGTACCTATCAAATAACATTTTCTACATTCCCAACAGATTATTATCAAAATAAATAGTGACATAGGTTTTCTTTTGTTTATTTTTATGTTATTTTGACCATATGAGAAAAAATACGACTTTTATACACCTTTTACATTAGGTACTACTTTGCTGAGAAAGATTTTTTCGTTGCATAAAATATTTAAACTAAATTACTCTGTATATCCTATAACCTTCCTAGCTTTTCACCTGCAACAGTAAATTCTATATTCATGTATTTGAGTTTGATACATACAGGGCGTTGACGGAAATTAAACATTTCAACACCAAAATGTATTTTAACTAAAACGTTATTTATCTATAGAATTTTTAAAGTAGGTTGCTATTCAAAACTCAATAGTATGTATAATAGTTTCACTCCCAAAGATAACGGTAATGTAAAATTTTAGAGCTATTTATTTTGGGTGCCAGTTAAAATTGCCAAAAGAAAACTGCAAAAAATATACAGTGAAAATAAAAACAATAAAAATATTATTTTCGTTATATTTTTTTAAACTTACAAGATAAAAAACATCATCACATAAAAACATTAAAATCAAAATACTATATAAAATTAAATTTAAATTTGATATTTTTCCTAAACTAAAAATTATAGGCGACACCTCTTAGGTATTCAAGTCTGTTCATATTTTCGTAGTCATCGGCTAATTCTTTAAGTGTATCCCTTATTCGTTTTCTGAATGTTTCAATCGTACCCGCTATGTACTGATTTATTTTCATGTCGTTTAAACTCTGTTCCTTTTGAATTGCATCAATAAATTTCCATATTTTTGAATGACATGAACTCAATAAATTATTAAAGCCTCTATGCCACCCTTCAACATAATTATTTGTTCTAGGTAACCCAGATATAGTAGATGTAAAGCAGTTCCACAGTGAAATAGGAAATCTGGGGTTTCTTCTTTTACGTCTATTTGGACGACCGATCCATGTATCCTCAAAATAGGAAATAAATGGTTCTAACACGTCTTCATTATTAATGTAATACGCACTTTCACACAATGTCTCAAATGCGTCAATTACGTGATTTTCCGGAACAAAAGCCAAGGCAGACATGTAACGGACTTGCAATGAAAATTCTGAGTCTGCTTTATATTTTTTTACCATCCTGGAAATAGTTTGGATTTTTCGCCAAACACATTGTGTTTGATGAAAAAAAACAACCATTTTGTTCGGTATTTGGAAATTGTATTTGAAATGCGTTTAATGAGTTTTGTTCAAAAACAGTCATTATTGTTTAAGTATTTAAAAGAATATTGTTTTATATTTAATTTTCTTTTAAGATGATGTGACACATTATATAACATATTTAATAACTTATATAATAACATAATATATTTAATAACTTATATATTAACATTACATATTTAATAACTTATGTGATGTCTCGTGCTTATCACAATCTTATGATAATCTTATCATTACAACAAATATTATGTGTTTTTATTGCCAAAAAAAACCTTTCCTACAAACTTTGTGTTTTATCTGGCATTAAAGCGAAAACTACTGGTATTACCAAATTATGCTTTATAACATGTATCGTGTATACCTGTGTAAATAATAGAGGACATGACTTAAAAGTTCCATTTGCAAACCAATGATCAGATTTAGACGGTAAATTTAAATTCTCTTTCGTAGCAAATACTATTTACTTGTCGTATTCTACACAAAGTGCGTTTTATATAACTTACTGGAGGGACAGTTTCGTGAACTGCTTGTGAACATAATGTTGACGCTTCTGAAACGATTTGATGTGGATTATCTTGAAATGATAAAGCTCGAATTTTCATTTTGTCTATACAAATACGTCGTTCAATTTCTAAATTCGATATGGTATGTTCATTAGGGTCTTGAACAATTTCTTTGTTTTTTAAATTAAGGCGTGATTTACATAGGCTTTCATTACATCTCCCATACATGGTAGATTTATATTTTTTATCAAACCTATACAGATAACCATAATATTTTAATACATTTTTGTTTTTTGACTTTGAATAAACTTCATTACGATTGAATTTACTGCACTTATGAAACGTTTGAACATGGCAACGGACGACTCGGTAATGGTATTATTATTTACTATGATAAAGCTTGACAATGCTTATCTTTATTACGTGATCTAAGACGCAAAAGTACAAAGTTATATTCCAATAACCTTGCTTATCCAGTATTATTATTACTTATTATATTATAAAGGAATACTTACTAATGAAAATAATTTCTTACTTTTCGCTATTATGTTTTCACTGTTAAAACGTCTCACGATTTTTACTTTCCCGATATTTTTTTTACGATTTACACATGAATACATTTATTTCATAAGTTGTTGAAAAATATATGACTACATCGTGGATTTGCGCAAATATTTTATTTAATTTTCAGACAAACGAACGAACATTTATTATAGATTATGAAAAAAATGAATTTCTTAAAGACGGCCAAGTATTCCGTTATGTTTCTGGTTCATTACACTATTTCCGAGTTCCCCAACAATATTGGAAAGATAGAATTCAAAAATATAAAGCTGCTGGGTTAAATGCTATAACAACGTGAGTACATAATTATATAGAAAGTATTACTTATTTCTATTTTACAATAATCATATGTACTTATATAAACATCATCTAATTTATTATATTAGATTATTAGAAACATGAGTTAGTACCTATTGTATTGTTTTGAAATAAACAACCCAACTAAAATCTTTTTTTTTGATTTTATATTTTTCCAGCAATTATGATTCCCCCACCCCCTCAAAAAAAAAAAAGTTTTCAATAACATTTTCCAAACATAAGAATTTATACTTTTACTAGATACCTATATACGTGTATACGAGATGTGACTATTAAATAACAAGACTTTCATTCTAAAAACTTTTTATTAACAATTTTTAACTTTCTATATATTCTCTTTGATTTAATGTATCGCTTCATTTGTATTTTCTTTTGATTGAAACAGTGTTGAAAATCTTTTTCATGTAATGCCTTCAACACCTGTCGATTTGTTTTTACAGTTCCAATTGACTCGAAATGCGTCGCTTTTACACGTTTTTTTAATTTTAAGAGCCAAAAGTTGCACAGAGAGCGAGATCTGGTGATTATGGAGTGATGTTGTAGCACTAAAGTTCGATTTTTAACCAAAAACTGCTTTATAGATAAAGAGATAAAGCATTATGAAGGACTGCGTTGTCTTGATAATCCATGATTTGTTTTCCCACAATTCAGGCCGTTTTCTTCTTACTCATTCTGAGTGTTGTCAATACTTGTAAATAATAATGTCGATTTCTAGTTTTTCTCTGGGGTACATTCAATCATTATTACACTATTTACACCCTTGATATCATATTTTTAATGAACATGGGCGACCCACATACGTTGTTCGTTTTTAACTTCAATACGACCCTCAAAAATGGCCACTCAAAAACACGTGTCCGTGTCGTAACAACATCTTTATAAATATTTGTCAACAAACGAAATCCTTCCATTTCAGATTTTCCAAGCTTCATTGGAAATTTTAAATTAATACACTTTTCAATTTTTTTAGTAAATAAATAAATATATCAATATTTGATCGCTTTATCGCTAGTCTTTGTTCTCAACATAAAAATCAACAGATTTCTTACACTAACCAGTGGATGAAATTAATTAGATGAACTTTGTTAGTGGGTACTAATGAATATCTAGTCCTACAGACCAAATCGTATGAGGTCCTATACTAGTCCTAAATTTTTAAATGTTAATTTAGTTAAAAATTAACAATTGTCTGTTATGTATTTATTTGGTGAAAAAAATAGTTTAAATTGCAATTCAAAAAAAAATTGTATATAGTTATGTAGAATGGAGTTTACATGAACCATATCCTGGCATATATAATTTTGAAGGCATAGCAGACTTGGAGTATTTTTTGAAATTAATCAAAGATGAAAATATGTACTTACTTTTGAGACCTGGGCCATATATATGTGCTGAACGAGACTTTGTAAGTTATTATTTGATATTATCAATAACAATAATAATAATATAAGTTCAACTTTTATTTGTAGGGTGGATTTCCATATTGGTTATTGAATGTGACACCTAAAAATAGTTTAAGGACTAATAATTTAAGTATGACTCAAAAAGTATTTATTTAATGTTAAATGAAAATAAATAATTATTCTGAAATTGTTTTATAATGATAAAATATTATAGTCTATGGTGGTATTGTTTATATAACTTTTACTTCTTGAACAAATCTTGATCTATATTCATTTTCATAATCTATGGTTTTGTTTTGAATTTTAATTTATTGACTTTAAAATTAATATAAAATTAAAAAGTTATTTATACAAAGAGTAGATATTTTTTTTCAATTATATTAGTTATAAATTTAATCTATTAACAATTATCATTGGTGATATTGTCTAATAAATTTTATTTTTAAACTATAAAATAAAATTTTAATTAAATCAAATTTTTAAAATTTGTTCTGTGCAATTAAACTATCATTTAATGAAAACTAATCCATTCCACCAAATGAAAAATTGTTTTTTCCTTTGCTTCTAACCTACTTTCACCATCAAGTATAATATACCTAGTTACAAGAATTTAAGTTTCTACTGAATATTATTTTTATAATAATGTGTTAAACATATGAACTTTTATAATGTAGGTTATACAAAGTATGTTTCAAAATGGTTTAGTGTACTTATGCCAAAAATTCAACCTTATTTATATGGAAACGGTGGGAATATAATTATGGTTCAGGTGAGAAAATATAGATTCTGTACATTAGCCTGAAAATAATATATTTATAATTTTTGGAATTTATAAATTTCATTAGGTAGAAAATGAGTACGGGAGTTATTATGCCTGTGATTCTGAGTATAAATTATGGCTTCGTGATTTGTTTAGGAGTTATGTACAGAATAATGCTGTACTCTATACAACTGATGGTTGTGGTGAGTCATATGTTCACTGTGGCTCTATTCCAGAAGTATATGCTACTGTTGATTTTGGAATTGGTTCTAATGGTCAGTATATACTTATGTAAATAAGATAGAATGAAAAACCAACACTTTTTTGATTAAATGTGTAATGTATTATAACATTATTCCTTAATCACCGAATAATAAACTTCATTAATAATACGAATATTAGTAATATTGGCCAGTAGTGCCAAGTGATGTTGATTTGTGTTACCTATTTGGTTTACTTTCTTACAGTATCATGGCTAAAACTTTTGAACTTTAAAGGAATTTTAATTTTTGGGAGTTCTTTTGCTGTAATTCGGTTATAAGTACACGTAGAGACTTACATACACATAGAGATTTGAAATTTAGTAAAAATATTTATATTGGACTTACTTAGGTAAAATATGGTAAAATTTTCAAAATCATCGGACAATTTTTTTTTTTTTATTTAACGTTTAGAAATCATATTTAAACGAAAATCTCAAAAAAAAAATTAAAATTATGTATTACCGAACTGCTCTCGGAATCGTATTTCGTCAATCAATGGTTTATCTGTACTTACAGATATAAATGAAATAACCTTATGTATCCTACCTTCTCAACTTCTCACCTACAACAGTGGCCGTACCCGTCCTCAGTATCAGCTCTTTTGTTAAAATTATTTCAAATTAATAGAAATCTTCAAATATTGGTATTTCTTTGTCAGTTGATTTACTTATTTTATTATCAAAAATACTTCAAACAATAATTTCAAATTTATGAGAACAAGATAAATTAAGTAATTTTTTTCAAAATATATACAAATTGTATACCAAAAATAATTACAAGATTAAGCTTAGGGCCACCCTAATATTGTAAATAAAGTATTCTAAGTATTACACTATTATAATTATGTATAGATTATTATAAAAGGTAATTACTAAAATTGTATGTTTTAGCTTCTGAATGTTTCAACTTTACAAAAATGGTTCAAAATGGAGGTCCATTAGTTAATTCGGAGTTTTATCCTGGATGGTTATCTCATTGGCAAGAACCACTAGCTGTAGTGCCATCTAATGATGTTGTGAATCAAGTTAAAATAATGTTGGCAATGAATGCTTCTTTTAATTTTTATATGTTTCATGGTGGAACAAATTTTGGATTCACATCTGGAGCAAACACAAATGACACTAAAAGTAGTGTTGGATATTTAGCACAGTTGACCTCATATGATTACAATGCTCCTTTAGATGAAGCCGGAGACCCTACAGAAAAATATTTCAAGATTAAACATGCTCTCAAAAAAGCAGTAAGTTGTCTGTACTAGTAAAGGTTACTTTTACACTATTATAATATTCATATTGGTAAATTTGTTCTATGTGTTTTACATGGGCATACAATATTAGATAAATAAAATATCAAGTACCATTTAGTATACTGTAATAGTGTATGAAAACATTTTATTAGGGTGCGGATTTATATGAATTTAAAATTCAAAATTATGTACTAATTTTTAACCAAACATAAAATTAAAAATATAAGATATATAAAAAAAAAAGAACTTTATAAGTTGGTAGGCCATTGTTTTAGGTGAGAAGTTGGAGAGGTAGGATATAGAGTAAAATTTAATGAATATCTGTATGCAAAAATTAATGATGGCTAACGAAAAACGATTCTTAGCAGAGCCCGGGTATACTTGTTTTGAAAGTTCATGATATTTACAATTTTTATCAAAATGTTATAATACAATTCTCATAAAAAAAGTGCCATAAAGTACGACTTATAATGAATCTCTTGTTAAGTTATCAATGTTTTCTGTTTTGTCTAACAATTTTATTTACAGCTACTTACCGAATAAACATTATGTAATAAAACAAGCAAAAGATGACTTTGACAAAATGAAAATATATAAATAGCTCAAAAATGACTAAACTGTTGCAAATTTTAAAAAAAGCAAATATAAGTTTTCTGTTAAAATTTTAAGTCTCTTCAAATATTTTCAACTGCATAACAATAAAAAACAAAATTGAAAATAATTTTGGACATTTTTCCATTTTTTCCACCTATTTTCCCAGTTATTATAAAAATTTCTGGGAAAATTAAAAAAATAACTTCCTCAAAGTACCATCCAGATAAAATTTATTTTTAAAAAAGATGCTACACTATAATATTGAAGCAAGATTTCTGGTAGAAAATTTGTATATCTATAAAAAAAAAAAAAAACCATTATAAAACCAATACATTACTGTCTTCGCTCAGAAATTAAAATGTTTCAATTCTTGATATAAATTTCAAAATAAGTACATATAAGTATAAAATAAAATTATATACATCACTAATTTTTTTTTAAAATAACTGAATATTTAATAAAGTATGTAAAAATATATAATATAAACCGTAGCTTAAAACAATCATATTGCCTTGCAACATACATACATTTTTGCCTTCTACATAGAATATTTTAATATTTGTTTAATATTTATTATTGATTTGGTTTTATTATTTTTGTTTAATATTTAGAACTATTTGGACACAAATTATATTTCACCCATACCAGCTCCAAAAGGAGCCTATGGAAAATTTAATTTACAGCCTTTGGTTAGTATATTTGAAAAAGCTGCACAACGTATTAAACCTGTGGTTAGCATGGTTCCATTACCATTTGAGGACATGGATATTAACACTGGTTTTGTAATTTATGAAACATCATTAAAAAACATTCAAATGAATCATACAAACCCAATTATCCTTAATGTGACCTCAGTTAGAGATCGAGCAATCATTTACCTGGATCAAGTAAAATTCTGTTCATTTTATTTTAGGAACATAAGTTCTTAGATATTTTGTTCTAGTTACAAGTTGGTATTATGAGTCGGTTAAAAGGTAACACAACTATAAGTTTAAACATCAATAATTCAATTCAAACGCTGAGCATTTTAGTTGAAAATCAAGGAAGAATTAACTATGGAGATTTTCTGGAAGACAGAAAGGTTAGTCGATTCTTGTTGTATACAACAACAATTTGAATTACTGTTGAATATTGAATAAATATAACATTATATTATTGTGTATTTGATATTTACTATAGAATTAAATTCCATAATAAAATAAAATCATAATTTACTGTAACCTGGTGTTTTTGACAGCAGCTTGTGTATTTTATTATGATTTACTGGTCACAAAATTTATACTAGTAGATATAATAGTAATATTAAAAAAATGTTTAGGGAATTTCTGGTACTGTTTCTCTTGGAGACCAAGTTTTAAGTCCATGGAAAATGATTGCATATCCTTTGAACGAAACGGCGTGGTTTTCATCTATCACACCATCTAAAAATGTTCAATTGCCAGCATTTTATAAAACACAATTTATGTTACCAGAAAACTATTCAACGTGTTTGGATACATATTTGGACACCTCAGGCTGGACAAAGGTTATAGGATTATATAATATGTGTATTTATGTCTGTAATTTATAATTTGATTGTTTGTTTTAATATTTTTTATTTACAGGGTGTAGCATTTTTAAATGAGATAAATCTTGGTCGATATTGGCCCATTGGAGGTCCACAAGTGACGCTTTATGTACCAGCAGCATTTTTAAAACCACCACCTAGTATCAACACCCTTGTGATGTTAGAACTTGAGAATGCCCCTCAAGACTTGGCTGTACAATTTATAGACTATCCTATTCTTGATGGCCCTATAAGCGGGCCCAGGTTAAGCAAATGACCCAAATTGACTTATCATTTGGGCACTAGGGACTTACCTCCTCAATATGGAAAAATTATGTCATAAATTATTTCGCTATACACACCTTAGAAATAATTTACAATCATTTTTATAACTTATAAAATATATGAAAAATATAATAATTTAAATTACATTATTCAAAATATTATTAAACATTTTTGTTACTATATCTTTTCTTGAATATTTAAATCTGTTACCAATTTTAACGGTATTTACTTCTTGTAATAATTCATGTTCTATTGACAGCAATGATAAGGATGCTAATTTTTATTTGCATAAGATTTGACCATAACCAATTTTTTACTTGTTTCAAAATTGAAATTATATTGTATCCTTGCATCTTGTTCCGAAAATTGATAAGTATATTCTTAAGGCAATATTTAAATTTGGGAAATTTGATATAATTTTTATATTTATTTGTCTTGAATAATATTTCACTAACAGACATTCCAATTCTGGGGATAAAATTGTTCAACCAAACAGAAATGCTTGAAAATTTGACAGGAGGTTCATTAAAAGTTGTACTTTGTGTTTAAACGAAAAATGAGCTAAATGTAGTATTATTTTTATAAAGAAATTTTAATATCAAATTTTGACGAAAATCCGAGTAAAAATGATGTGGAACAAATCTAATTACTGAAACATGCAAATTTTTCAATTTTGACATACGAGGGTTGTCCCAAAAGTAATGCACAGCGCGCTCTAGCTGTCTTGCAATGTGATATTATCAGCTGATTTTAGTATCAGTTTGTAGCTTGAAGTCTAACGAACACGTGCGTTTTCAGTTTTAGTTGTTTAGTAAAGTATGTTGATGTGTGAGAGCGATAACGAAAGTGAGAACAATTCGTCGGCTCACATTTCTGTTTTTGAGCAACGCGCATACATTAAAATAAAAACGATTTGTGGTAAAACAGTGCCTGAAATTCATGCCGCGTTAAATGAAGTGTGTGGAACGGATACTGTGGATCGTAGAACGGTGCAAAGATGGCATCAGCGATTCCGTGATGGTCGTATAAGTATTGATAACAACCCTCGCTCTGGCCGACCCTCTACGGTTACTCAAGACAACACTAACGCGGCTATAATTGTCACTGATCGAGTTCCAATTGGCAGTAGTGACTTAAATGACATCAGACATAAAGGTTTTAAGTTTTTGTTGACCAAAGCGGTGATATTCAAGAAAAAAATCTGCTTGCCCCCCTCCATGAAATTTACCTAAAGACGCTCCTGAGCAATACTGTTAACNTCTTAACTTCCCAACTTCTCCACTTTAACAGTGGTCCACCCATCGTGCAAAGTATGTCCTTATTTTCTTACCAATCATTAATATTAAATTTAATTATTTCGCCCCCCCCCATGAGGTCGGGTGCAGCCACTGTTATAAGTAATTTAATGTACATTTTAGAGGTAGCAAACTAAATTTTGTATAATTATATTTATTATTATTTAATTTATGCACTATGCAGTGGTAGAAACTCAGATTGTACGATTTTTACTAATTACTTGTGTAATAGTTTTATTTTTTAATGTCAATAAAACAATTTATAAAACTGCAGACTGACATTTTAATTTAAAACTAATAGTATAAAATCTATAAACTTTAAAAAAGTGACCAAATGAATTTGTTGATCAAAGAAATAGAAAAAAAAAACAAACAAATGGTAGTAAGTTAGGTTTTAAAATAAAAAAAAAGACGTCCTAGGATAATGGGGACGGGTGAAGCCCGATGTTATAGATAATTTAATCTATACTTGTAAGCGACGATAAATCATTGCTTACGAAAAAACGATTCTTAGCGGAGTTCAGTTGGTAGTAATACTTTGTCAACAATATACATGCCATTTTATAGTAAAATAATGAAATAGGCTTTATATATTTTCTTTAATAATATTTGCTGTTGTACCCAGTGGTGTAAAATAGTTGGTGGTGCATATATTTAAAAAATTGTGTAAAATTCGTACAGTCAATTCAGAAAACGGGAATTAAAACAAATATTTTATTGAAATATGAATATATTTGGGAATTATGTTTGTTTCTGTTATATACGTTTTATTAAATAATATTATTTATGGAATGAATGTAAACCGGGTCGGTCAGTATTTTCTAAAGAGTAATTTGTGAGATAACGCCGCCCGCCGTACGAATTTAATATTATTCAAAAGAAATACTAAGTTCCCAATGCATGATATTCTCCGTCAGCAGCGGCAAACGGCTGTACGGCCGCGGAGGTGAAATATTTCTGCGCCAACACGCCACAAGTTTAATCGTAATTATGCCACTAGTAGGAATGAAACGGTCAAATACGCATGCGCGACTGGTGCAAAAATTGTATTTGCTATGTATTCGTACTCCGTAGCTGCGGGTGCTGCGTATTGTGTACAATTGCATACTTATAACGTGTGACAACATTCGTTTTTCTCGACTATTCGCATAAAATATTTTTTTAATTCTATAAAATAATTTTTGTTCTCGTCTCTAAAATGAATCTGAATGCATTTCTATATATATTATATTGATTAATAACACATTGTTTTTATTGTAGTAAAATAGCAATGTATAAGTAGTTTTTAAAATTGTAGGTGGTACACTGATCCTGTGCACCATAGCACGAGCCGCCACCGGTTGTAACGATTTTCTTAATTTTTTTTATGTTTTCCCCACGTTTTATCCCGGTTTTTCAAATTTGATGAGAAAACTGAGAAAGCCGAAAAATGACCTCCCTAAAGTACCTCTTCTTGTTTCACAAGAAAGTACCACTTTTGTGAAATTTCCTTTTAGAAACATTGCTATCATTAAAAGTTGGAGCAAAATTACTGGTAGAAAAGTTGTTCACAGAAAAAAAAAAATCGTAATTTATATTTATTATACTTCGTAAATTTTTCCGTTTTTTTTTTTCAGTTTTTCGTGTTTGATGAAAACATCGAAAAATTACCTCCCTAAAATCCGAGTAAGTCTTCTGGTAGAAAAGTTGTTAACAGATAGAAAAAAAAATAAACATCTTTGTAAAACCATAAGCTCTTTCGCTCCACTCAGAATCTGAATCTTAAATTACGATTTATTATTACGATTATTCATAATACATGTTTTGGCGGCAAAATAACACAACCAATGATATCTGGCAAACTGCAGTTGGCGTGGTGCGCAAGTTGGAACGAGAACACGTAAATAGAACATTTCTATTTTTTTTTTTATAGTTCTTTTGTCATAGATATAGCCCGCGGACATACCTTAGTTCGCGGTATAGAATGTGGATCCACCACAGATATCTATACTATATAGTATACTAGTATATATTATGTCGTAGGCAATATGGAAAATTAGTCTTTTTTGCGAAAAGACTAGGCTCTTTACAATTTGGTAGCCCGTTTGCGAACTACTTATTATTTTTCCAAACGGCCTACGGTTTTTCAAGCTTATCGCATACAGACTAACAGCAGTTGTGCCTTTTAAGAACTACAATCATTATAATATTGTAACAGCCATTTTACTTATTTTATATTAACGGTAATTTATTACTTTTACAGAAAAATAAAATCAAATAGAATTTTTATAACATGTAAACTGAATAAATATACATTATTATACAGTATTATATTTATTTTATAAACTCTGTCAATGGCGAGTATCAATTAAGTTTAGATTATTTCAAAATTGTTGACTATTGTATTATTAGTTTTATTTTATATTACTAATAAAAAAAAAAAATATATTTTATTCAATTTTAATTTTTAATTATAAATAAAAAATGTAACACGAATAAAACGACATGTAACAATAAGTAAGTAAATTTATAACTAGTAATACAATAATCAAAAACTTTAAAATAATCCAAACTTCACTTTTGATACATTTATAAAATAAATATAATACTATATAATAAGTACTATACTTATTCAGACTATTCAGTTTACAAGTTATAAGATTTTATTTTTTTGTAAAAGTAATAAATTACCGTTAAAATAAAATAAGTAAAATAGTTATTACTATATTATAATAATTGTAGTTCTTAAAAGGCCTAATTGCTGTTAGTATATATGCAATAAGCCTGAAAAACAGTAGGCCGTTTGGAAAAATAACAAGTAGGTAGTTCGCAAACGGGCTACCTCACTGCAAAGACTAATTTTCCATATGGCCTACGACATATATATATATATATATAGTATAGTTATCTACGGGATACACCTTGACTTGTTATTAGGTTTATGATAAAAATTATGGTTATAGATACCAGTATCTATAGCCGTGATTAAAACTCAACCCTATCGCTAACCATTTTTGTGTTTTATGGTTATTTTAATATTATCACTATCATAATAATATATTTTATCTTTAATCATAAATCAATAATTTTTCTAGATTTTTTTTCTCTACAGTATACAGTCTAATGTAATCTTCTGTATACATTTTAAATAATATATTTGTATTTGTATCTACGGCTTTTATTAAAATGACCATATTGTTAACTGTTTAAATTACAATGCACATCAGGTTTGAGAAGAATGTCAACACAAAATGCGACAGCGACATATTGTCATTGTCTTGGATGGGCAGAGTTCCTGACAATGTAAATGTATGTTTAATATATAGTTATATATGGTGTTATTTAATGAATTAATTTTTGAAAGTAATATTAAATACTAAAGAAATATATATATAGTATTAATTTTCAGAACCAATTGTTTTAGGCACAATTTTTATGTTGTCTAAAGAACATCAGTTTTTTTAAAACATTTCTTTGTAATAAGTGTTATAAAACATTGAAATAAATGTAATTCAGTACCCATGTTAATTTTTCAGATTTTTTTTCAAAATTTGTCAATCTGTTATTTTAAAAGTTAAAAAAATCGATTGAAAAAACATGACACAATAATTATAATAAATGACATCAAAGATTTGATCTTACTGTATTTCGTGATTATTGGAAAATAGGTGTGTATATTTATAATTTAAAACAGTTTTGAGAGTTCTTTAGTTTGTTGATATAATTTTAAAAAAAAAAGTCTCCAAGGGATAAATAAAAATGTCTCTTATTTGTAAGCCAAAGACTTTTTTTACAAATTTATATCAACTAATTGAATAAGTGCCTCTTAAAACTGTTTATATATACCTACCTACGTATACACATCTTTCAACATTCACTAATTATGGTCTTACTTGATAAATTTTGATTTTTATAGCATTTAATTTGAAAATTTTGTCATGTTTTGCAACTTAACTAATATAAGAGTAAACACTTTTAGGTTTAATGCCTTAAAAAACTCATATTAAATGTAAAGAAATCTATACAAAAGAAAAATTAAAAAGATAATCTATTTTATTTATAAACAATAATATATTTACTCAGAAGGTTAGAAATTAAGAAGTCATTACTGATTTAACATAATATTTGTATTGTCTATAAATTAACATTTGTTCTATCTACAAATATAATATGTAGGTATGATCAATAGAGCCTATTTAAATTTAGTTGTTTATTAATAATATTTACACATTTAAAATGATTAAGCTTTAGTGAGAGTAATTAATATACATGTAAACAAATGCATTTATCTTTAAAATTATATAGGTATACTATTGTTATATTTAAATAAATTCATAAAGAGGTTTTCAAAACTATTTTTTGTATATTTGTGTATCTAAAACTAAAATGTATTAATATATGTTCTTGTAGGAAGAAGGATGGACTTTGGATGGACATTATTATTATAAACAAGGATGGTTGGCAACAGGAAATTCTCAAGGTCTTGTTGGTGTTACATTTACTTCTATACCTATAAATTGTGCACCTAGTACTGATAAATTACCTCTTCGTACCAATTACAATTTGAGAAATCATCATGCCAAGGTATCTCTTTGTTTATTGTCTCTTTTTAATTTTTTCATAATTTTGTATTATATTATTTTTATTTATTATTATAATATATATAGTAGAAGCCATTTATTTGGAACACTTTTGAACCAATACAAAATTTGTCAATTAACCGATAATTTTTAATATGTGATGGTTTACTATGATTATTTTATTTATTAAACATAATTTATTCTGTAAAACTAATGAAAAAAACTAGGTATTATTACATATTACATATGTTATTTGTATTTTATTTTGTTTATAAACGAGCAAGAACCTTTTAGAACAATAGTACAGTGATGATTATTATATTGTATATTTATTACATTTTATATATTATGTAAAAAATGTATCTATCAGTATAACACTGAGGCAGCTCTCCCACTAGAACAGCATTATTGATGCGACACAATTAAAAAATAAAAAACACAAGTGCGACAACTTTAAACGATTTAAGTTGTGTTGTTTTTAAAATTTTACTTGTATTATTTTTGACAAACGGGATCTTCTTTTTTTTGGTCATATTGCCGATGTAATGAAACTGACCAAGTTCAGTCACGTACGATTCTTATCTGTTGCTTTGCATGTATGGATAAACGGTGCATATACCAACTGGATTTGTCGATTTTGGCATAATTGTTTCAAATAACTAACATGTTGTTTTAATAACATGATTGTATTAATTATCAGTGTTTCTAATAATTCATGGCTTCTACTGTATATTATATTATAAACATATTTTATTTTGTTTTGTTATTATCTTTTTATTTTTATTTTAGTTTTACAACAATTTTATATTACATTTGAATATCGCACATTTTTTTATTTTATTTTTTATTATTGATTGATTTGGGTTTTCTCGTATACATTTTGGTAAGTATATACAGCTTTAATATTTATTTTTAGTTATATAATTTTTTGATTTTTATATTACTTTGATTAGTTATCTTGAAAATATAAAGGTACATATATGGTATATATTATATATACTTAGGGCCTTGCTATGCTATGTTTCTAATGTTTCTAATCTGCCAAATGGGAAATAAAAAAATTCCAATATGGAAAAAAAATTTTTCTAATTAAAGATATCATCACAACATAATGCGGTCATGCGAAAATTGAAATAAAACACATGTTTGTACATTATAGTTGTTATACTGTGTTTTATGATAAGAGTTTTGTTTAGTGTATCTGTATAAATGATGAATTGGCAGGATAAAGTGTGGCAAGGTCTTTAATATAGACAAAGTGAAATATTTCTATCCGTAGACTCAAACAACAATTTATTATTTCTTAAATTTAATTTTATTAATCACAAAAGCTAATTATTTATTACTTTGACATTTTAATTACTCTTAGTTATTTTATTATGAAATTTTTATTAAAAAGGTTGTACTTGTGAAATGGAATGAACCATATCAAAAACTTGCATCATGTGACAGTTCTGGTGTAATAAATGTTTGGGCCAAGTTTGATTTTCGTTGGAATGTTGAACTAATCAACGATCGAAATACTAGGGTTACATATTTTAGTTGGTCTCATGATGGCCGATTGGCACTAATATGTTATCAAGTTAGTATCATACAAACCAGACTTAACTATGTCTTTTTATAATTGAAATATTTGTATGTATACTAATGCTTATTGCATATTTTACCTGTTGTTTAGGATGGGTTTGTGTTGGTTGGCTCAGTTACTGGCCATAGGTATTGGTCTTCTATGTTACATCCAGAAGGAACAGTTACATGTGGAGCTTGGTCACCTGATGATCAAGAAGTATATTTTATTATATTCCAATATTTTATCTATTTTTATTCAATGTATGATAATTTTATATATTGTATCATTTTTATTGAAAGGTATATTTTGGAACTAGCAGAGGTCAGATGAAAGTTTTGGATATTCATGGAACTCTAATATTTCAAATAAACCTTTCAGATGACTCTGGTATTTCTTCTATGGCTTGGTCTTGCGAAAAGTTTTGCATGAATGAGAACCGTAATAAGTCAGATTGTGAGTATATACTTGTTGTAGTACTTTTTACACGGTATATTGAATTTATAAGAAGCCTGATATACTTGGTTCCAAAAATAATATCAGAATGATTTTTTTTTAAAATATTTATACTTCTTCTCTACACGATGAATCTAAAATAAAATATGTTATGTATTATTGTTTTAATTTTTGAGTGTATTATATTTTCAGGTTTGTTTAAACATGTCTTAGCAATATGTTGTAAAAATGGTTCTATTTTGTTAATGCGCCGATATGATGATCCTGCTCCAATACTTATACGTACAGGTTTATGTCCTATTTATATGGAATGGGCTAATTCAAAAGAGCTGCTTTGTGTTGCTGGTTCAAAGCCTGGTAAACAAAGTGTTAACATTGTGCAAATTTATTCAGACAATGGTCAGTTAGTTTATTCCATTAATATGCCTCAATCATTAGTGAGTTATCATTTATTCAAATATTTAATATATAGGTATTGAATGCATATATATTTTTTAAATTTAGACTAATGTAACAGCTGTTACATGGGCACACAATGATCGAAGAATCTTAATAGCGACAGGTCCTGAAATACATGTAGCATGTGTATCTGCATCAGTTCTTCCTTTACATATACTTTGTGCTCTACGACTGTATGATGAATCATTGTTCCCACCAGATAAATTAATTCCTATTTGTGTTCAAGACATTTTATCTGCTATTTCATCATCTACTATTTATGTGTGTATATTAAGTTAATTGGAGTAATAATTAATTGATTTTAATATATACATATTTGTATTTGTTTTAGTGTGAAGTGCCCAAGTTGTCGGAATTACGGCAGTTTGTAAGTAGTTCACCGAAAAATCGTCTTTATTGTACAGTTGTACAGCATGTCAATGGACCAGATACTACACCGCCAGTCTGTTATGTGTTATACATGGAATATCTTGGAGGTCTTGTACCATTACTTAAGGGCAAAAGAATCAGCATGTTGAAACCTGAGTTTGTCATATTTGATCCTCAAGTAGATGGTAAATACAAAAAAACACCATTTGTTTAAATGTTTTAATAATATACACTTTATTGTCTTGATTACTGTGATATCCACTATGTTGTTTATAATATGTGATATAGTAAAATTTTATTCTACTGAACCTTAACTGTGGTTTTTGTATTCAATTAATTTTTAGATTCTGAGTAAAGCAAAAAAGCTTATAGTTTTACAAAGATGTTTATTTTTTTAATCTGTGCGCAAATTTTCTACCAGAAGACTTACTCAGATTTTTAAATGTAGCTCTTTTTCTGAAAGGAAATCAGCATGGGGAGGTACTTTGGGGAGGTCAGTATTTAATTTTCTCAGGAGTTTTTTTTTTCGTGGTTCAATAGTTTATCATTGTTTACAGGTATACATTTAATTACCTATAACAGTGGCTGCACTCGTCCCCATTATCCTATAGGTCTGTTTTTTTTGTCATGTATGATAATGTGTCAAGAAGATACATTTTTTTTTTTTTTTTTGAGAACATGCAGTCTTTTTTTGTTTTGACATTATTCAACAAAATAATCACAACTATTTTAAGACGTAAATACTAAGTCCCATTATTATAATTTGTTTACATTTTATTATACTTAATGTAATTTATTTTGTCTCTTGACCTAAAAATAATTATAGTTGAACATCATCACTTAGATTAATTTTAATAATATGTTTAAATTATTTTCTAATTTTACATTGAGTTTTAATGATTGGCTAAATATTTCTACTGCAAAGGATAAAATAAACATAGTATACCTATCCTTTATATAATACATATTAAATTATATTATTTTTTTATATAGATATGACATATGCTAATGCACAGATAAGTTACAGTAATTTTGGTTGGGATGACTCTGAGCCTGAAACTTGCTCTAGTCCTAAACTTCATCGAAAAAATAGGCATAGATCAAGACCTGCTTGTTGTAATCGGAAATTACAGTTAAATTGTTATACTGATGTGTTACCAGAAGTATTTAAATGGAATCATTAATCATTAATAAAATAAAATTTTTTAACAATTTTACGATTATGTAGGATTATCGTTTGGCAGAAGTCACAGCAAATGTCTGGGGCACAAAATTTCATATTCGAGGAGTGTGTGATGATTTGACTAAAAAGTTAGGCAGAGTTTCGTACCGTACGTCCATTTTACATTTACAACCTCGCCAAATGACTTTGTCTATTGTTGGAGATGGACAATCACTAGATGATGATTCTTTAACCCCAAAACATCTTCAAAGACGGCGCAGCTGTAGTGTGGGATCATCAAATCCTAAAATAGCTGTATCCAGAGTGGTGGAAGACTCTAAGGTATCCGAGACATTTGCTCATAGTTTGCCTACTAGTCCAGTTGCAGCCAAAAAGAAAAGTAGTTCACCATCAGCTATTAGGTAAATTAGTTTTATTAATTATGCTTATTCTTGTACTTCAGTATTTAATTTTATTTATTTATAGAAAAAGGTTAATGAACTCACCACTATTCTTCCGTAAAGTTCTTAGAACACAAATTGAACCAGATTTTCAAAATTTAGAAACATTTCAAAAATCTCAAATAAAAAATAAAGTTTGTAAAATAAAATCAATAAAATTGATTATACATTTATGTCCTACTATTGTAATTTTAGATTGATATGTGTACCAAAAGACAGCAATTTGTTATGCAGAACAAAGCACCTATCTGGAATGATCTAACTCAAGTCTATCAGTTAGACTTTGGAGGCCGTGTTACTCAAGAGTCTGCTAAAAATTTTCAAGTCGAATATGACGGTATACAAGTGATGCAGTTTGGACGTATTGATCGTAATAATTTTGCTCTAGACTTTCAATACCCCTTTTCAGCCGTCCAAGCGTTTGCTGTTGCACTCGCAAGTGTTACTCAAAGGCTCAAGTAAAATTATTGAAAAAATGTACATTTCATTAAGACCCTTTTTTTTTCACAGGCGTGTAACATATTATTTATCAACACCCTGTAAAATTTGTTTGATATTTTTAAATAGTATTTTTATTATATAGTGCAATATTTCACAATGTTCCTTTTTAGATTTAGTATTCACAAACTATTTAGCTAAGATAGCATAAGGATCTCTTTGTTAATCGCTTTAACAAATATTCACTATTGCAACCTTCAATAATAAAATTATACTTCTCATATCAAATTTTATGTGTTCATATGTATTTCAGTATTAATTATTTAATTATGAAACAAATATAATTAAATTATACAATTAATAATAAATTGTTTGTTATTTTGTTTATAAAGTATTTTAGAAGATCCATATCTTATGTAAATAATTTATCTATGAGTATTACATAAAAATCCACTTTCTAATCATCAAATGGGATAGTTTCTAATATTAAAGGATGATTTCTCTGTGAAAAAAAACCATCTTTTTTAGTCAACAATGATTTTTCTATAATCTTGATTTTATAAACGGTTAATATTTAATAAAATAAAAATCATGTCATAATATAGTATTACATTGTTACATAATATTTATTATTTTATTAAATATCTTTTAGTTAAATACATTTTTTAATTGAAGTTTTGAAATACAATACTAAAGAAATAAAAAAATAAAAGTAGTTCACAATTTTATAAATTACAATTCAATTTTAACTAATCTATATGTAAAATATTTGTATTTATAATGTACTTATATATTATAGTAACATTTATTTTCTTACTTTTACACAAGTAACTAAAGGAGGAATATTACAAGAGCATGTTGTATTGTATGTGTCTGAGTCTGTTTGCTGGGTAATGGTTAATTGTTGACCTAATGATAAACTATGGTCTCCATATTTGCATTCATAGTTACTGGATTTACCAGAAGGAGTTATTTCAACAACAGTATTGTATTTGGCTAGAATATATGAATAAATATGTGTATATTATTTTTAATATTTATCAAATAAATAATGACAATGAGCCAATATTCAACTTACCATCATACCATTCGTTTACGCATCCATCTACTTTTTCAAAATAAACAGGAGCATTTCGTTTTAAAATATTTTCCATATAAAGAATTTCATACTTGCAACCTAATTTTCTACACGATTTATCAATGGCATTACCTAAGTTTAAAAATATTGTTTAATAATGTTGGAAGTAAGTAATAATCATAAATAATTTATTAGTTATAACTAGACAGATTATTTTAGAACATTTATGAATTCCTAAGATCCTGTAGATCAGGTTACAAACATATTTTGTTTGTTTTTTGAGGATGATTTTTTTAATCAAAGGTAGGTTTGAGGATGGGATTAGGAAAGAGGTCAGTAGTTCTCATTAAGCTGTATCTAAAGATGCATGAACAATTTCATGAATAAAACATTCCAGACTTACACATTTTTAAAAATTGGGGATGAGATGGGTTTCCCAAAGAAATGTTATATTTTTGAAAAGTAGCCTGTCACTTTCCAGTCCTCTAACTAGCACTATGTAAATGTTAATTGGTCACTTTGTTGAAACAAAATATAAACTCATTTTTAATAATAGTATGAATTTACTCAATGCAATAAACTTTTGACCCTTTAGGGGACGGGTTTTGAAAAAAAGCCTTTAGTGAATGTGTACATTTCTAACCGTAGTGAATTAGGCTGTGTGTTGATAGATAAGTCAGTTAGTCAGTTTCTTTTTCTACACTTATAGATAATTAAGAAAACTACAATCAAAATTTAAAAAAAAAAAAGATCAACACAATTAGGACTTTAAACCAACATACAAAATACATATATTCTAATTAGAACCTTTTGAAAATATTGGAACTAGAACTGTTTTTTGATTTTTTTAAACACCAAAACTAGTACCGATATTTGTTGGTAAAAAATTATTAAGTTTTCCAAATCCTATTTTATTTATTTAAGTAATAAATATTTATAATAATTATTGTCTATACCTATAGACTATACAAGTTTCAGACATCAATAATATATGACTAATATGAACATTAAGAACAGTTACCTAGTAAAATAAAAAAAGATTAATTTTGTAATTTTAAGATCTGGTACTGATTTTTTTTTTAAGAACCAAATTTGAAAAAAAAAAAATTATTTACAACATTGTTAATTCCATTTCCATTAATTATTTGGTTAAAAAAATGTATCTTTCTATGCATGGAAGGGAATTTATCAGGGAGGGGCATAATAAAATCAAACACCAAGTAAGTTAAAATAAAATGATAGTAATCAATTATTATTATTATTATTAAAATTATATTTGAAATTTTGAAGTCCAGGGGGGACAGATTTCCCGTCTCTTGTCTCCCTTTCCGGGCGCCCAAGGTTCCATGGTTACAATATCGGTTCCAAGTAGATATAAAATCGTGGTTCCGTGTAACAAACGTTGTAAAAAAAAAAAAAAAAAAATAGGTAGTTTATTATAACTTTAACTATCTAGTTTAATAAGATTATAGTCAATAACTAGCAGTTATTATCCAACTTTAGACAAGAGACCTATAATAAAAGTTTGTTCTTACTAACAGATATTTCATGTTGACTAGGTATATTATAAACTGTTTTTAGTATTTTACTCGTAAGATAATATATGTTTTTATTATTTTTTTTTTTTAAAAATGATTCCTGTAAAATTAAATAAAAATAGGTTATTACCATCAAATTCCGGTGTACATACACATTGTAGAAAATCACCAACGTGGAATCGTTCCCCGTTTTTGTACGTGTTTCCATTATAAGTGCATTCGTGAACGATCGCCTTTTCTTCGGCTAAAAATTAAATGATGTTATAAGAATTGTTATATAGGTATAGTTATGGGTACCTTTGGCACGGCCTCTGAGTCCTACATTGTCTCCTCAACCGTACATACAACACATGGCTACTCTACCAACCACCTGAACCTCGGAACGTTAGACTGTTGAAGTCTACCGGAAATAGTGTTAGGACTTAAGGAAACATAAGAATTTAGACGTGTTCTACTTCCAATGCATCGATTGGTTTAGTGAAGCGATGAGAATTCTGAAATCAAATTTGAATTTGTCAAGTGTAGATATTTGAAATCGACTTTCCTATTTTTTTAAATTTTAAATTTAAATTTCTCCAAAAATTAAAAAGTATTCCATTTTTTAAATTACTCCTTTTTTTCTAGGATTTAGGGGCATAAAATAAAAAGTGTGGAAAAGTCGATTTCAAGTAATATTTGACGGAAAATTTAAATCTGTTTACAGAATTCGTATCACTTCACTAGACCAATCGGTACGTTGGAAATAGAATATATCTAAATTCCTATGTTGCACGTGGGCAAGAAAAAGACAGAAAATCACCGAGTCCAACCTCCTCAAGGCGCGTCCAAATAATATCAACGCAAACCCGACACGCAGCACATGCAAATACATCGCATACAATGTACACGGAAAACAGAGAGAGTGTGGACTTTCATGTTTTTAATGTTCGACGAGATGGAGATACTGAAATTTAAATTATTTCTTTACCCATCTAATATTATGTTATTCTCAGTTTTCAGTTTGACATGTGTGAAGTAAACGTAGATACGTTGGGAGGGATAACAAAATCGGGATAAAACATTACGACGGTGTTATTTTTTAAACTAAAATAATTATTTTCAAAATAAACTTCACTGACGATTAAATTTTAATTTTAATAAGTGAGTATGGTGGGAAATATCCATTTTCAAAATATTGTGTACGGCGTGGTTGTGTGTTCAATATTATGTGATGTTTGAAAACATCACATATTATGATAATTGAACCGTGTGTGCTGTGGGTTTGCATACTATGTGGACCGTGGACGGGCGTATAGGTCTCAGGTACCGGGGTAACTCAATAGTAGACCAATCAGCCGGTTAAAGAACTATTCCGTACGCGCCTTTTTCACTATTAAGATTCTGTACGGTATACCAATTTACGGTGGACCAATTTACAGCAACGTTGCAGTTGTTACTCATTTACGGGTATACTAGTCCGTACGCTTATTTTGTACTACCGCGATTGCCAATGGTATAAATACCAATATTTGATTATACGGGACCACGGTTGTGAGTTTACTACCGATTATTGTGACTTATCACTATCGATAGTGGCGTATTTATGTTTGGGGGGGGGGGTTTCCACTCCCCCAGGGATTTTTGTTTTGTTTTAAAACAATCATTTCAAAATCGTTATATCGTTTTCATATAACTTATTTCATGAGTAATTTATTTATTTATACGAGATGAATTCACACGATTTATCTTTATCTTCTATGCCAATTAACGTAACATCATCAATTTCCTCTGTGACTTCAAATACTCTTATTATTACACCAGATATTAACAACAGAAATATAAAAGACACAGCTTGTTTTACTTTACTTTAAGAAGTCTAACATCAGTTGAAATAAATGAAATTCTAATTAATCTTTAAAAACATGATTTAAATTTTGTACTTGTTGTTAACAAAATTTGCAATAAAAATAAAAAGGCCAGTCAAGTAGATTTAAATTTAATTGGCTATCACGTTGGTCTTGTTTAGCTTACTCGGCAATAAAAAATTGTGCTTTTTTTTAAAGCATGTGCTGCTTTTGCTAAATCTGCTGCTGGTATTATTAACTGAAGTCTTGGGACTTTAGTAAAATGCAAATTTAATAGTTAGAAGCATGCGTTTGAAAAATTTAATAAGTATGTACTATTACAATACCATTTAAAGTGTATTATTGATGTAGATGATTCTAAAAAATATATTTATTCGATGATTTAGCAAATAAGAACAGAAAGCTTGATTTATATTTTGATTATATCCATACATATAATTATATAAATAAATAATGTAATCAACTTTTCACCCCCCCACAAAAAAAAAAAAATAATAATAATAAGTTGTAAATAAATACACAACTTGTCTTTTTATTTTTTTTTTCTGTACTGTATCGATCACTATTATAAATTATAATTGTCGGGCTTAATAGTCAATAACAAAAAGCTTTTAATAATAATATTAATAAAACAATTAAATTATAGATATTTTATTTGTGTGTTGTTATTTACATGTACAACTAAAATGGTTTAATATGACCGTACGATAGACAGGGCTCTACGGTGCATTAGAAAAATCATAATGATTTAAATTTAAAAATATTCAAAATCGTAAGCGAGTATTAAAAATGTTTAAGAACATGATGTAATTTTCTGTGTGTAAATATCGTAAAATTAGGTTTTACAACACGTGTTGGCATCTATGCACTCATTTTCATACGGGACCGAATTAGTTTAAGGGTCAGACAGTAAAAACGAACTTTTCCCGAACGTACCTTCGGAACAGTGCAGCCAAAAGGGATAAACATATGGAATCATATAGGTATTTATGAATCGACCGGTAAGCGAGTGATTCGGATTCGTAAAAAAAGTACCATTTACAAGACGAGAACGGTTGCGTCACGTTCTACTTTTACCTCTTTGCTAATAATTATTGAATATTAAATTATAACAATCATCAGGCACGCGCAATAGCATTTTATAGAGTATTAGGTACCTGCTTGGGGTCGGCTATAGTCCAATAGTAACAAGCATTAAAAATAGAATTGGTATAATTAATTGTATTGAGTGAACTTACGGCAATACTTTTTGACTTCACAGCATGAATCTTTGCTGTATTGATAATAACACGGTTCCCTTAAGTGTTTGAAATATGAAGGACATTCGACGTTGGCACACGTAAATTTAGTTACAGTTTTACTGTAAAAATTATTCTATTAATTGTGTTATTAGTTATTAATTATTATTAATAATAACGATTATAGGTATAACTATCAATCTATAATTCGATTTACGATTACTGTAAATTAAAAAAAAATTAAGTGGGTATCCTACGAATCGGAGGTAAACAAAACCTAACTGTCAATCATAACTTAATTAATTTTAATATTGTTTAGGAATTTATTTTTCAAAAGTTGTTAAAAATCATCTGAAAATCTAAGCAAAATTATTAATATGCACCTACGTGCAAATGCTATGGTAGGTAGGTACTATACATATAATAGTATCTACCTACATATGGATATTTTTGGGAGCGGCTATGATTTATTTTGGGTAATATGCTGGGGCTTAGCTACTGGTGATGTCAGACATATCTGAATTCCACTATAACCCGAATAATTTGGATATCCGAAACCGGATATTGAAATGAATTTTATTCGGATTATCCGGATAGTCCGAATAATTCGAATGTCTTTAATCATCTGCAGTGGTGCAAATAGGGGAGGGGATCAGCCCCCTATCAAAAATGACATTTGCATCAATAATATATAATGAATTGATCATTTAAAGATATATACATTGTTTAACATTAATAATATAACTATAATTGTTGAAATATTATAATATTATTTGGATTATCCGAATAATTCGATTTCGAATAAATAGATATAGATAGATATCCGGTTTGTTCAAATCCGGATAATTGAGATCACTATTAGCCACCGACTGATTATAAAATCGAACTAACAATAATATACCATGCTAATGCATGGTATATTATAATATATTAGTGTACTTATCATACTTGTCATATGTATGTGTCTCTTGACAAAAGCAAGCGGCTAAACACGGGTTTAATGCCGCGTCAGTTTTTGAGAGACTGGCCAATGGCTCGTAGACGTTCCCATTCAAGTAACATTTGTTAGTTGATCTCGTGAACACATTTTCTAAAACAAATTATATTTCAATATTACTATACGGTTTAAAAGTAGTTAATTGTACTTGGTGTAGGTATATAAATCAATAATTACCACAGTCGTAGGCCACTGGACAATTAGACGAACCATCATGGTAAATAGGTTTACATCCTATCTCGGAATATAGTTGTTTATTACTCTCACAATCTAAAAAAAAATTGAATACCTATTATAATTTACAAAAATAATATTGTTTGTTAAAAAAAAATGTTAATAACAGTTAACTATTCAGAACACACCTGCTGTTATATAGTTCACGTACAGAGATACTAAAATAAGTTTTAACAGCAACTTCCGAGTTTCAAATGAAATCATTTTTAATTTTAGTTGGTACACGTACAGTGAACTGTATTGTAGAACAGGGAGATTAACAATGACGGGATGCATATGCTATACAGTTCGCGAAAACATTGAAAACCGGTCCAGTGCAACAATTGACCGTTTGCCAACTAATTAAAACCAGTTTTGTGGAAATAATCAAATGGCCATGTACTCGGTGAATGTCAATTTGTGAATTGATGAAAATATTGTTATTTGTTTATACATAAATCGTAAACGTTCTTGTAATATGTGTATTTTATAACTTTGCTTGACACATATTAAAAAAATCCTTTCAAAAACAAATACTCATACACGAGTTTATGTACCTAGGAATTATTTTAGTTTTTTTCTTCTTTTATTATAGAATAATATTTATTTTATGATTTTGATTCTTAAAAATACCTATCTGTAGAATTTATAAATTTGAGTGCTATTTTTATAATATATGTGCTTTCTATATAATTTACTGTATTGTATTGCATGCAAATTATTATTATAAAAAGTAATTATACTTGAAACGACAAGGTTTAGAATCCAAGGTCGTTTTACTGATTGTTTTTTTTTTTTTTAAATATGAAGAACCTAATTTTTTTTTGCAATATCAAGGTATATTAGTGACACTTCTATAGAATGATTTATTGCGTTTCAGTGTACAAATAAAATGTAATTGCGTATAGATCCCTATGTGGACTAAAAGGTAGGTATGTAACGTACTATGCATATAGTACAAGGTACTGTACCCATCTATACGATAAACACGATTAGAGCTTTAAACTTGAAATTTTTGAACGTAAATATTAAATTAACGTCAATGGTCAATATAATACATAGTTTATAATTTCGTCTAATTATTATGGGGATTGAAATCGAAGAAGTTTCGGATTTTGTCTTATGCACGTGAGATATAGGGGATTTAGACGTGTTTTAGTTCCAATGTACCGATTGATTTAGTGAAGCGATAAGAATTCTGGAAACAGATTTGAATTTGTCGTGAAGTCTACTTGAGATCGATTTTCTCACTTTTGAAATTTATCTCCTTAAATTCTAAAAAAAAAAAAATCCATACTAATAAAATAGTAATTGAAAAAATGGAATATTTTAATTTTTTGAGAAATTAAAATCAAAAAAATGAGAAAGTCGGTCTCAAGTAAACTTAACGACAAATTCAAATCTGCTTTCAGAATTCTTATCGCTTCATTAGATCAATAGGTACGTGGGAACTAAAATACGTCTAAATCTCATGTGTGAAGTAAGACAAAGACAGAAACTCGTCGCTTCCAATCCTCTTAATCTCTAAATCGGCACAACCCTCAATATAAAAACGCATGTAACAAGTAATTAGGTTATTAATGCTTTTTATCTCGATTTTCTTGTAAACCATAGGTCCAACAAGAGCTCTATGGGTGGGCTAAGTTTGTATGATATCAGTGGCCCATCGGGGCTTCAACCCACACCCCTAATATTGATTATTAGCACTTGCATACTTATATTGCTTAGGAATCCTTACCTGTAGTTATAATTCATTATTTTTAAAGTACAATATTGTCACTTACAGAAAAGCTGTCCTTGGATAAAAGGGACGGGTGCAGTCACTGTTATAGGTAATTTAATGTATACTTGTATACTTATAGCAACGATAGATGATTCGTTTAATGTACCGAATTTTTAATTTTCCTATGTTTTTTTTCGGTTTTTCACATTTGTTGGGAAAACTCTTAGGAAAATCGAAAAATAACCTTCCTACAGTACCATCCCAACACAATTTTCTCTCAGAAAAAGGACTATATTGTATACATCGGAGTAAGATTTTTGGTAGAAAAAATGTTCACATGAAAAAAAAAAACATCTTTGTAAAACCAATACATTCTTTGCTATATTCAACAAGTATCTACCATCAATTGGCTGAACAACTTGCAAATTAGTTTTTAAGAATACGAGTAACCACTAACATATTATTTGGTATTTTGAAGCTAGGTACCTACCTACTGTATATTATATATATGCAGTGTAATCAGAATTTTATATTATTAACATTTTCGCAAAAATATACAAAATAAAAAATAATGTTTAATGAAATATTTTTATTATAGTGTAATCGAAGTATAATTTTCGTTTGAAATTTTTAGACACTCTTTGGTGGGAGATTTAGGGGTTAAATTTTCAAATTCAAATGTCCACCACACAAGTGCATTGTGTTCCTGCACTACCTACTCTCTCCCTGCCTAAATTAAAAAGTGGACTATCTATCTCGTCAACGGGTTGATGGAAATGAAATATGTCAGTATCAAAATTCATTTAAACTAATACTCTATCTATCCATAGAATTTCGAATATAGGTCACCATTAGAATTTCAAAAGTTCACAAAATTCTCCACAAAAGAACGTCTAAAAATTTCAAGTCCACATTTGATTTTAGATTATACTATTTTAATAAAAATGTTTCATAAACATTATTCTCTATTTTGTATATTTATAGGAAAAAAATGGTGTAATATAAAATTATGATCAATTTGTATATAAGTAGGTACCTACATCTAATACTTTTTATTATTTCCATTACGTTAAAATCAAAGTTTTCATGACGTTTAAGTTAAAAATTAATTTGTAATTTAATACTACCTAGTTATTTTGTAACACTATATTTATTTATAGATATCGTTATAAATAATTTACACATTATATCTCTTTTATTTTTGTATATTAAACATAATTTATATATTTTAATCTCGGTTTCGTACGGATTTCGATAACATGATACACTATAAAAAAAAAAATCAGCAGTTAACCATAATTTACCTACTATATTAATACCTATACTAAAAGAAATATAATTTAATATAATGATGATATGGTCAATCAAAGCATATTTACAGAAATATTCCTATAGTTAAATCAAAAACAATCAAGAAGCGTGTATGCTCTATGACCTATTGTGTATGTTTTACGAGTATTAGTATTTCACATAATGTAATATACACAGGTTTTTAGTGGGATATTATAATACTATAACATTATACGATTTTTGATAACACCACTCACATTACGCCACAACGGAGGTCACTCAGTTTTGTTTAGATTGTCAAACTTATTGTTTCTATAACACTCAGTGGCAGACGGCAGTGCTTATCAAGTTTCTTCAAAAAAGGAAATTCATCCTTAAAAAAAAAAAATTTCTTTCCTTATATCATAAGAAAGCCATTGTTGTAGGTAGACATGCATTAATTTATACTTGTTCGAATAATTATAAGACTCTAGGAATTCTATGTACTAATATAAATACCTTTATATGAATACATACTATTTGTATAGTATCATTATTTACATGAGTGTTCATGGGCGATTCCAGCAGGTTTATACAATTGATTATGTAGGGTAAAGGAATTCATTTTAAAGTTAACAACAATATTCTTTCTGTGGGAGGGGATCGGAATACTCCCACGTTATCTCTACCTATTATAAGAGTCGACAAATGGGGTTGCGTCAGGTCAACAGTCGGTATAAAACATTGTCAAACAGTATGAGGAGTTTTACAGATTGTTCAGATTATAATGTTTATAAATTATATAACTTTGATAGGAGAAAATCTAGAATAAGTTAGTGTAATATATTAAATAACTATACGTACTATGTAAAATAAACGATCAAGGTGAAATAGCACAACTAACAGTCTTATTCAGTAGCAGATCTAGAGTTGAATTTTGTGGGCCTCCTAAAAAAATTTACAACTAAGCTAAAAAAGAAAAGGAAGTGATGCCTATTATATTCTGGTAATAGGAAGTTAATTAAGAAAACAGACGTAGGGATTTAAAAAGGTTTTTTTTCTTTTCTATAGGTAATGGCCTACCGTCAGTAGGTATAGTGCGTAAAAATTATTTGTACACATAATATAACAATTTTACAACATATTACATATGTCGAGTATATTCAGGGTCACATCCGGTCGGTTGCACATTCTATAACTATCAATATTCGGATCAACCAAATTATAATAACTAACAAGCAACCTAATATTTATAGAAATAATTTCAATCAACAATAAAAACGAGCTGATATTGGGGATGGGAACGGCCACTGTTGTAGGTGAGAAGTTGGGAAGGTTGGATATATAAGGTATTTCATTTATATTTCTAAGGTCATAATTTTTTTGATTGCAAATCCAAATTAATATGTAACATATGCAACAAACGTTATCACACTCTACGAGCTTTCTTCGGTATGGTAAGGTTCGAGACAGACTCGAACAGCTAGAATCTAATAAACACTTGATACATTTTGTACTTATTATATTATATCTTATCTAATTCCACTAAGGCAAATGTGTACCTAATTTTACGTGTTAATATTAATTTGCATTGCGATATACATTTACAAGTTTAAAGTCTTCAATTAATTAGATAAAAAAATTTGCTGAGAGGATTAAAATCATCTTGCGATAGGTATGTTTATGTCAATTTACTGATTTTAATATTGGCATACTTACTAAATGAATTACTTTTATAAATTACAACATATTGTACATTTTCTTGATTTTTCAAAAATGTAATGAAGCTACATTCAGTTCATTCAAAAGTTGACTATTGTTCCACGGGATAAAAATTATAATTTAAGATAATCCTACATAAATAATAAATGTATAATAAATTAATCACATTTGACATAATATAAAATTACATTTTTCATGATCTAATATAATAATGTGTTAGTTTAGATTAGGGGTAATACAAATTAGAAGTTTTATTGATGTTTCGTATAAGCTAAGATATATATTTATATATACAGTAGACGCCGTTAATAAGACTTGCGGATATAAGGTTCAGTCGTTTATTAGACTCAAAATCATTTGGAATGGTCCGGACATATCCAAATACATTCTATCCTCTCTCCACTTCGCCTATAAGGTTCATTTGGGTTATAAGAATCACTTCATGTTGGTCCCAAAGTGAATCTTTGAGCAACAAATAAATAAAACAAATAATATAAATTTAAAAAGATAATGAGATAATAAGATATAATTTAACACAATAATAGCAGTAATAATTCATATAGTTTGGTAGGTAGTCATTATAGGTTTTATCACAGTACAACATCCAGTTTCTCCATCCACTTCACCGCATCTTGTCTCACTAAGTAAAGATCCTTTATAGTTCCTTGAAATGCTCGAATTGGACAATCGTTAATAATATGTTTAACCGTCTGTGATGCGTAGCCGCAGTCACATTTTTCAGATTCTCATAGACCCCATTTGAATAAAATATGTCCGTTTCTTCCGTGGCTTGTTAAACAATTTAATGTTACCCAAGCTTTTCTAGGGAGCTCAAATCCTGGTTGTTTTGGGGTTGGTGAGTTACTAGTTTTTGGTTATCTGAATTCTCTGCTATCCAATTGTGTTCCCACTTAGAACATGTATTAAATATATCTTGGGCTAGTTCTCTCACTTTTATCATGGTGGTTTTCGGGATTTAAGTTGTAGTGTATCTTGTAATTTTGCTAGGTCTGCTAAGATTAAACATCTGTACAGTAATATGTAGATATCCAGTTTCTTCTTCTTATTAGGTATCTTCTTCTTCTTCTACTTCGCCTTCATTCCAACTATTTGGGGTCAGCCACTCTTGTCCTAAACTTCCATTTCATTTTATCTTTCACCTCGCATTCACCGACTCTTCAGAACTTCTCATACTATTTGATGAAGTTTTACATTGGTTATCGACTTGAATGCAATCCCATTTGTCTACTCTTACGGCGGTTAGAGGTACCGTAGGAATATTCTGATCCTGATCATTATCCTGTACAATTTTAATTTATCACATATTCATTTCCGATGAATAATTTCTTAGTTATAGCCATTTTAATTTCTAGAAAATAAGCCTGAAAATAATTAATATTCACTAAAATAACACGTTAAGCGACAAGGAACCAACACGGTAATTCTTTACCTTCTATTGAATATTATTTATTTTCACATCTAGGTATTTTCTAGAAATTAAAACTGCTATAATTAAGAAATTGTTAATCGGATATGAATGTATGATACATTAAAATGTTAAGAATAATATTTTTTACAAAATGGCTATTTTAAAAATTGTCTAAAGTGAATAAATAAATGTATTTTTTTTGTGTTTGGGGATAAAAATAAAAATTTAATTTTTTTCCGAAACGATGTCGAAATGACCAAATCGAAGACAAACAGCTTGAAAAAAAAAGAATCAAAAACAATTTAATATTTACAGGGCCAGAAAAATCTGTCGAAGACGGTGGGACACACTGTACATTATACTAGAGTGTCTTGATAGAGTGATTAAGGCACTCTACATCAGTGATTCTCAAACTTTTTTAGCCTCAGAGCCTTTTTTTAAACAGAATTTTCTCGTGGAGCCCCAAGAAATATTTAATATTAAGTTTTATTTACCTGGGTTCTATGAAGCATATTACACATGATATGTATGTATAGGAATAAGAATAATAAGATATTTATTAACAAAAGAGACAATAATATTAATAGAACTGGAGGAAATATTATATATTATTTAAAATTTAAATCTATAAAATGAGAATAAAACTAGTTAAGTTATTGAAAAATAATGCAACGTTACATGTACACGCCTTGAAGTGTGTCTCTTAATGTGATGCAATGTGCCTGCTTTTTCCAACAAAGTTTGTCGATGTCTAGTGTTTCACACTTTTTCTTTTGAAATATTCTGCAGTTTTACTTGTGAAATCAGGATGAGTTTCGAAATGTCGTTTAAGCTTGGCAGGGAATATCGAGGAAGAAAATACGAGAAAGTATTCGTTTCAAATATTAGGTTTTTACAAAGGCAAAACTAAAATACTGGATACTATCAGCCTAAATTAGTATAATTGGTCGAGTTTTTTTAATTTTTATAAGTAGTCTAAGGGGTTAGGTTATCGTTATGTTGAGTTCAATCATTGGGAGGGAATCTATTTATTTATTGTTTTTATTAAGTCTTAATCTACTTTGATTTGTCTAATTTTAGTCTACTGGACAGTGTGTATATAAGCACAAAAATAAAGTAATTTTTTAATGTACCAGGCATATAAAATTAAATTGTATATTTCAATAAAGAATATATTATAATATTTAAATATTTAAAAGAATGAAAAATATAGTTTACTAAAATATTATCAACATCTTAAAATATTAAAGAATAGAAATTAAAAATAATTACATTTATTGAAATACAAATTGAAGTAGGTAATAATAATTAATAATTTGTAACAAAAATTATATCTGAATTAGATTTTTGCCTTTAAATAGAATATACGCATTTCTAATTATTATTGTAGGTAGATGGTACAATATTTAAAACAATTTTTATTGTTTTGTAATTATATTATACTGACCCTGGCCAGTCCAAAACTCATAACGATATGCATATTTTCTATAAATATTACAGTGGGATTCTAAATTTTATATTTTATTATTCTATTAATAATAATAATAATTGAATTTTAACAATAGCAAAATTTTTTTATTTATTTAAAAGGTATATTAAAAAAAATGAATTAGTTAAATTTATAATTCGAATACAAATTGATCTGATATACTGTTCTTTTTCATTTCTTCATTTTGATTTTCACTGGATTCTTCGGGATTAGCTGATTTGTCGACTACTATAACAAAATAATCATTTTACTGATTAAAGGTCAATCAATATAAATATTTATATCATTTAACTAGTTTTTATTCTACTATAAATATTTTGATATTGTAGCCGAACATAATAATTCCACTCGTGTACGTAAATTTAGCAAAATATACTCGCAAGGAGGTAGCCTATACTTTAATAATATCTACATTTTGTGAAGTTGATACAATTTATTTAAATAATATATTATTCGAAAGAAGTTACACTGATTCAGTTAAATTACCCGACCATGAGTAAATCAAGATTTAATGATATCCAAAAAATTAATTAATATGTTAAAGAATCGTTTAAACTCGTCTTTATACCTTATTCTGAAAAGTCAGTTTATGTAGGTACGTTACATGGTGATTTTTTGACTTCATTCAATAGTGTTGATTTTCGATGATTAATTGAAATGTCCGTATTGTCTTTAAGTACTCTTACGTGACAAAAAAACTTTGACTGTTTTGTTTTATGTTAAACGGCACACTATTATAAACTGAACACTCGGATAATTAATATTAGACATAATGTATGTTATATTTGTCAAAATACGATCCAATTGATTTGTATTTAATGCTACGAACCGTAACGAGTTTAATTAACTTAAGTTAATTTTGGTAATAAAATTAATCATAGTTCATTTAAAATTTGTTTTATTTAACATCTAGATAAGTTTAGAAATAAATTATATTGTGAATGCTAACTTTTAATTGTTTAACTGTTTATACTTAGTAATTTAGAACCCGAAGACCATACTTGCATTTAATTATTACAAAATAATATAAAATCTAACGCAATTATATTCGATTCTAAATGTTTTTGTCTTGAACTTTGTGGAATCATTTTTTTTTTAAGTCTATTCGATCCCTGAGTACTATTTGAAGTACGAAAAAATGTTTTTGCTATCAGATAGAGACAGAGACGGCAAATGTTACTGTGGTGCCCTCTTAACGTTGACTCTTTTACTATAGTATGTTACTATTAAGTAGAAAATACAACTCAATAAAAAAAAATTAAAATTATATCATACAATAGTTTTAAATATTTTCAATTTTTATTGAGTGATAATGCCTGCTTATGTCGGTTCTGATCGTCTATTATGAAAAATTAGTTGAATGTGCTAAAATATTTTTAAAAAAGAAGAGGTACTCAGTTTTTCCAATTTGAGCACTGAGTAAATAACACCTTATTAATGGTATGTTTTTTTATGATAATACGAAAAAGTTGTCGAATACTATAAATTATTTAATGAATTTGTTAACAATATAAGTAACGATAAAATGCCTGGTATAGTTGAATACATATAACAGCTCTTTGATTTTGTTAGGAAGCATGGTAATATTATTTTGAAATAACAAGGTATATTTCACAAACGGGTAGTGGTACATTTAGGGTGGGGGAGGTGTGGAAGGGGTTTAACACAATCTTTAGGGCGGTAAAATTTCAATAATTTTTGTTGATAATTTTTAGAGGACTGTAGAAAACAAGATTGGGGTAAAGAAAATAAAGAAAATGTTTAAGTTTTGGTGTACTCATGTAAATTTAGAGAAAAATAATCTGACAAAATTACAGAGTAGTTAGTTTAATAATAGTAGTTTTTCGTGAATTTTAACATAGCGATACAAATTAAGAAATTAAATAGAGTAAGAATAAAATGAAATAAGTACCTCTAAATTCTAGTTACAAGTTCTTAAGGGCATTGTTTGTAACAAAATCGATCGATTTCAGTGCGATCGAATAAACGATGATTGTGTCACAAATCAATGACCAAATATTTTTGATCAGAACTTAGACAATGCTATTATTGCATTGACAGCTTTTGATTTATTAAAGTACGGGTATAGACATGACGTGTTAGCCAAAACGACCACGAAGAAGTATATATTTATTAACAGGTTAAAAATAATTGATATTTCGCTCACTTGAATTTATTTTGGCACTGATACTTTTACTTCTGATTGTAGACATGACCACTTTGAAAGGTACTTTGTCGATTTTAATGATTGCTGAGTCTCTATTCGGCTCCATCGTTAACGTTAAACTTCTATTCATATAACGAGAAAATTAGTTCAAATGAATGAAATCGACGATCAACCAAAATTCGTTTTTAAAACTTACCGACAATCGGGTTCACTGTAGTAATCCATACATATGGAATTTGAATTTTGTTGAGCTCTTCGATGACGAACACATTTCAATTCTATGACATTTGTTTTATTTTTATTTTGTTCGGTGAGTAGAGCAAAACGGTTCAAACATTTGTTTGTAACCAGTCGGTTGTTACGTCCCGGAGTACAGAGTTCTGTATGGCTGTTACCCACGGTTGTACAACCTGATAAGTACTGCCGGACAGATGAACGAAAATGAGGATGCGAAAGACCGTACACTATAGGGTTATAAACTACGGAGGCCTGAAACATTAAATTATTAAATTGTTGGTAGATATTGAGTATAGAAATTAAATGAATATTTTCAAATAGAAGACGGATTTTTGTTTGTGAGGACACGCTAAACAAAGTTATAAGACAAGATTTTCGATGTTTGTAATTTTTTTTTCCTGTATTTAAAAGCTAGAGATCAACTGAATTTTAATTTCATAATTTCATAACTACATAGAGTTAATTAGATCAAATGGTACTCTAAATAAACAAATGCAAGTGGATTCCGTCCACCTTTCCCTCTTCCTCACCAATCAAAAATTGTATACAACGTATAATAATGAATTTCATAATATAATATTCCATTTTTATCATAACAAATAATAAATACGTTATTAATCGATTTTAAATAAAATCATCGATGGAGCATATTAATCTAAGAGTAGGCATATCTTTTAACATTTTCCAAAATACTGATTGTTCTATACCCTATTTAAAATAAATATATTGTTACCATTATTTAATACTGCTGATTCTATGTTTTTATTATTTATGATCGTTATTATTATTTATAATATGTTGATTACTATTGGTTAATTATATTATTTTCATTATAATCGAGGCTTTTAACCAGTAGCTCTAAAAAACATTGTTTTAAGTGCAATAATATGCTATAAAAACATGTATATAAGCGCTTAAATATTCACTAAAAATGATAAATTATGCGAAAAATTATAATAATAATAATAATACCGGAATACCTAGAAACTATAACAATAAAATATCAATGCACACGATACAATTATAGGGGTTTTATTATCGATATGATTACCTATCGTCTTACTGAGTTTCAATGGACACTAATAGAAACAAACAAACATGAAAATATTTAAGACTATTTAAATTTTTCTTGTTATTAAGTATATTTCGAAGCCTACAAAAAAAGCATTTAAATGATACTTTAATAGCTGTTAACACAGTCGAAAAAGCAAAACTTAAACTTAAACTTCGAAATATGAAAAAAAAATATGCAATATAAACTTTCGTATATAGCTTCGTGATTTCATGTAACAAATTTATAAATTATATAGGTGTTTCTAAGATCACGAAAAAAAAAAATAAAATGATAATAATTCCAAATGCTTATAGTTATGAGTCCTTGTTATATGGTTGTATAATACCGTTTATTCGTTTATTAAATCCATATGATATAAATAAATAAATATGGCACATAAGGGGATGGATTAATCATTGCGTGCCTATGTATTTCTTAGAAATATTTCAATATTTGTAGAGTATAACTAAATACTATTATGAGTAATTTTAGACGTTTTGTATGCACTGGTGGTATCAAACAAATAAAATAAGTAAGTACGGATTTAATGTAATTCGTTATAGTTAAATGTGCGCTGTTATCATTGTCCGGGAACTCTCGTACTGCTCTGTCAATGTATGAAGAATTTGAGTATTCAAATTTTCATTGCCATTATTATGAAATATGTTAAACATGTTACGGGCAAAGTGGGAAATCCGGGAATAGCATCAGAATGCCCAGGCACTTTGCAAATTACCCGACCATTTTGGGAAATATAAAAATGATAATTGTTCATATGTCATGTTACCTACAATGAATTTAAGCGTCATCTAAGCACATTTCCGTAAAATTGCATTAAAAAGTCAAAACTCGGGTGACTGTTGTTACATTGAGTATTCCATAAGCTACGTGGTCAATTGCATGCACTTAATCACCTCGTAAATAAATATCGCGCACTGCAGATTTCTATGATACCGGATTCAAAATAAATTTGAATTAATATTATAATTCAAAAATAGTAATCCATGTATCATGTAGCAACTATACTAACTTATTTTTTTAAAGAAATACGCATGCATGTTTTATTGAAATTACTACTTATTATCTATTTAAACATTTCGCTGATTCTTCAGCTCCTACGATTTTACGTAGCATCAAATTTGCACGTAGTTTTGTACAATAGATTATAATAATATATATATTGTACACAATATGTATATTGAATTAAAATAATTATTAGATAATCGTATCTCTATAACAATCAAAGAACCATTTTACGGATTATTAAATGTATTTTAAAACAAATTTCAACCAAAATAGTATTTATTTACTCTTTATGTATTATACCTACGTATATTTTTATATTATGTTAATTATTTCAGCTTATTTTAGACGAATATACTGTGTGGTTTTGATCTGTAAACAGTTGTAAACTTTACACTAGCATAAAATAACTGATAACAAGATTTAAATTAATTGACATATTTATTCGGTAATAGGCACGAAAGAAATAAATAATTATAGGAATTCGTAATGCTTGAGTAATACTTAACTATACGGTGTACTTGACTATTAATTATGTAATTATTAAAGTTTAAGAATCTGTTAACTATTGGTTTCTTGTACCGTACATGAATATCACCTCAGTCATTTTAGGTAACCTTAACGTACTGACATGCATGATGCATAATATGGAGTATATAATTTAAACTAAATAATTGTTCTTAATAATTATTAATATATTATATTATTCCGTGAGCGGACGGCTTAGGAATGTACTATTTTAATCTCCAGGTGATGCAATAATAAAGTGTGGATTTTGTTGTTCATGACGTTTACGCTTAAAAACGGATTATTAAAGAAATACAATTGTAGTTTTTATAATTATATTTTATTATAAAACAAATAAATGATTAGAAGTGACATTATGCGAGTTCATCTAATAAATTTTAATAATTAAAGCAGTGTAAATAATGTAAAAAGGTATTAGAATACCTTAGCACATAAAGCTGGAAGAGCAGATATCCATGGTTCTATTTTTGTTTTTTCGTCTCCAAACTGGCCAACAAATGTAACAACTGCATAAGGTGTCCACGAGATCATAAACAAACCGATTAAAATCAATATTATGTACGAAGTTCTAAGCGCAGATCGAATAGGAACAGCTTGACCTCGTCTGGCAACATTTAATGACAATCTGTAATCCCAACTCTCTGTGAAAACAAAAGAAATACTTTTTAATAAAATGCAACTTTCAAGTCAAATAACTAGTAAAATAAAGAGAGGTATAGCCGTATAATAGGTAGGTACATTTCATGTTTACTTTTATACAACCATCCCTTACTTTATCAATCAAAACTTCAACTAAAATTTTAATAATAAATTATTCGGAAATTCGGTTTAATGGTATTCCAAGAAAACAATATTCTCGTTTCAAGTATGAGATACCTAGAAGATTATGTAATGCTATTTGAAAATCAAAAAATCGTATTTATTTATAGCTTGACAAGTATGGATATCATTTTAACATTGCGTATGGATTTATTTATTTATTTAATTTAAAAATTAGCTATTATATTGTTATGACTAATGAGTAATGTAGAGACACGGGCAGTTGTACTATATTATAGTCAATAGTCAATAGGTTTGTGCCGGAACCGGACGTTTCAGCATGGTCATTTCGACATACAAAATTATTTTTTAAATTTTAACTAGTTTAAAATTATTTAAAATCATAGTAAATAAATAATATAGATCGTTAAATCATCAGGTTATATAGTTTATTTTATTATATTTTATATTAAGCCATACACAATAAAACCAGGCTCATATACTTATAAATATATTTTATATTTTGTAAATCTATACAATTTATCTGTAAAAATTATCCACAAAATTTAATATAAATCATAGTATATCATATATTTGTAATTGTTAGAAATTACAAAAGCAATAATTTATATTATTATCGCACAAGATACAATATAATATCTGTAATACCTATAAGTTATCTCGATTGTTGAATATAATATCAAATTACTCGTAGTTGTCAACTAGCCACCATGGTACAAGTAATGGAAACTTTCCTTGAGCATGAAGTGTATATTTATCCATGATGCGTATATGTATATTTTTGATGTATTTTGTGCAAATAAATTAAAACTATTTTGACGATGTTACAAAGATACGTGCAAGGCAAAAATTCATACATCAGTTGAAACTTCGGAGGTAATTTAATACTTCATTACTTTTAATATAAGGATAAAATAAAGTTTAGTATTTATTTCTTGACTACCATTAGGTTTTAAAAAGAATAAATTAATATTTGACACATATCTCGGAGGCAACTGAAATTGAAGCTAATTTTGCAGCCATTAAGATGAAAAACGAGCACAGTGGGTCTTACATAAAATATAATGAAGGAATGTACTAGTGGATTGTCATAAGTAGCAAAGGTAATATCAAAATTTCCTATACAACTAATTTTAATTAAGAATTTATTTTCAACTACTTAAGGAGCTTTGCTGGCCGACGGAATTTTAAAAAACAAATAAGACGCATACGACGTGAAATTCACGCTGTAACTGATGCTCCTGAAGATTTTATTACTTTAATAATAATTGTTGCTGTATTCACCATCCTAAAGTGATAGAGAACAAATTGCATTACACGATAGTGAACCTGGTGTCAGTGGTGTCCCCAGGAGGAGGGGATAGTTTGGGGTTATATCCCCTCATTGGCTTAACAATAAAAACAAATATAAGTAATTTAATATCGAAATACATATACTTCGGCCAAGTTACAAAGAAAATCTTAATGTATTGATTAGAAATTGGCTTTTTTTAGGATCCGATTTTAAATTATCGATTCCCATAGTCGAGTTGGGTAGAGAATATGATTTTGCGATTTTTATTTACTACATCTCCTCCCATTGAACAATTTTTGGGCATGAAATTGTCTGGAGTCAAAGATAGAAATTAATTTTTTGTAATCCTCAAAACTTAAATATTTTATTAGATTCTGCCAATTGGTATGTAGTTGGTACTTTTAAAGTCACGCCTCGTTTATTTTCACAAGTATATATTGTATTAGATAAATACTTTGATGACATTTATCCCCTTATTAATGTTATTTTTTTTGACAAAACCGAACAACCATACGGAAACCATACCGTCAGCTTAATCTTCTAATGACAGTTGACTATTCGAAACTATGGGCTTGTATAGCATGTTTAAGGTAATTACAAAGTGACTGGGACACCTTTGTACGTCAATTAGAAACAGGCAAAAGTCCATCGTAAAAGAAGAAAATATATATCGGCGTCGACGAACGTATATTGTCAAATTAGTCATCGGCTATGATAATAATCGTAATACTATGTGATTGTAAAGAGGAATAGCACATAATTGTAGTTTAATGAATTGAATATTTTTTAATTTTTAGTATTTTAGTATTATTCTTATATTATATAATTTATTATTTTTACTTGTGCTATATTAGTATTTGTTATTTATCATTTAATTTTATTATGTCAGAATGTGTCAGTAATAATGTTTACCACATTCATTTACTTTGCTTTATAAGAGTCTGATTTTATTGTGTGTGGCTTAAAATAAAATACAATAATATAAAATTTAACTTGATGACAGTTACCTCGCGCCGAAACAGCCATGCCGAAATGTCTTAGACCGGGTTTATGTTTCGAAGCAAGATGTGCTGTGCATCATCATTCCTTGCAATAACCGCGAAGAAAACTAACCGATTTTAATAAAATAATCATTAATTCCAAGTCTGGGCCGACATGCCTGTTTATTTAGTTATGACTAAACTTAAAATACTGATACCATCGTATAATTACCCTTACCTGAACCAACCGATCTAATGTTGCTATTACAATCGGCCATTTCTTTATTGTGATCGAGTATTGACATAACGATAAACACGTAGCAATACGTAATGATTGAAACTGGTAAAACAAATCCGAGGACTAGCATATAAATGTAGAATGATCGATTTGAGAGTGTTTTAGTCGTATAATCCCATGAACACGATGTTTCAAAACCTTCCAACACGTATTTAGACCAGCCGAACACCGGAGGCAAAGTTATCGATAAACAGTATATCCATACAAACACACAAACCTTTAAATCAAACACAAATAAATAAAAAAGAGACTAATCTAGGATATTCAATTAAAAATTAAGAATTATTGTTGTGTAGTGTATTCTGTTAGCTGCAGGGTAGGACTCATAGTTTGATACTTGTACGATACATTTATATAATTTATAATATATCAAACCTATTTCATCAAATAATTCGATAATTTAATGAAAAAAATGTTCAGATTTTAACTTTCAACTACATTGTGAAATAAATTTAAATTGTTTAAGGTAAAATTGTTCAATAGAAATATACATAGCATAAACGGAAATATATACATACAGGGTGATTTTTTTTTATCGTGAACTAGCAATTATCTCTGAAGATTTTAAGTGAATTTGATTTCTGTTTTTTTTTTTTTTTAAATCATTATAGAATCAGTTGGGTTTTATTTTGAAACTATTTGAAATTGTTCATCTCTATACTCCATATATATTAAATAAGTTTATACATTTGTTTTTCAAATAGGAACTCCCCTTTCTGAACACAGATTATACTAAAAATATTTTTCTAAACATTTTGATATGCGTAACACCATTTACTGTTATTGATTTACTGTTAATGAGTTATAACCATTCAAAGTTTAGACCGGAAGGTTAATAAATCGCATATCTATTTTGAAATGATACATTGATAATTCTTCCCTACTCTTCCTGTGCAAACTTTAAACGGTTATAACTCATAAACAATAAATATTATAATAGTGCTATGCATATCAACATGTCTAGTATATGTTCTCTATTCCAATCTGTGTTCAAAATGGGGCTTCTATTTGTAAAACTAAAGTATGTATTTATTTAAGGTATTTGGAGTACCGTGTAGGGGTAAATAATTAAAAAATAGTTTTAAAATAAAACTTAACCGATTCCATAATGATTAAAAAAAAATAAAAATCAAATTCACGTCAAAGCTTTCGAGAAAATTGTTGGTTCATGATAAAAAAATCACTCTGTATAATATCTATAATGATAGCTGGTGTATACAGAGTTGAAAATCTGGTCAAGTGGAAGTTTAGAACGAGAATGGCCAATCTCAAATAGTTGGGGTGAAGACAATATTATATCTATAATATTTATCTATACTTTTTTATACCTTTGTTCATTTATTTATATATTTATAAGTTTATAATTATAAATATATCCAGCATATATTTAGTTTTTAGTATAGTTATTTATAATACATAACATATATTACGGTTAGTCGGTAAATGTTACGTAATATTAGAATATCACATTATTTGCCTATGTATGTTGGAATTATCGTGCTACTTTAGTTCATTATGTTTCGGTATAAATACAATAGGAAATGTCGAAACATGGGATATTTTTTTATGAATATTGACTATACTGTTTGACAGTGCACTTAAAGTGACTTAAACGAGTCAAGATCTTATTATTTCGTGAGCTTATTAATTAAGATAGATTTTTAACGAGCAATAATAAGACGACTACTAAAATTCATATTTCGAAAATGTGTAACGTGTAAATCGTAAGTAAATCTAATAAAACTTTATCAGCCAAAGATAAGAATCAAGTTTTTATGATGGTGGTCCTACACTGGTCTATGATACTATTGAAAATACAACGAAAAATGATAAAGTTGTTTGTATTTTAGCCTTTAGGATGTGTACGGTGTACCTTTGTGGTCTACCATGTGTACTTTTAACAATGGCTATTGACATAAATACTGTTAATAAATACAGCTTTTAATGGAAAAAAGAAATGAGAAGATAAAAATTGCTTTTTATTGACTATAGATTATTAAACTTACTATTACCAAAGATCTTATTAAATAAGTTCAAAATTAAAAACGTGTAAAATGATCAATTAACGAACAAAAAATTAAAAATTACATTCATACAAATCGTACTATTGTACCCAAGCAAAATTTTGCGATTTTTACGATTTCTAATAGAATATTAACATTAAACGCGTATGTAATATACACGTATTTAAATGAAAAAGAGCTGATAAGGAGGACGGGTGTGCTTCTTTTGTAGGTGGGAAGTTCGGAAAGCAGGATACATAAAGTAATTTATCTGTAAGTAACGATAAACCATTGCTTAGACCAGGGTAGGAAAAAACGACTCGGAGCGAATTTCGGTTTTACATGTTTTGAAAGGCCTTAATATTTATGATTTTCATAAAAATTTGATATTAAAATTCTTAGAATAAAAAATAATCCTTACATTAAACTCATTTCTTTTAAATTTCTAAGTACGACTTATAATGAATAACTCCTGTTAAGCAAATATAAGTTTTTATGAATATTTATAACTGAATTAAAACAACAAAATTGAAAATAATGAAAGTGTTATTTTCGTAAATTTTCCCTTTATTTCTAAGTTTTTTTTTGGTTTCACTCAATTATTATAAAAACTATAAGGAAAATCTAAAAACGACTTTTTTACTCACTAAGTATATTAAAAATGCAACAAAAAAGGTCTCTTATTGTTTTTCTATTTGAGAAATATTTCTTGTAGAGCAGAGTAAGCTCAAAAGCTTAAAAATTTAATATAATGAAATCGTACTCCGTATTTTTATTAGTTTTCATTTTACGTTTTTGCCCGGTTTTTCCTAATTATTATGAAAACTCTTTGGAAAATAAAAAACCGACTTTCTTTGTCGGTTATTCTTGTATCTAGATCTAAAATGTAATAAAAAAAGCTAATTGTTGTCTTTCTATTGGAGCAATATTTCTGGTATAAAACATAAGCCGTACAAATTTTAAATAATGAAATCGTAACTTCACGACGGCGACGGGCCGTAAATATTTATCTTTATTCTGATAATTTTTACCGGTTTTTTCAATTATTATGAAAACACCTTGATTTTCTTAATGATAGATACAGTTTTTTCTCAGAAGTTCTACACTTGATAGATTAGAATATAATTTTATCCACGTAGTATCTACCAAATGAAAACTAAAGAGACTCGAAAATGTATTTATGTCAAATGTCTATGAATAGCTCAGAAATTGCTCGAGTATTTTGAAAATATTTTTAACAGAGATATAAAATCGGAAATAACGAAATCGTTATTTTTCTAAATTGTCTGTTTCCTTTCTGTTTTTTATTGGGGATTTTTAGATACCTAATAAGAAAACTATTTCGATAAATAATTTAATCGTTATGAATAAGCTTTTAACTTTTAATACATTATTTTATATTAATTATTATTTTCAAACACATATCAAAGTACCTATTTAATTTGCCAACTTTGCCACGCGCATTTAATGGATTTTAATGAATTATAAATTATTCCAAATTAATTTAATTTTAATATTATAGGAATGTTGAAGTCGGGTATGTACCTAATAATTCGCAAAATACCACTTGAAATTTACCAGTGTTCATTTAAAAATGCCACACAAATCTTTCTGTTATAAACTACTATAATGATGAAAATACCTTATTGAATAGATTTTCATTTTCAATGTACAATACAATATTGTATAACCATAAGCTACACAAAAAATACGAGCGCAGTGTACAAGTTTGGTTGAACTCGAATAATAGAATGTGTGTGTATATATTATACATTTAAGTTTCAATTTAACGGTGTGAATGTGCATTATTGAAATAGATTTTCGCGATAATTAACATGAAATATCGTCGGCGACCCAGCATTAACCTCGCAAATCAAAATTTTGACTATTTTGGTACATCTGAAAATCAGTTGACACAGTTTGTCGTTTCTCCTGTACAATTTATTTAAACTGACTTACAACATTTTTCTAAGAAGTCGATATTTATAGCATTATATAATTAATAAAATGTTAAGCGTGTATTATAAAACTTTTTTTTTACAACTGTAAACTATTTTTCCACTGGAATTATTGTTCCAATCAAAAATAGGAAAAGAGACCTTTATAATTGGAAAAAACCGAGCGAAAACTTCGGAAAACTGGGAAAGTTTATGGCATTAGGTAACGGTTTCATTATTTTCGATTTTTGAGTGTTTATGTTGTAATTCGATTAAAAAAATATGTGTAGACTTGATATTTTCACAAAGTACTTATATTGTCCTTTTATAGACGTGATGTCTTTTAAGCTATGTATAGGCATTTGAAATGTTTAATTGTTTTAGTTTTTATTTGGTTTAATATGGATAAAATTGTTTGGTCGAATAGAAACGTTTCGAAAGTTAACTCGAGGTTCACTGTAAAATGCAGTATTTAAAGGTAAAAAAAAGTCGAGTGTAATTTTAGTAATTTTTTTTACATGTATTTAAAATTTTGACGAAAATCTTAAAAATCATGGTATTTTAAAATATGTTTGACTGAACTTCGCTCAGAATCGTCTTTCGTTAGTATTAGCGTTGTATATAGATAAAAATTAAATATTTTTATGTATTCTACCTTCTCAACGTCCCACCTACAATAGTGAAACACCAATCAGCAGTATAAGCTCTTTTTTTGAAAAACTAATCTAAAATAGTTAATACACCTATTTATGGTTGCCAGAGTTATACTACATTTTAGTATATAGGGGTATTTAAAACCCGGTATTTCATGTGAACAGATAAAATTTGATTACAAAAATGATTGAGGTGGAAAAGGGGTTCAAAGTTGAAACTCTCAAAAAAGGTTCTCGATACTTATACTATGCAATACAAAATTATATCTTGTTTTAATTTGGGTGTTTGCAGGGTTATATAAAGCGAAACAAATTTTTTCTTCCGAAACAATATGGTAAGGTTATTGAAATTCGAACAAAATTTCATTACTTCCAGCCATCCTCATTCTTGAGTTTAATCTAACGTGGTCCTTTGAGAGCAGTTAGAAATATCCAAAAGTAGTCAGCTATTTATATTTATACCTATATGATATATTATATATAAATATATAACAGACACAATACAATAGGAATATAGTATCTATTTTAGGGGAAAATTCGACAAAAGGTATATCATACATAATAAAACGGTAATTATATGTAAAACACAATTTGAAAAGCTGAAATTAAAAAAAAAAAAATAGCTTATATTAAATTAATGTATTTATTAAACTATTTACTTACTTTTGTTGCACCTTGTCGCGTTAATTTCCAAGATCCTGACACGGGTTTCGCCGTTATCACGAGGTATCTTTCTACCGCTATGGTAGAAAGAGTTACAATTGATACTAAACCGAATTGTCCCACGCCAAACGCATATATTGTACATCCTACGAAAAATGAACATAGTAAACAACTCGTTTAGTCGAATGAACTTGTACGCTTATGACTATAATACTTAATATCTCCGTAATATTTAGTTTGCCGAATAATGTGACGAAATTCTCTTTGATTCTGATTAGAGAAAACACACATTTTAATGAGTATAATTTATTAAGCATTTTTTTTCAATGTCTTATTCGTATTTCAGTAATATCATTACATACTATACGTGCGTGTACAAGCAAACAATTTGAAATGGATTAAAACTTCTGGTATTTATGGCCAAAAGTCAGTGGCTGGGCACTTAAAGTAAATCAATTTCAGTATTATATTTAAATTAACCATTATTTCTTAAATTTTGAATTTAAATATAGTTGGAAGTTTGAAATTACGTTGAAAAGATTTATTATTAAATATATTAGGTATTAAAAACTTATTAATCTTAAAGTATATGATATAATAAATAACATAATATTAATCAACAATATAGGTAATATTATATTAAATCTAGTTAAGCATTAACGATTTTAAATCGTTAATGCGTTAATGCACTTATTGTAGTTTTCCAAAGCGTGTGGATTGAATACTTTCAAATTCATTACTCGTCGTATCATTAAAGAATTGTATAGAAAATCATTGGACTATTACAAAGTATTTCCATTCAAAACACGTTTTGCTATCCAATCTACTTAACAACTTGAAGGAAAAATATAATTTTTCTCTTCGTCGATTTTATAATCATATTGTTTATATATAATGGAAAATATTTTTCTATGAATGACTAGACTTTATCTAGTTAAAATCATAAATTTAAACTTACACAATACTAGTTTTGGTTATAATCGAACGATATCTAAAGTAAAGACATTTTCTGATTATATTTTATATATAATAAAGCTGTGTCGAGCTAATCAATTATTCTAAACTTTTACTTAAAAATAAAATTGTAATTATTTGGTTTTCATTATAATTGGACAAATTATTAAAATCAAATTTAAGTGTATTGCGTGTAAGTAAAGGTTTTAAATATTTTCAAATTAGTCAAAATATAAAATAAATTCAAAATACAACATACAAAAATCGATGAAGTGTTTAAATAGTTTAGGTATAAAGTATCTATGTAGTTCAAAATTTAAGTTTTTGTAGTAGTCGTCGAAAATGCGTTTACTTAGAAATTTGGATAAACTATAATCGGATTATATTTGGATAATATTATTATTATTTATCCAATGGACAACAATAATAAAAAAAGATGGACATACTCCGCACGATGGGTGGGCCACTGTTGTAGGTGAAAAGTTCGAAAGATGGGGTATATAGGGGAATTTAATGTATATCTGAACCAACGATTTATCATTGCTAATGAAAAATGATTATAAGCGAAGTTTGGTTGTACAGGTTTTGAAAAGTAGTATTTATTTTTTGAAAGTATATTTACGATTTTCGTCAAAATTTTATTTTAAAATTCTTATAAAAAAAATTCTACATTACACTTAATTTTTTTTTTATGTTTTTTAATATTTACGTTTCACCTATAATATTGTTTTCTCAATTATTTCCAAAACCCCTTGGAAAATCAAAAAATCATCTTTTTTGTATACTAACGAGATCAAATTTTCTTTTAGAAAAGATGCTATACATCGCAGTAAGATTTCTGGTAAAAAAGTTGCTCACAGGCACAAAAATAAAATAAAAACATAAATCATGGTAAAACCAAGAGATTTCTTGCTACGCTTTGTATCTAAAATGTTAATAAATTGTACTTCTTCTAGTTTTGTGAAGATATTTAAGTAAAATTAAATTATGTATTAATTTATTTTTCAACACTTGTATATTTCTCTGAAAAAACGATACAGCATAAATATTATGACTGCAGTTTTCAAGTTAATATAAGTTTATTAATATTATGTATGTTATTTAATCGGTATTAAAAAGGTCATAATACTTTAACAGCAAGTTTTATTAAGACTATATTACAGAATTATAACACCTCAGAGGAAGCATGTAATGCTACGGTTTTAGCGAACCTGGGGCCCCGAGTTTTGACTGATACAAAGTTCAGGTAAGTGATTCCAATAAGCATTTGGTATTGTTTTTGTAGAGTGGAGGAATTCACTTTATAGTTGACTATATCATTTTTCCTGTGGGAAATACTACCACGGTTAGGTTATTATTATTATTATTATTATTATACCTACTTTTAAGTTTTAATCCCGTAACTAGTTTTGTCAAAAACTTAGTGAAATATTTGGATTTCTGTACTGTTTGATTAATTAATTTGAAAATGGAATAATGTTAATTTTTTTCGTTACCTGTATCTTTAAAGATCCATTCATGTTTGAACGATGACACAGCTGGCATGAAATGTAAAATTGAAGTAGAAAAGTCAGCTATTGCCAAGTTTAATACGAATGTAGAAAAAGGACCTTTTAACCGTCTGAATCTAAAAAAAAAAATAAGACTGATAATTATACCATGAATGTGCCACTGTAGGTGGATAGTTGGGAAGATAGGATATACAGGTATCCTACGGTGATATATCCAATGAAATATCTCTGAAAATAATAAAGATAATCAAATTATTATTATTTTTTTTTTATATTACTTACAAGAATATAAGAACTATAAATGTTTATATTTAAATTAATTTTTTACGTTTTGGTATAAAAATTTAAGAAAATAATTTTTATTTTATTATGATTGAAAAATTTAAAGGTTTTAAAGAGCTTATTCTTCTGAAAATGTTGACGTTTATTCAAATTTTATTTTCATTAAATTCGTGATTTTTATAATTTTGTAAAGTGCAGAAAAAAAAAACATAAGTCAATTAGCCAAAGTAATAATTTTAATAATAAATTAGAGAATGTGATTTGTATCACGAATTTAATGAAAATACAAATTTGAAATGTCAACATTTTCAGAAGAATAAAAAGTTATTAAGTTTTTAGCAAAACATAAAAATTCAATCGAAATATAGACATTTATATTTATTAATTTATTCCTTACCCCTGCGCGTGTTATAGAAACACAGAATCTGATTATCTTTATTACCTCAGGAGATTATGTTATAGGTATATATTCGTGAGACGCCTGCATATTAAGTATGTTGAGTAGGTATATTAATTGATAACTGTATACAACGATAAGTCATTCCTAACGGAAAACGATTCTCTGTTCGGTTTAACATATTTTGATAAATTTAAAAATTGTAAAAAGATCAAATTTTATTCATATTATAGTGATAAAATAAATTAAAAGTTCTCGTGTTTTAGATTTTGAGTGAAACGACATACCTCGTTTCTGTTTAATGTTCATTATTTTTCTATGGATAGTGTTTCTACCAGCAATTTTGCTCCTATTTATAATGATAATATTTTTTCTGATGGGAAATCTGATTGGAGAGGTACTTTAATGAGGTTATTTTTAGATTTTCCCAGGTTTTTTTTTTTAATAAATTGGAAACCCGGTAAAAACTTAGGAAAAACTGGAAAATAGGTACAATATTAAACAAATAATATAAAAAAAAAAAACTGGGCAACTTCATCGTTAGTGGGCCACTGTTGAAAATGAGAAGGTAGGAGAGAGGAAATTTAATTTATACCTTTAAGCAACGATTAACTATTGCTAATGAAAAAACGATTCTGAGCGGAGTTCAGTTGATAGTGTTGCATTGTCAACAATATATATGTCATATTATGGTCAAATAATTACGTAAGCGTTAAATCTTTTTTTCAATAATATTTGTTTAATATGTACCTACTAACACTTGATATAACAACATTAACAACCGAACTCTGCTCAAAATCGTTTTTTTGTTAGTAATGGTTTAATCGTTGTATATATATTACTCGTATTTAAAAACAAAATCATGAATTCAAATTTTTGATGTCTGTATAGGGCTATAAGAACAATTTATGATGTACCTAGATTGTATAAAATTAAAAAAAGATGATACTGCTGATGGGTGTGCCACTATTTTAACAGGATATAGGGTGTCTCGTCTTACGAAGATATAAACATTGCGATGTTTTGGGAAGTATTAACTTTTTTTTTAACAATTTAAGAAACAAGTAGTTATAAAATGTTACATTACCATTATTTTGTGTCACCGTTATTTTTGGGGTGAACCTATTATAATTTGGCCTATTTATAATTTTCATAGGGATGTATATAAGAACGATTTCATGAATAGACGGAGTATTAGTTTAAATACATTTTGTTATTGAAATTTTTGATTTCCGTCAACCTGTTGATAAAATATTCTACTTTTACTTTTTTTTTTTTATGGGGAAATAGCGGAATGTAATTTGTATGGTGGTATGGCACGCAACGTTCGAATAGTGATTCACTACTCCTCTCTCTACCTAAACTTAAAATGTAATTATCTTGTCAACGGTTTGATGGAATTAAAAAATGTCAACACAAAAATGTATTTAAACTAATACTCTATTTATGTATGGATTTTTGTTACAAGTTGTCATTTGAAAATCACCCCCACATCAAAGTGACAAATAATATAATATTTTAGATCAACTTATTTCTTAAATGGTCAGAAATAGAAAAATTCAAAAATGTTGATACTTTATAATGGTGCAGCCCACTTGCGCCCATCACACTTTTTTTATAATCCAGTCGCCTCCGAAATCATAACCCATTTGCGCCCGAAATATTTTTAATAAAAACGCGTTTAAACCGTGAAACGTTGCCAAACTGTATTATTTCATGATTTTATAATATAAATTCATTTTTTTATTGTTATTAAAAATATTTAAACAGTTGACAATATTTTTTTTTATAATAACTGCATGTACTAAACACATTTTTCAAAATCTAATTTTTATATTATTTATACTCCATTTTATTTTTGTAAGATCGACTATAGTAGAAAACATTTTGTGTGATTAAGTAATAGTTGTAAAGTTATTCAATTAATACTTTAATAGAATTTTATGTAAGTTATTGTCATATTACCAAGCTAATTTTTTTAAACGAAAAATTATCAAAATTAAATTATAGTATGAAGACAATTTATTATTATAATTACTACGAGCTACTAATCCACCTAATCTATGTTTTCATCGTAATTTTGAAAATCCATAACATGAAATGGCAATGTTGTATGCGGATATGGGCTATAAATCGACGGGTAGTATCTAATTTTTCGGGAGCAACTGTCTACATCCCTTGGGGTGTAAATGGGCTACTCTGGGGTGCAAATATGCTGTACCTCTTTATAAGAATTATTTTGTTCATATCTTCGTGGGACACTCTGTATAGAGTAATTTAATTTATATCTGTACGTAACGACTAACTATTGTTTATGAGTAATGAAAAATGATTCTAAGGACAGTATTATTTGTCGTAATATTTTCTTTGTTGCCAAGGTAACCCAGAAATCAATAAATATTATACCAAAAATTAAAAAAAACTACAAGAAAATTCTTATGAAGTTTTTGGTTAGAGGAAGATTTCTGGTAGAAAAATTGTTTACACAAAAATAAAAAAAACATCGTAGTAAAATAAAGATATTCCTCATTTCGCTCAGAATTCAAAAGCAATATTCAATAATATATAGGTTGGTATTTATACGAGTAATTATATTTAGCAAAGTAAAATATTTTTTAAAAAGAAATCTCTTAGGAAATTAATACATATTTACAAATTGCTGTAATGTATTATTATTCGCGTAAACTATAAATGATTATAAAAATCGTCTACATGCATGGTTTAATAGGTTTTATAAATATAAAGAAATTAATATATTTTGAAAATAATATAAAATCTAAAATAAATAGTGCGGGAATAATATTTTATATTACGCATTGCATTTATGCATAACGTATGCCGACAATTGGGCGCGGAAAATTGGGTGCGGGACTTTTAGGCGCAATGGCAATTGGGTGCAAAACAATTGGGAGCGAATATCAATAATATTCAAAATTAATAATACATGAAATTTAAGGTATAAATTCTAGATTTTATTGCAGTATCTATAGTATAGATTCTAAACGTGTACAATATAATTGTTGCTGTTCAATGCAATAAAAGTTATTATTAGACCTTTTTTTTTTTTTCGTATGCTCGGTTGATTGGCGTTTTGATAATCAGCGTTTTATTGTACTTTTAAATATTTCTTTCTATTGCCAATATCTTCAATTATCAGTTGCTCAGTAATTAAAGAAAGATCAAAAGATTTTGGATAAGAATGTATAATCTAACAATAATACGAGTTTCAATACTTATTTAGTATATTTTGTTCATGTTAATTCAACATTAAATGCACTCTATCCTTCGATATGGAAGTTTATCGACGCGCTAAAAAATGAAAAAAAAGTTAATCGTTTAAAAATGTAGCAATTTTTAACTAGAACGGAACCGATTCAAAAGCTTAAAAAATATAAAGACAGCTTCTAAAATCAAAGAAACCTCTAATGATTTTGAAAACTGTGATATAAATGATATTTTGAAAGGCATTGCTCAAAATTGATCATAATATTTCAATAAAATTAATGTATTAATATAATGTCTAAATGTTAAATTATAATTTTATGATTTTTTACTTATATTTTTATTTGTAAAACAAAATTGTGTTTACAGTTTTGAATTAATATAAAAGCTTTAACATATCCAATAAAATATTTGTGTACACTTAAAAAAAAAAATTACTGATAATAAATTTAATTGATACAAATTGTGTAGATTTTATAATACTATCTATATTATCGAGTTCAGGGTAAAATATTCTTAAGAAGATATTGTATTATAGTATTATTACAATTTGAATTAAATAATACATGTTCGCCCAAATGTACAGCAGTCAATTGCCATTGCACCTAAATGTCCGCGCCCAATTGTCCCGCGCCCAAGTGTCGTACAGCCCATGCAAAATAAACATAAATCGCAACGATTCGTGACAGCTACACAATTTTCATGAAATATTAAAATATGTCAAGTCTAATAAGTTTAATGTTTATTCAGTATGTTTTACAGTAGGGAAATATAGGTACGTTGTACGTATAAAGTAAATCATAATAATATTATACCTGTAATTTACTATACTCGTATGTGTATTTAAGATGTTATTAAACTTCTACCTTAACATATTTATTTGATTTACGTTTAAGCGAATACATTTTAAATAATAAAATACGGGGTTTTTTTTTTTTTAAACAGCTATAACAATCTTACCTACATATTGAGTGGTTTTGAAAACCGCAGTAATAGAAAATCTCAATAGTAATTAGATAACATAGGCAACAAAATATTTCAGAGTAAATTATAATAATACATATTCGTACGAAGCATTCCTGTACATAGGATAATTGAATTTATTAATTTTTATTTAGAAAATACAAATTCTACGTAAGTAGTGGAAATAATAGTACAAAATATTATATATTATTGTTATAATGACATACAGTCCATGTGTTCCTTAATTCATATTTGATGGCAACGATGCCATCGGTGTTGTTCTTATTTAAATCCGAAAATCTCTGATGGTATCAAAGATGGCTTTATCACCCGTCGTGTTTCCGAGTAGGTTGATGAGATGTGGTGAACTAGATGTGTTTGTTATCTCATTTGTTTATGGCGATAACCAATGACAGTTATGATATTTAATTATTATTATTATAGATTTAGGTTTCAAAATAACACTGTTTAAAACGACGTTCCATTAATATTTCATGATGCCACCGTCGAAGCCATCACAGATGAATTAAGGAATACATGTTACACACCGCGGATTTGTTGAGTTTTGAACGCAAACACTTCAACGGGTTTGAATTTAAGACCAAGTGCTATACTTGAGCTAAATATTATAAAAAAAACCAGAATACTATACCTAGTGAACACGAAGAGGACCAGGCCGTTTCCTATTATACCTATAATGCCAATAATCGTGAGCAGCATACCATAGGAGAAAAATATCACAGGGCTCGTTAGTTTTTCGTGGACATCTCCAACTGCATCGCATATTCTGCTCTACAATAATACGGTTATTGTTTAAACATAATTAATTACTTTATATACGTCTATATTTATAATTAGCATAATAATATTATCAATAGGATTAAGAAACAGTATATAAACATTTATATATAAAATACTATTATTTATATTTCTTACTAAAAAATAAATTAAACAATAATTATAATATTAAATCTAGATTTTATTTTAGTAAATATTTTGATCGGGAACCATTTTATCTAAATAATATAGTCCAGTGGTGGCCAAACTTTTTTTATTGGAGATTTATTAAAAATATATTATTTCCATAAAAAAATTATAATTATTAATTACCTACATATGTACAAATAATATATATATATATATAATTTACAAAAATGACGGACATACTTCGCACAATTGGTGGGTTACTGTTGTAGGTGAGAAGTTGGTAAGATAGGGTATAAAGGGGAATTAAATATATATCTGTACGAAACGATTAATTATTGTTAATGAAAAAATACATCTTGAAAGGCTATAATATTTATAATTTTCGTCAGCATTTGATATTAAAATTCGTATAAAAAAAATTTTACATTACACTCAATTTTTTTTTTTATCACAAATTACGAATTATAATGAAATTCCTGTTGAATTGTTAAATATTTTGTTTAGTCTTAACTATTTTATCTATAGAGTATTTACCAAATTAAAATTTACGTAAAAAAAATAGCAAAATTTAAATGTCTATAAATAGCTCAAATGTTTTGAAAATTTTACTTTCTAGAAAAGGAAAATATAGTTTATCTGTTCAAATTTTAAGTCTCTACAAATATTTTTATCTAAATTACAATGAAGAAACAAAATTGATAATATTAAAAGCATTATATCGTAAATCGTCTCATTCTTTCAATGTTTTTTTTTCAGTTTTGCACAATTATTAAAAAAACTACAAGGAAAATCAAAAAAATATTTTTTTACTTATCGACTAGATTAAAAGTTTAATAATAATAATTTCATGTCATTTTTTTATCGGAGCAATATTTCTGGTAAAAAACTTAAAACGTACAAATTTAAAACAACGAAATCGTAACGCCGTCCAATCGTTATTCCCAATTATTATGAAAATAACTTAGAAAATCTAAAAGATGACTTTCTTTTTGAAAAACTAGATCTAAAATTTAACAAAAAAGTCTTTTTGTCAAGATGTTTAAGAAGAAAACACAAGTTAAAAAAATGTAAAGTCATGTAATTGACGTAAATATTTGTTTGTTTATCTCTACGTCTTTCCTGGTCTTCCAAATTCTATGAAAATAATTTTGAAAATGAAAAAAATTACTCAAGTACCAATAAGATAAAATTTCCTTTCAGGAAAAGTGCTACACTTGAAAATCGGAGTGAGATTTTTGGTAGACAAGTCGTTTACAGATAAAATAAATAAATATAAAAAATAAACATCATTATTAAACCAATACATTCCTCGCTTTGCTCAGAATCTAAAATATTTTAATTCTTGATATACATTTAAAAATAAGTACATAGGTACGTATATATAGTTATAAAAAAAGAGCTAATACTGGAGATGGGAGCGGCCACTGTTGTAGGTGAGAAATTGGGAATGTAGGATACATAAGGTTATTTCATTTATATCTGTAAGCAACGATAGCAGTTTAGTAGTACATAATTTGAAGTGCCGTAATTTTTTTTTGCGATTTTCGTTTGAATTTGATTTCAAAACGCTTATTAAAAAAAAAAAAAAGTCGTCCAATGATTTTGGAAATTTTACCACATCTAGGTAAATCCAATATAAGTAATATTACCAAGGTTTAAGTCTCTACGTATATTTATAACTGAATTATAGCAAAAAAACTCCCAAAGCTAAAATTCCTTAAAAACTCAAAAGTGGCTCAAAAGTTTTGGCGATGATATCGCGTGGAGTTTTCAAACTGATTCACTTTAAACAGCAACATATTTGAACTTAATTTATACAATATATTATTTATAGCGAATTCAACCTTATTCAGAACCTTGTACTACTTATTCGGTGACTAGGTTAATTTTGCCAATATACGTACAATAGACTTATTCACTATTTCAAACTGTCTGTTTGCTCTAGGGGTCCCTGTTACAATCAGTGTTGAGTTTATCGACTCGTCTTACAAAAATTTTTAAACATTTGTTGACGTAAAAGACGTATGCCAATCGCTTATTACCTGTCTTAGCATAACATAAGTTTGAAAGTTATTACGTAAGTATTTTATTACTTCTTCAGTCTTAGTGGAACGGTATGGACATAATTACAATTTCGTGAAAGCAGCAATCACCACAAAAGTAAACTTATTTCTAGTTCTTGTCTTTTCGAATGGACCTAAGTGGTCAAATGTATAGTTATAAAAGATTTATGGCGATAAAGTTTCAGAGTTTCGGAATACTAAATAGAAAGTTTTCTTTTTTTCCACTAGGAATCGAAAATGCAATACACTGTAAACAATAGAATTATCAATATAATGTTGTACTTTCATTTTAATTTTTGGAAACCAATATACATGTGAGATATTTTCCATAACTTTCAATAAACCGAAATGTGCCATGTTGTGACATGTTCGAATAACATTTATTTTCATTAACTTCGTAACGTAAAACTAGACTATTTTGTTTTCATTGTGATAAACCCATTTCGTAACTTAAACCCTATATTTTAAAAAAGCTATATTTTCTTTGTAGTTCACCTCTAGTTTTAATAATTTCATCATCCAAAGTTTTTCGAAGTGCATGTGTTTGTTCGAACGTATTCCATTCAAAAATTAGAATCACATGACACCTACTAAATTCATCGACGTGTTGGATATTTTTATTCGAACGATAAAATATGTCAAAATCGTAGTTTTCCAAAAATAACGCCCAACTCGAAATGTATGGGTTTATAAATCGCTTATTCAGCATAACTCGAAAACTTTCAAAATCGGTCATGATCTCGAAAAATATCTCGGCTAAATATATATGAAACCACTTTATCAAATAAACCGCAGCAAGATATTCTAATTTGCAACTATGGTACTTCGATTTACTCGGTGACGTTCACTGACTAAAATAAAACACAGGTTTTAATTTACCTATTATTTTTTTTGTTTTTGTAACAATATTGCTCGAAAACCGGACGAACTCGCTTCAGGCATCACAATGTAACTCTGTCTCAGCGACGAGAGAATATATAACTACTACCGGTGATTTAGTTAACGCAGTACTCAAATATTCAAAAACTGTCCGTTCCTTTTCATCGAATATAAAACTTGCATCTTTCTTAACAAAAGCATCCTTAAAAAACCAATAATATTCACGTTCTGTTCAAAACTTAAAAATAAAAAATTATTTTTATGCTGATAAAATATCCGATTATATAAAATACGATTTGCTATATATATTGCTTAAACATGTGTGATCAGTGAAAATATAGTATAAAAGGATAGAATGAGAGTTTAGGAGTAACAGTTTTTTTTTTCTGAATATGAAAATCAACGGTAGTCGTTCATTGCACTTATACAAGGTCTCTAAAATATAAATCTTCTATTCAAAATATTTAATCAAATACGGTCGCAGTTTTCGAAGTAGGTACATACTACATACTACCTACTGTGAATTTCGATAAATTACTCGCTTTTTGATATAAGCATATATTTATACGTATTCTATTAATTATTATTCACAAATCTTAATGAAAATGTTTGAGCATTTTTACTATTCTAAAAATAGATTTTCGAGAAACATACACATCGGTGTAAAATTAAAAATATTTTTTCTCAAACTCTATAAAATATCATGTCTGAAAATTAGAGTATCCCTAGCGAAAGATATAATCATTTTTTAATTATCTTATGAAAGTAAATAAAATCGTTTTAAAAATATAGGTACTTATAATATATTACACATATTATACGTTGTAATTAAATAAGGATAAATAGTTTAATAGTGTCAATATTACAGTACATAAAAAAGTACCTTGACTTTTGATGATAAGCGGACGTGTTGTATAAGTTCCGTTCACTCAGCTAATATACTCGTGTTTGAATAATTTAAATGCTAACCACAATATAATGAACGTTAATCTATTATTGAACAGGCGAGGCATATTGTGTACTACACAATAGATACAAACATAGTCAAGGATGTGAAGATTATGGATGTGTGTACATAATGTAAACCAAACCGCATTGGAGTATATCATCCTTAAAAACCCTTTATTAGACCTATTTTCGAATACGGTTATGCTCTTTTGGACCCTTTGACTTAATCCTCTGTCTATTTTCATGCCTAATCTGCCCATTCAACAATTGAACGAAATCAGGGGAAATTTCTTTGGATTGTTTATTATTGACTCTACTTATCGACTCCATTGTTTTTCTCGTGACAATATTCATCTGTTCTCAATGCACTGGGTCTCTGCATCTTTTTTAACAGATCTATGTAGAACTACGTCCGATCAAAGTTCTCGTGTAATCTGTATAAATACAATCGTGTTTTATGTACACAGTATAGTAGGGTAGACATATACTGCCGTGCCATGCATTCAAATGATTTTAGACTACTCTCTCTCTACCCAAAATAAAAAATAAAATATCTCGAAATTTATTTTAGTACTACTAGTTTGGAATCTCTCTTCTCTTGCATAGCCACTAAATTTTGAGGAGATTCATAATGCAATTTATTTTATAATGTTTGATGGAATAATAAATAATATTATTATAGGACCCAAACGTCCCAATCACTACATATCCAATAAAATTAACATTTATACTCGTATAACTTAACAGAATACATTAATTATTAAACATATATATACAAAATATAAATATTATATATAATATAAATATAAATATAATCCGGTTTTTCCCAGATACTATGAAAACGGTTTAGAAAATCAAAAAATTACCTCCCAAAAGTACCATGTAACGTCCAAAAACAACCATTTTTTGTTGGTATGCTTGACAAGCATACCTACAATCGATATGGTCGACCGGTTAATAGATTACGCCCACATCGACGGATATTTTATGTCATCATGAACAATAATTCCCCCCCCCCCCTTCCCAAAGATTTATGTGATCGCAATCTTTTGCAGTTCACAGTATTATATTCCTAACTACGGGTAACCGGCCAATTAGATCACGTTTCCCCTTATCCCCAAAAACGTCAGCCCGCGGCGACGTGGGCCACAAACGTCTCTGCGCTTCGCTACCTAGTTTCTCTTTTTTGTTCGTTCCTTTCCTTCTTCGTATCCAGACCTCGTCTCGAGATTTTATCACCAGACGGTCTTTCGATACAGTTCTCTAAATAAAACACTCCCGTGTATTGCACGGATTCACATATTTTGCCATCAAGAAAAGGTCATGTACCTTGACTCGTTTCCTGATGGTGCCCCAAACGAATCGACGAAGTGACACCGCTGGGCGGACATCTTCGGGCGAGACGAATGGTAATATACATGTGATTTAATAATTGGCCGATAACCCGTTAGTTAGTTAGTTTTTAAGGTAGTTCAGTTAAGATCCCCCGTATAAATATTATTGTATAAAATGTTTCTTTTTTCTCGTATGTTAAATTTTTCAGAAATACTGACGGGGATCAACCAGCGTCTATTAGATCTAAAAAAGAATATATATATATATTGATCGATCTTCCCCACTTCGCGATCCATATTCGGACGCACCCCGCAGGTTAACCCGTAGGGCCACCAAAACCACGGACCAGTCAACACGGAATAAAAGCGTTCAGCTACCCTTCCCGGTGGTAATTTGTGTGACCTGGCAACCGCACATTCTTGCTGGGGTCTCCCCAATACTTACTGTGTCCACGAAAGTTCCACGTGGAGGTCCGTCTCGGTCAATACCCTTATCGGTCAACACACACACGTGGATGTGGTTACGGCATTATCAATAAATATTAATGAGTCCCGGCCGGCACGCTCCCCGTTGTATCACTTCTTGCGTCCGGACAACAATTTTAAGACTGGTTGACGCCCCAGTTAATGTATATATATATATGTATTTAAAATTTAAGTTATTTGGAGATATCTATCATCCTGTGTATATATATATATTTATGTCAGAATCGTACCTACTATTTATTTTCTCTCAGGTGACAGTTTTTACGCCCTTGGGCTTTTCTGTTGCATTAACCTAATTTTACTTTTTGATTGATAAGTCAATAAAATAATTCTATGTTTTCCCCAAAAGAAAATACGTGTTTATTTATTTAGATTTTCCCTTTTCCCTTTGAAAAAATAAAACCCTAGGACACCGGTCTTTGGACGTCGGTCCTATGTTGGCGACTTTGGTCCTAGGCGGGTAGTCAGCTGGGCGCTCGGGTCGGTTCTCAAAAACAAGACCGATCGAACCGGGACGTCTCAACCATATAGGAATATAACCTTTCAGAAATAGAGCCACATATACATATCGAAGCAAGATTTCTGGTAGACATTTTTGTCACAGTAAATTAATTTAAAAAAATATATAAAAATCGTTGTAAAACCAATAAATTCTTTACATTCATCGCTACATTCAGAATTTAAAATAAGCATAATTGTAAAATCAATATGTTCCTCGTTTTGCTCATAATCTAGAAACTATTACATTTGTTATATAATAATATAACAAATGTAATATATATATATATTATATTGCTATAATAAATGAAACTTTTTTACACACGGGACGCTTTATATTTACCTATATTAAAATTGAAAGAGTTAACTACGTGACTACATAATTTATTTATTTATTTATTTAGATAGGTAAACGTTAAAAAGGGCTTCAACTATACATGTATGATATTTGTTATGCTAAATATACTGGCACATTAATTATTATTATAAACCAAATTAACCAAGAAGTACTATATTTTAATAAGAGTTAAGTTAAGTTAGGTAAGTTGTTTGATGAGCAAGATATGCATAATAATAGGAAGGTGCACTTTGTAGTTTGTTTGATAAAATAGGAATTCTGAAACTAATCTCTATTCTCTGCTATATATTAACGAACGTTGAACTAATGTTTAATTATTTATAAGCGTTTAGAATTTTGAGGAATGTAATATTTCGCAAAGTCTATTAAATAATTTTACTAAATTTGTGTACCTCTTTTAAAAACTTTTTATGAATGTAAATAGTAAATTACTTATCTATTGGTTTAACGGGTTCTTTTGATCTATACATTTATTTATTTAACGTTTGTAAAATTTTTTTATACATCATGCTATAAAAAAAAAAAAAAAAAAATGAATTGCATAGTAAAAGTTTTGATTTTAAATTCTAAATGAAGCTAGGAATGTAGTTAAATAAAATGTTATAGGTAAAATAAAATACAAATTTTTAGGTTTCCGATTCATATCAAATTCATTATTTGTAATATTATTATATGAATATTTGTGTATACGTACTTCATTTTTGCACAGCTTATAAAAACTGGATAAGTTGTTAGACATCGATACTGTCAATTTGTTTTGATTTTATTACCAGTAAAAATATTATGTTTCCATTTTTCTAGAACATTATTAAAAATTAAATAAGAAAAAGAATGCGAAATGTTTTCTATACTATTCGATAAAAGTACAATATTATATTACATTTCAATCTAAAGTGGATTCGGTGGCTGTAAACTTAACTTTAAAATTAAATGTCTTGTTTTCATTTTTTTGAGACCTTTTTAATTTATCCAGTTTTCCATTTTATTGTTTATTGGCCGTATTTTCTTCGGATCAATTATTCTTTATAGTTCACATGATATATCTGTAATAATAATACACTTGTTAAGCATTTAATGTAAGTATGTATAAGTAAAGCATAGGTATAACACAATATGCATAGTGTGTAAAATATATCATAATTAAAGCCGACATTATAGGTACCTATTAGTTTTACCATTAGGCACCACGCCTCCAAGGAACCTTATTCAGGGGGTGAGTGTGCTAATCTCTCAAAATCCAATCCTTTATTTTGTATTTATTTTTATTAGGTAATATAAATTTTCAATTATATCAAAACATTTTATTTTGTATTTAATCAATTATTTTTACTTTTTTTGTAAGAAAAAAAGCATTTTTGACTTTCGTACAATAGTGCGTTAAAAAATAAAAAATGATACAGATATTGGACTAACAGATAAATAGATCATTTTCTTTGAGACGGAAAATGGATACAATTTTAAAGTTTACATATATCACTACTTCAAATTTATTAAAAACGTATAAAATATTTTCCCTACCCATAATAAAAGGAAAAAAAAAACAATGAGAAATTATAGCTAAAATTTAAACGATAGATATGACAGAGTTATTTATATTATTTTATTTATTTGATAGACATACGAGTATAACGGGTGGAGGCTTAATAATATAGTAATACAGTAAATTTACATGATATAATTATAACAAATTATTATTCAGGGAAACTAAGATAATAGTAAAAGGAGCAAAATAATTAAACATATAATACAAAATAACTTAATGTAACTAAATTAAATCACTTACAATATTAAAACCCACCAAAGTAGATAGAGTCCCCGTTAGCTAGACTCATCATACGGTTGATCGGTTGGCTTCTACCATAGTTGGTACTATTCCGAGGAACAATGAAGGGAACTAGAAGGAATAAAGTTCACTTGCGAGAGTAGAGTGAGAGCCGCTAATTAATAATTTTCAGAGAAATACTGAATTAGCTTTAACACGTCTCTCGGTTAAGAAGGTAAGACTGAGTGTGCGCAAGACTGGACAGTGGTCATGCGGAGGACGGTGTGTTTTTAGCATATAAGCTGCGGAAGAAAAGAAGCGTTGTTGAATTTGCACTAAATAGTACGAATAGTGGAATATTACCGTTGTGTTTACAATACGGGAAAGATAAAGATTAAATTAAATCTCGTACATTAAAATAGATTTAGTTATACACAATATGCTTTAATTTAATGAAATTAAGAGAAAGTTTAATATTTATAAATTAATATAAATAAACAACAGTGTTACACTAAATGTCTTTCGTGTTAACAATAGTGTAAGTGTTTTTTTTTTTAGTTTTTTGTATATCTAATTAGTTTAATCAATTTGCAATTATCAAATAACTTCGCTATTTTTGATAATACGTTTTTGACGGTATAATATTTTGAGAAAAAAAATGCTCTGTATTTGAGAGTAACAATCAAATATAAATTCAAATCTGATTAATACAATCAAATATATACCTACAAAGACCTAGTTTTACAAAGATGTTAATTTTATTTTTATTTTTTTAATACTATGTGCAAAAATTCGAACAGAAGTTTTGCTCCTATTTACAATGATAGCACTTTTTCTGAAAGGAAATTTGATTGGGGTGGTACCGAACCGCTCACAATCAATTTTCGTTAGAAACGGTTAATCGTTGCGTACAGATATACATTTAATTTCCCCTTTACCTTTCCAACATCTCACCTACAACAGTGGCCCGCCTACGTGCGAGTATGTCCGTATTTTTTATATTATGCTGGTAATCCCTTTTCGTAGGTTTAAATTCGTTCGATTTCTATTATGGTACCACAAAGAGAATCAAGTAGCGTTAATTATACCTGTTAACAAAGCGGTCTGTTTAGAATTCAGTAGACTTTATTTCCCTTGTCGGAAATTAATTTATTTATCGTTAATTATTCATTCAATGAAAGCAAAAGTTGTATAGGTACCTATGTTCTATATTCAATTTATTATACAGGGTATCTCACGAAGATATACCCATTGTAATATCTCTGGAAATAATAAAAATAATCAAATTCTGTTTTTTATATTCCTCACAGGGATAATAACTTTAACTATTTATACTTCAATTAAATTTCTATATTTCGGTAAAAAAAACTAAAAAATTTAGGTAATTTTTATTTTATTATTTTCAACAAATTTGAAGATAGTCATTTTATAGAGTAAGTTCTTCTGAGAATTTAGAATTTTCAACTTTTTATTTTCATAAAATTCATTATTTTTAATAATTTTTTAAAGTCTACAGAAAAGAACCTTCAGACAAATTATACATGCAGATTATTAATCGCATTTTCTATAATAGATTATTATTGTTATTATAGCTATGCACTTTTTTTTTCTAATTTTTACAAAATTATTAAAAATCAAGTATTTAATGAAAATAAAAAGTTGACACGTCAAAATTTCCAGAAGAAGAAAATTTATAAAATGCTTATGTTCAAATTTTTCAAAAAAAATAAAATAAAAAGTACCTGATGAACGTATTGAAACTTTTCATGGATGTAGTTTTAGACCAGGAATAACATATGTCCTCCCTTTCCCTCCAAATCAATTCTTAAACAATACAAAAAGGCGAACGAAAATGATTCTGAAGTTCATTTATAAATGATTTGAAAGATCGTAATATTTACGATTTTATAAAAATTTGATTTTAAAAAGATTATAAAATAAAATTACTACATTACACTCTATTTTTTACCACTAAGTTAAACTTATAATGAAGCACCAAAAAACATAATTTACATAATATATAATTGTATATATTTATATTATAAGAATCTCGTCACACTTATGTTCAATGTTAACAGTAGTTAACCCCTATTTAAGTAGGTATTTTTATAGAGCGTTATCATAAAAATTAATAAGTTATAACACGGGAATTGGGTAGGTATAGTAACTAGAAAATAGGTATCCATAATTAAAAAAACAAATTTACAGTTTTATATTTATTAAAAAAAAAATAACTGGTGTATTATCATGGTGTATGAGAAAAAATTGATAATATTTTTACTAATTGTATGTATTTAGTTTCATATTTTATTAAAAAAAAAAAATTATATAGATACGTATCTATATTACCAGTACTACAGTACTGTAATAAATAAATGTTTATAAATATTAAGTATTTGGTAATGCCGCGCGTCTCGGTGTGCAGTAAATATTTGCTGTTTCTCAATTATTTTGTAAATCCTTTAAAAAATAACCTATTTAATGCACCAACTGGATCCAAATTGCAACAAAAAAGTTTTCTTGTCATTTTCCGATTGGAGCAAGCTTTGTGTTCGAAAATTTTCTTACATACAGAAAAAAAAAACACATATTTAAACTAATAGATCGTTCGCTTCGCTTCGTATCTAAAATAAATCATAAAGTATACCGTGTAAGGGTCGTAATAGTTGTTACGCGGATATGCACAATGAACAGTAGTTTCCATAGGAACTGCAATGGCGGATGGTTATTTAGTTCATCGTTTGATTCTTTTGCATAAGTAACGCCGAGTGGGACAGTTAATAATATATAGACTGGTAATATTTTTATAATAAAACTGCAGGTTCTTTATAGAAAATAATTAAGTCAAGAACACATTTTGCATACTACGCGTAAAACACTTCACTGTTATAAGTTTGGAAGGTATAGGATGTAGGATAATTAAGTTTATTTACCTATTGTAAAGGAACGAAAAATCATTCAAATTAAAAAAAATGATTTTGAGTGGAGCTTTGTATACTGGTAAGGCTATAGTATTTATCGCTTGGTTTGTCTTATGGATAGGGTGGTACCAAAATCCACAAAAGTTAAAGCAACGTATCGTAATTTGGTATGAGTTATTCATATTTTATTAGAAAAACTGTCGGGATTTTAACTAAAGTACAGTGGTACTTTGTTTCAAACATACAATTTACATCTTTGAAAGTACGGCGTTGAAAATTACATTTTATTCATCAAAAATGTGTTTTAAAAATATCATAAAAAACGTTATTTTGAAAGTTTTAAGAAATTTCAAAAAATAATTCAAGTAAATTTTCATCAGCCCTGAAATTCGCACTGAAAGTACTGCGTGAAAAAATTGGAGCTACACGAATAGTGATAGAAAAAACATATTTACACTATTACACAATACACTAAGTAATTGTAAAAATATGAACATTTACTTTTTAAACCTTAGATTTAATTTAATGATTATTATAATTAATATACTTTTCTATCTATAAAATAATGTACACTAGGCTATTACATTTAGCTTCATAGGTACCTATTATTCAGACGTGTAACGATTTATACCGTGGTTTTTATAGGCATCTAATTATCTAACATTCTATACTAAGCCGATTTGCGTGATTTTTAAAAATAAATCGTTTAACGTGTTTGTTAACCGAAACATGTACAAATTTAATAAAGTTAGGTGTAAAATAAGTTAAAAGTATTTTATTAATCTGGGTATACTTTAATGTTCTGTTAGTGATTGCAATAAATGGCGATTGGTTTGTCGTTACTTTGATTATAACGGTCGTAGGAAGTATAAATAAATTCCGAATAATATTAAACAAATGACGAACTAAACCGTGGTGTTATTGGAAAATCAAAATGTCCAAAAATGGCGGAACAGTGCAATGTGTGTATTTTATTCAGCTTGGAAACCAAAATATATTGAAATATTATTGAATGGAAAAAAAATGTATAAAAGGTATATGCTCTTAAAAAAAAAAAAAAATTATTGTCGATGATAAATTAGAAACCTTATAATGATCGATTTGAGTGAAACAAATAATATTTCATCTAATACTCTGATATCCACTAAATGCTCATATTTATAAGTCTTAAACGATTATTTTTTGGTATAAACTTCTTGACAAATTAATAAAAATATTTGTCCTATTTATTACTCATAAGTAGTTATCATAAGCGATAAATCTATTGTGTGCATACTTACATGATAATACTCAAAAATTAACTGCATATTGAATTTCATTAATCGCTGTGCAATATTAATGTTGTTCACATCACGACATGATATGACGTTTAGAAACTATCAGAAATTCCGCATACAAATAAGTAAGGGTATGGTTTTTTGTTTAACAACATTGGCATAATTATTTAAGAAATAATATGCGACATGATACATAATAGATTTCCGTAACACATATTAGTAAAACACAATAAAATATAAAAATTCACCTAAACTTTATGAAAATTGTCCATGTAAAATATAATAGTAAATAAAATGTTTTAAATTGTGCAGAGAAATATTTTGTATAGAAGTTCATGCGCAATCATTGAACTTCACGTCTGCTTGTCGAAAGACATAATTATCTTTCGAGAGTTTTTTCCATACTTTACAGGGGCTCTTGAAGAGGGTATTTGTGTGTGAGGTAGGTACATTCTTTTACAAAAATGTCGACTCATCCTTACCCCGTTGGAAAAATAAAACATTTTGCACTCATAAAGTATAGGCGTTGCACAAAAAAAAAAAAAAAAAACACAAAGATAGGACTTATATTAATACAAGGTACCTGCAGTTATATTAAACCTACCCCTCATAAGAAATTAAAATAATCCTTTTATCATTTTTCACGTTGTTATGTATTCATAATATACTGAAAGTTCATATCGCTGAGTTCTTACATTTTATGTATCTACATAATATAATATGCCTATAAAAAACCAATTTGAATTTAAGTATGGGTATAGACACTGTTTTAGTTTTAGTTTTATTTTTGTATGCTCGAGAATTTATTTTATTTTAAACTCAAACTTTGTGAAATCATTAATTATTCATACGAAATGATAATTAGTTTTAGGAATCACTAAAAAGAATTTCGATTAGAAAAATATAAATTATATATATATATATATATATAATATACATATTTAAAAATTCGGACGCACTTTACACTATGGGTAGGCCACTGTATAAGGTGGAAAGTTAAAGTGGTATAGTAATCAAATTTACATAGTGAAAGCAATGGTGAATCATTGAAATTAATAAGCGAATCTAAATAGAGTAATACTCGTATAAAAGTATTCACATTAACAAAAATACAAATAATGAGTACTTATATATAGACATTATTTTGTTATCAGTTTTAGGTTTCTAAACATAAGTTTAATTACCTAGATGTAGTAAAATGTCCAAAATCATCGGACGACTTTTTTTTTTTAATAAGTGTTTTGAAATCAAATTTAAACGAAAATCGCAAAAAAAAATTACGGCCCTTTAAATTATGTATTACCGAACTGCGCTCGGGATCGTCTTTCGTCAAGCAATGGCTTATTGTTGCTTATTGATATAAATGAAATAACCTTGTGTATCCTACCTTTCTAACTTCTCACCTACAGCAGTGGCCGCTCCCATTCCCAGTATCAGCTCTTTTTTATATTATATATTATCATTATTAATGTATGCATGCTAATATTTTAAAAAGCTGATACTGATGTTGGGTGTACTACTGTTGTAAATGTGAAGTTTGGAAGGTAGGGTAAATAAGTTATTTAATTTAAATCTGTAAGCAACCATGCAAATTATGGCATTTCAAAACAAATTTAATCAAACTTCGTTTAGAATTTGGTTTTTCGTTGGCAGTAATTTATCATTGCATACATAATATGTACGCGTTTATTTAGTATAAATTAAATTATCCTACATCTATTTCTTACCTTCTGAACTACTCACACCTGGGATGGTCTATCCATGAGCAATGCCTGTATAAAAATGGTGAGTGTATGTTTATCTTGTTTCAATTCACTTAAATTTTATTTTATTATAATTACGAAATGGGCCCAGAAAAAGAGACACAGTGTGAAAAAAATTAAAATTACTAATTACTAGACTCAAATTAAAGCTTACTAAATATATTGACTGAGAAATATGAGTATAGCTGATAATAATGATGTAAAAGAATCGGGTAATCATAGACAAATTCTTTGGTTGTAATCGATTTTTGAGCTATCTGAAGCCAAATTAATAATTCTAACCATCAAAGAATTATAACACAAAACTGGTTTATATAATACATATTTTATTTTGTATTAATATATTGATTTGTATAATATAAATAAAATATATTATTTATTGATGTTTAATGTCTACATATAACTATTGCTACTTATATAATTTATTGGATAATTTTAGAACTTCATTTCTACTCATTCGGTATAAGTTTTAAACTATTATAACTCATACACGGTATAAATGTTATTCGATAACATAGCTAGTGTTATGGATATCAAAATGTCTAGAAAAATATTATTATTTTTGAATCTATATGGAAAGGAGGTCAGGGGGGATTGCTATTAGGTAAAAAGTTAATATACGTTAGGTTAAAGTTTTATGACAGAAAAAACTAAATTTAATGCCAACTCAAAATCTTCGTAAACAATTGCTAAATCATGATTAAAAATGGCCATGTTTGTGTTGTAATGGTTTCGGAAAAAATGAAAAAAAAAACAATATAGTTAATTAAAAAGTTAATTTTATAAATGACATAATATAAGTAATTCAAATTGTTAACATATTTTTTTTATTAAAAAATGAATTACAAAATATCATGGCGATTTCATTATTTTAGAGTATCTACCTATATAATAATTATCGATTGATTGGATTTGAACGAGTTTATTTTTATAAAAAAGATAATTTATATTATTATTTATTATTAAGGATATTTTTGCGGGTATAATAAAATGAAATTCGCATCACGACAATATTGAAGTGGCTCTTAACACGATTGATAGACAAAAAAAAAGACACAACTTAAAACCTTTCGTTGATTAAGTATCTATTAAATAGAATATCATGTTTTTAAAATTACCCGAATTTCAATTAACAACAAAAATGTATCAATTATTATTATTAGTATCTATATTTAATGCTTTATCATTGCAAGTCCGAGTATACGATCTTTTTTAATGTTTTACAATTGTAAACAAGGATTGATTATTTTTCAAGTTATTGTTAGAATACTTGTTAGAATGTTCAAAAAGGTTTTTAACAAAAATCATCTTTAACAAATGCGAAGTAGTATTACTGTATTACGGTGTGTAAATAATCTTAAAAACACATTCGCATTTCATGTTATTGAAATTTCACTAAAACATACATGTATTGTTCATATAATTTGTTCAATTTCTTATTAATTTTAAGGTATTTTATTTTCATTAAATGAAATATTTTTTATGGAATGTAAAAAACGAAAGCGGACCGTATGTTTGAATAATTTCAATGCTACATACGTAGGTGCCGAAGAATATTATAATAAGTTTACTGCAGTTGTTATATTTTGAACTGCAGTTAAAAATACTATAGATATTTCAGGACGGTTGGTTGTATGAATTTGTTAGGTACTTAATTTTGTAGAAACATAATATTCATTTTATACTTTAACAAAATTACAATTTATTAAATGAAGATAAAAGTTTTTACTTTGTCATGGAATGTAGTCTCATTTTTATGCATTTATATTATGTATCTACTCATATGTACACATTTTTAAATAAAAACATAGACATTTGGGTAGTACTAAAGAAGTTTTACAGCATAAACTTTTGCGTGCCAAAAAATATTATTTCAGTACAAGATCAATATATTTTTTTTAGATCCTGAACGCTGCTATTAGTTTTAAAATGCCGTATTTTATTATTTTGTTTCAAAAAATCCATTTCGTGGCTACAAACAATAAAGTTTTTTGTAAATATTTTATAGATGTAGCCTATTGAATACAAATAGAATATTAATGAAGTAGTTTTTGAATTTTTCTGTTCGATCCTCTGACAACACTGTGAAAGCTGTATAAACAAAAAGAAAAAAAAAATATATGTATTTAAGTGTAATTCAATTTGTGTTTCGAGTAACACTTGAATTTTGTTTTTAATGTGATAAAACTGTATAACCAATATAAGTTTTATAAGTTTTCGAAGTATTTCATATTCGATTATAATATTTTTAACGATTTTTTTTTTTAAAACAATTGTATAAGACATTTTTGATTTTGGGGAATGTATTGGTTTTATGATGATGTTTATTTTTTTTTTTTTGTGGACAACTTTTCTGCCAGCAATTTTGCTCCAAATTACTATAACAGCACTTTTTCTGAAAGGAAATTTGACTGGGGTGATACATTAAGAATGTCATTTTTTAATTTTCCCAGGAATTTTCATAATAAATGGGGATAACCGGGAAAAAATGGGAAAATAACTACAATATTAAACAAATATTATTAAAGAAAATACATAATGCATATGTTTATTTTACCATTATACTTGTATAACAAATATATTGTTGATAAAGCAACACCATTGATCGAAGTTCACTCAAAATCGAGTTTTCGTTAGTAATAGTTAATCTTTACGTACAGATATACATTACATTTCCCCTCTACTACTTTCCCAACTTCACACCTACAACAGTGGCCCACCCACGTGCGAAGTATGTCCGTCTTTTTTTTAGCATTTAGTTTAATTTTAAGTTTAGAATATGCCAGATTATATTTTATCTATTTAACTTTGTAAAGAACCGTTTTGCTTGCATCTATCTATTTGGGTTCATCCCTCCTACTCAGATGCACATATATTCTATATTGGCGAGTTTAAAATGATTTAGGTGAATTTAGCTGCATAAATTGTGCAAATACATCCCCTACCGCGGTAAGCGTCCGGGTTTGTTGTAAAACTGTCTTATTGATTATTATTACCAGTGTATATGGGTTATTACGCTTTTGATTACCTGTTAAGTAGTCGATTAAAGTTCGATGTAGAGAACTAACCACGACCATTGATAATTTTCGATAATTATACAAATTTATGATAAAATTCCTTGATCGTGATTTATGTTTTTTGTTACAAATCTATCAAAAAAATGTTAAACCAAATCCCACTCGTCTATAATGATAAACATTGCATTTAGCAATAAACTAAATTGCCCTATATGTTATTCTATCTTTCTAACTCCCCAACTACAAAAGCGGCCTATCCATGAGGAACATCTGTTTAGAAAAATGGCTGTATATTAGGAAGTTCAAAAGCACAAATGTCGAGACTTACGGCACTAATTAGCACAGACGTAGCACAAAAAAAAGTTTCTTGGTTGTGTTTCGAAATTCAAAAGAGGGTGGGGGTGCCAGGGAAATTGACCTGCAAAATGATGATGCATTACGGTTTTATTTTATTTTTTTTTTCATTTTAATAAAAATAGTTAGGTATATCATAACTGCGTAACGCTTTACATGCAAAAGTCCAATCAATATTAACAAAATTAATTTTTCAATCATTGAATCATTTCAAGTTTTACGTTTGTTAATAATATTGCGTTTCTTATTTTATTGCATTATATTGTTGAGTATTGACTGTTGAATACGTATTTTAAACTTTGTCAGGATGACAGTTTCGTAATACACCAACAATTATCTACCGACATGCTATTATATAATATTATTTTTATGAGCCAATATTAGTACTATTGAATAGCGAACATATTTTATGGATGCGAACAATATTAAATTATCATATCGGTAAAATTTATTGACATACATCATAACACATTTTGTACCGTGGAATTTATTTAACAATTTATCGCACATCACCAGATTTGTAACATCCATAAATTTTACTGATCTGAACGTTGAGCGTGTATTATATTATAATTCGTAAAAACTATCACCACATTGCAAGTTAATATTATCAGGCGCATTTAAAATCTAGAAGAGTAATATTCATACCTAGTTATATTATACTGATATATTTTGTCGGGCTTACTAGGCAATCAAGAATTTCATTCGCTATTAAAATACCTATATATTATAAGATCCTACGTCTTTCCCCATCTCTTCATCGAACTACCCAACTACCGGTGATTTAAATATGACTACTTATGAATTATGATCAAAGAACGAGCTTGATGCAATATAAATCATAAATATTAAAATTTGTTCTAAAACATTAAAACATGCACTAAAATATATCAAATATTAACGTATGGATAGTATAAATAAATATTGATAGCCGGTAGATGTATGCGTTAAAATGAAATAATCGCACTAAATCAAAAATAAATATTATGTTCTTGTGACTTTTTTTTCTTGTTAATTAAACCTAAACAAATTTTTATAATCCATTAAAATATTATTGTAGTCATTTTTTCTAAAATACCTAGTCGTAATATTTGCATGATAAATATTACGAAAAAAACCTAAATATATTGAATACGGTCTAATATATCAAAAACATGCCCTTAAAGTACAATAGTTCGAACACAGTAACAAAATACATTTCTTTCTTATTCTATAACTTTTAATATCGAAGGAAAAAATGTACAAATGCATTAACATCCGCTATTTAGTTATGAAATATAGTAATGTAGTAGTGCACGGTGCGCACTGCGCCTACAGGGATTAGGGCAAAGACGGAAAAAAAAAATGTAGTCATTCTTTAGATAGATGTCTAAAAAATAATAATATATATTTAACATTGAAACATCAATGCTATTATAATGCCTTAATGTAGAGTAAAATGAGTTCAATTTAAAGTAGTCGGATAATATACTGATAACATTTTTGAAAAGTTGATTTCAAAAATTGTTTTTGGTCATTTTACCACCGCCATTTTAAAATTTTAAATACATAGATATGTGATTATTTTATAAAATTGGATTTATGTACTTTAAGACCCCAAAGACTCCGTTTATTGGAGGGTCACAGTAGAAACATTACATTTAAAGATCATTTTCCATCAGTCAATACTAGATAATAATTATTTATCATAATAAATAGTTATTTTTTTATCGGTTATATCATATTGATAATGTATCCTTTATACTATCACTATATTATTAATTTATGATGCGTTTAAGTTTTGTGTACCTAATGGAAACAATAATATAAGATATACGGAATTTGAATTAAACTTATGAGTAACAATATATTTAGTTTTAAACAGTTAATGTTTGGGTAGTAATACTACCTATGTATATGTGAAAATATTTTTATTCTAATAATGATGTATGATATATGCATAAATTATCATAATAATTGTAATAATGAATCACGTCGTGGCTTATAATAACACGTTTATAAATCATAATAATTTTTGCACTAAATATTAAAATATAATATCTAAGTACTATACGTAAATTACCTTCACAGGAAGATTTTTTTTTATCATGATTATTATCTACAAAAATGTCGAGTAAAATTTATTTCATGTTTTTCAAGTCATTATAAAACATAATATAATCGTTAGAATATTTTCAAAATTTTACACTTCATATACCATAAACACATAGGTATCAGATTTTTGATTTTAAAAATAGAATCCCTATTTTCAACACAGATCCAAAAAGTGAATATTTTTCTAAAATACTTTTGTTCGAATAAAACTAATATCAGATACCTTATATACCTACCTTAAATTATGTGACTGAAAAGTAGAGAAGGGTTATTTTGTATACATTTTTAAATTGATAATTGTAAAATATAATGTAAATAAAATTACTAAACGATTAAAACGAAAATTTATTTTATTAAAAATTGTTGTATGAATTTCCGGACTATTGCAAGAAAAGATCACTATGTATATTATAAAATAATAAAGAATGCATTTTTCGTATTTATCTTTGAAATTATAATATTTTTCCCCTAATGTATTCAATTAAAATACATGGTTATTGAATATTGTTCTACAATACATTTAATGTACAAGTGTTTAATATTAGTGTATCGTTATTCGTTTTGTTAACGAAAATTGATTGTAGATTTCAAAAATATTAATTAGTAGATAAATAGTTTTTGTCCGGGTCAAACAGTCCGTATAAATCATACACGAAGAGTAATTGTGTTATACATTTTAAAGGAAAACTGTTTCGTACTTTTACTCGTACGAGAACAATTTATATCCTATATAATACCCTGTGTATTACTTTACAAACCCACATATTGTTCTGGTATATTACAGATTTCGGTTTTGATTTGATTACAAACAATAAATAATAATAATAAAAATAAATTTCCCGAGTATTATATTAAACATGTCAGAGGTTATACCTAGTACCTTATCCATGTTTAAAATTCTATTAGCTCCTAATGTCACTACTAATTTAACAATCGATTACTATTGGTACGGTTTATTTTTTATAGAAATAATATACTAATATTATAATTTGATTACTAAATGTTTTAGGGAAATTCATTTTTCACTCTAACAAAAAAAAACATAATAAATCAAAGGTAGCTATATAATATTTAAATTAATCGTAATGGTATAGGTATTAGATTCGTAACGTAGAGAGGGATTTATTGGTTTTACTATTATGTGAACCTTGCTCTGAAGTACCAAGAGCAGCACAGTTTCTCAATGGAAATTTTTTTTCTAGACGGTGTATTAGAGATGTAGTTTTTTTGATTTTCTCAGAGGTTTTCAAAATAATTTGGAAAAACCAGAAGAAAAAATATAGGGGAAATGGCAAATATTTATGGCATCTCATGTCGTGGCGTTACCCATTTCATTGTATTTAAGTTTTACAAACTATGTATTCTACCAGAAATATTGCTCCAATCGAAAAATAACAAGATATCAATTTTGTTCATTTAATTATCAAGCCACTGAACAAAAATTCATTTTTTGATATCTAAAGTAGTTTTAATAATAATCGGGGAAAACCAAAAAAGACGAACATTTTTCAAATTGTTGCACAACGATTTCATCATTTAAAATTTTAAAATTATATTTTTCTCCCAGAAAACTTTGTATGAATTTCAAAAAACGGACATTTTTTTAGTTTGTGAGTAAAAAAAGTTCTTTTGATTTTCTGTATAGTTTTTCCAAAAACCAGGAAAACAAATAGGAAATATAACAAAGGGTACGATATTTGGGTTTTTTGCTTTTATATGGTCTGTAGTTTTCACAAAATACTTACATTGGCCTTTTGCACGTGGAGAAATTTTAAAAACATTCTAGTTATATTTAGGCTATTGTTAGGTATTTGATATTTTCGTGGTCAATTAAACGGTACTCATAGATTCTATCTAGTTATCCATCGTACCTGTAATTAAAATACTTAAAATAAAGGGAACTTTCGAAGTCATATATACAGTACCTGCAAGCCTTCAATCGTTGTTACTAGACATTTTGCAGTACATATATCAGTATAAAAACTTTAAAAATGTATTGATTTTATTGTCAACCTTCGATAAGTTAACCCAAATAACGAAATTAACTGATAAAACGTATGGAAGGCGTGCAAAATTCCTATAAGGTCAAATTCCCGACAATACTAATCAGGTCCTTTCAGTGGTGAGGAAGGTGGTCAAAATGTATCCTGACCCCCGAAGATTTAAGGGACTCCACACCCAATAGTAAATTTTAAAAAGTGAAAAAATAAGTTATTTTTTTTTTTCAGTGACTAAGGGATAAACAAATTTAATTTTTCTCTGAATTTGTACCTCCCTGACACAAAATAAAAACTGGTTGGAGAAAAAATGAAAAAAAAAAAAATAAATAGTGACAAAATTATTAGTATTTGAATAAAATTGTAGGGTACACTGTGTAAGAATACAGGATATTTTATGGAATTTAGAAGCATTCTTAGTAGCGATTTAGACCCTGTGTTGGGATTTTAACTTTGTCAGGATTTAAACTCTTAAGATTTTAACCCAGTTTAACTTTCAAATCTTACCCCCGGATAATTTTAAAGTGTGAAGGTATCTTTTTCTTTGAAAATTTTACTCCCTAATACAATATTCCTAGAATGTCTTTAAGCCCGGTGTACATTTCCTAAATTAATTATACCCTTGTTAGGATAAGACGATCGTAGAAATGTGAACCGTGAGGGGTTAGATTTTCCTAGTCTAATGTATATGTGGTTAGTTAAATGGGGGTTAGGTAAATTTGAATTGGAAGTAGATAGGTGATATTTGAAGTAGAACCAGTTCATTCAAATTTGGATGATTTTACAAAATGCGATTTAATTAATAAAAGGACTGATATACTTCGCAAGTGGGTGCACTGTGCAGACACTGTTGTAGGTAAGAAGTTGGGAAGGTAGGATATAGACGGGAATTTAATGTATACCTGTAAGTAATAATAAACCATTGCTAACGAAAAACCAATTCTGAGCGGAGTTCAGTTGATAATGTTGCTTTGTCAACAATGTATTATAGAATAAAGTATATGTCATATCATGGTAAAATGATTGTTTAAAAAAGATTAAAATAATAAAAACTTAATAGTAACGGAAAATAAACAAAAAAGGTTGCCAATGACAAACTTGTTTTTAATCTGTCACTTTAAAAAAATGACCTCTTTAAAGAACCACCCAGAGAACATTTTCTTTCAGAAAAGGTGCTATATTTGATAATTGGAGTATGCTCTCTTAGAAAAAGTGATCACATAAAAAAATAAATACATAAATAATCATCATCAATGTAAAACCAATACATTCCTCGTTCAACTCGGAATCTAATAACAATGCAATAATTATATGAAAATTGGAGATATGGGGTCATTTATCAATAAATGTTTTTGGTTGAATAATTTATTGGAACTAATTGAACTAATGATTTAAGTAACATAACATGGGACTATAGACTGTGTAGTAAAAGTATATGTGTAGCTCTCCAAAAGGAAAATTCCAATTGTGAGTGTCAATAAAATACTATAAGAATCTCTCTTGTTACACGGAATATATTTTATGACAGCGTGGTTGTTATTCTCGTATGAATATGATTGTAGATAAAAACATGTAGATCATATCTATATCTAAATCATGTTATAATTATCAGTGTATGATAATACATCAAAAAGGAAAGAAAAACCTATTCGACGTGTTACTAATAATACATTATTATGTATTGTGTATAATTTCTGTCAATAGTCAAAAGTTTTAGTCATTAAACAAACCTTAAACAAAGTGGTGAAATACCTTATATACTTACGTTCCCAGTATTATAGATTTGATCGTTACCCGTAGTGATTTACGGAATTCTATTCTGTGTACTGCAATAATTACTATTGAAACCAATACAACGTAGATACTGACATATTCGTTGACACAGATTAATATCGATATGTTTTTGTAGCGTATCTCTAGCGTTATAACGTGAAGAAATCGTATTATATTATTAATTAACTAAGTGTTGTGTTATAATAACTGATAAGTGTTCTCATAACATTGTAACACACTATGCGGTTGGATACTTAATGTTTATGGTTATACGATTTAAAAAAAATATGCGAAATTATAATATGCCGTAATAACATATTAATTAAACTATATATAGTACTTATCTATGTATATTACATATAGAACTTAACTTAATTCAATTCTGAGTGTAGTGAAAAAGCCATTCGTTTATTCAAACGTGTACTTAGTTTTGAGTGTGTATAAGTTTTCTACGGGAAATCATACTCTCAATTTCCAATTTGACATTTTTGGGTTTTTTTTAACTAGTATGTACTTAAAATTTACAGATAACAATTAAGTATAAAATATATAAAATTTTATTTTCTTACAGTATTACTTTATTTTTAAGTTTAAAGGGCACACAAGTTTGATTAAATAATCGGATTTTTGAACTTGTCCATGAACTTTTTTTCATATCATTACCTAGAGTAATTTATAGGACTTTTGTGTTATTTAAAAATGAAATTGTTATCGAATGACAAAATTAATTCAAAATAGGTAGTTCAGTTTTTATTATTTGGTGTTTATGAAAAAATCTTTAAAATTAAAAACGATCAATAAATTCAAAAGCAATACGTTCAGCCACAAAATACATTTTACAAACCTGGAGTCTATGAGTAATAGCCTATTAATATTGATAATGTTCAAATTTAAACTACTACTAATAGATATACCTACTGTCATAGCCATGTGCAGATCGCAATGACACGGTTAGGTGTAATTAAGGAATGGGGGGGGGGCAAACATTTTGTTTTGTTAATATCATAAGCGCTTGCGAAAATATTTTCTAGAAGAAGGGGACCAATTAGGTTTACTGTACTAACATAACATTTATCAATCAATCAATAGTATCTGTAATATTAGATTAATATTAATTAGAATAATTATTTTAGTGAATGATATGATTAATCTAATTTATATATTTATATTAAATTTAAATTTCGAATGGTCAATGTTGTAGTTCTAACGCTTCTAACCAAAGCTCTAACGCAATAATTCGATTTTATTGCGGTGTAGAACGTAGATATGCCTTTGACGTAGTTTTACGTTTACCTTTTTACCCCGACACAGGTATACTTTTGACGAGCGACCGCTGGTAATGCGCATTACTAAAAAAGGGTTAGTGGTTACCTATTTTTTATGTCGATGTAACAATACTAAATTATATGACCTAGTGGTACCTATAATATATTATTGTAATTTATAATCAATTGTAATAAATATTGTACTAGCACTAAAAATATCAATTACGGGAGGCGTTTTTTCTATTAATATGTTTACTTGTTCACTCGCGTGGAAATTTCTCAATGTTGTCGTTGATTTAAAATAAATAATACATTTTATTATACTATTGATGTGAAATATAAGGTCTAGGCTAAAGAACGAGAATAATAGTCAGTTTGTTTTTGGTTTAGTGCATTTGCATTTTGGTATCGATCGGTACTATCGATTGGTAATAATATCTACGGGGCAGAATAAAGACATTCCGGTGTAAATCTTAAGTTAAAAATATTCCTACACAGAGAAAACAATGGAAGAAGTAAACTTTGAAATCGAATTTTCTCGAAATTTAAAACTTATAATTGTTCGTGTTCTAGACGCTCTGTTTACAATTAAAACTAAAATTATATCCTATAAATTAATTAGTGCACCGCTCTAAATAGTGTTAGTATAATAATATTTGTATTATTCAGTTTTATGAACAACGTCAAAAGTTAATATAATATCTAATTTATTATGAGAACATTTGCAGGGTTTTAAATAGGAAGCGGAATACTCTAGTTACAATGTCTCTTAAAACGAACTAACTCAAAAGTGTTGTATTTCTTTGGAAAGCGTGTCGATGAAAGTTACAACTTTCAGCACTCATATGAATAATTTCATATAACTGAAATTTCGTCAATTTATAACATTTATTTTATGAGTTTTCATTATTTGAAAAAAAAAACAACAAAACAAATTAATATTATTTAGCCAATTATTCAAAATCAGAGTGAAAACAAATACACTATAACGTTATTTGGAACTATCGCGTAACTATCTTAAATTTTCCAAAAATAAAATTCGGAAAAAAGTCAAATTAATTTTACTATACTATTATTACCGTCAACGTAACGGCACAATAAATGTTTCAAGATTATGTATATTAAATCTTTAATAAAAACTATAAATATATTCAGTCGACAAAACTGGGTTGGAGTCATAGATTTCATACTAATAGACAGAACATCCAGTTAAGATCAAAAATATAACATACCTATGCGATTGATGAGATGAGAATCACGCGGTTCTGTTCTATAAGACTTTTTCGGGTCCTCGCAAAAATACAAATTGCACAGTTTATATTTTATAATAGTCATCAAATACCGTTGCAGGTGTTTTGTAAATTTTCGTATAGGATATTGTTTATAGGTAGGCTTCTGTTGTAAGGGGGGAGGAGATGAGTTGAGAAATTAGAATACATAGCACAATTAGATTTATATAATATATCCGTAACAATATATTATTGTTAACAAAAAACAAATATCGAGGGTTTTTGCCGGGTCGAAAAAAATTATATTCACAGAAATCGGAAAATAGTACGCAAAACGTCTTGATTTCTATGATTTTAATCGATATTTGTTAACTAAACGGTTCAAAAAAAAAAAAAAAATTGCGATTACAGATTCTTGATATTTTTATAGTGTCATAAGAAATACTTTGTGAAATTTTTGAGCATTTTTGAGTTGCACAAGAAATTTATTAATTTTACAACCATATATAAATTATAAAAAAAATTGTTAAATTCCAAATAGCTATAATAATAACTTGAAAATCGTCAAAATGTTTTTAAAATCGTACTATGTCTAGAAATACCTAACGTAAGTATTCGAAAATATTGCATAAATAAAAAAAACTCCCGTTTTTCCTACGATTTTTTCTCCAATTGTTTATGAAACTCAAAGGAAAATAAATCAAATTTTCTTTACCTATTAGCTAACTCGATATTTTCTACCGAAAACTACCCTCGAAGTTGATGCACGTTGCAAACGTTTTGGTAGAATTTATATAGTTGTTAATAGACAGAAAAAAAAAAATCATAATATATTTTAGTTAAACCAATACATTTCACGATATGCTGTGTACCGAGATTCTACTCGCGTTGGATACGGAGTTTTTCCAGAGGCGTTTTTCGTCAAAATTTGATTTTAAAACTTTAATAAAAAAAAAAAAATACTACATTACACTCAATTTTTAAGCATTTCTGTTTAGTTACAATTTTATCTACATAGTACCTAACCCAATCTACCAAATAAAACTATGTAAAAAACTTGTAAAATTAAAATGTCAATAAAAAGCTCAAAAATAGCTAAAATGTTTTGAAAATTTTACGTCTATATAAAAAAAAAAAAAAAAAAATAGTTTTCTGTCAAAATGTCAAGTTTTTACGAATATTTTAAACTGAATTATATTAAAAAAATAATAAAATAATTATATTTGTAAATGTTCACGTACTTTTTACGTTTATTTTAGGTTTTCCTAAATAGTTATAAGACTACAGAGAAAATCAAAAACGTTTTTCTTTATCACCAACTAGATTCAAATTTCAACTTAAAATTGTCTTCTGTAGTTTTTCTATTCGAGTAATATTTTTTGTGGAAAACTTAAGTCGTACATTTAAAGTATAAAATCGTTGTGCCTTTATTTGAAAAAAATCGTACATTTCATCTTTTTTGGTTTTTACAATTATTACAAAAAATACTTCAGGTATGAAAAACCGACTTTCTGTGGCGGTTTGTCATTAATTTGTAATAATATCAACAAAATCGATATTTCGTCATTTTTCGATTGGAATAATATTTCTGGTAGAAAACATAAGTTGCACAAATTAAAAGCAATGAAAACGATAACACTGCGGCGCGCCGTCAATATTTGCCGTTTTACCTGTAAGTTCCTTTCGGGATTTTTCTCAGATGTTTCGAAAACCTTTTGGAAACTTAAAAAACGACTACTTCATAGCGGAAAATAAGGAATATTTTTTTTTAAAAAAGTACTATATACACTTGATAATTTGGAGCGAGTCTTCTTGTAGACGTATTCTGTTCATAGAAAGAAAAAAAACACACACACACATCATAGTGAAATCAATGGATCCGAATCTAAAAAAAAAAAAAATCATCGAATCCCCTGAAAACACCGGTCCGTCGAGAAACACGAGCGCATACCCGTTCGGCCGTTTCCGGAAACGTATTTTCACCGTGACGGTGCCGACGATACAATAAAAGTGCAGTGACGGACGACCTAAGTCTACTAAACGACCGCGGGCGGACGGCGCGTGCAAATCAAAAATTAATAACAATAATTTAAAATCAACTCACAGTCGGCATGTCCTCGCGGGGGTCGCACACAGCGTCGTCGGCGACGGCCTTTTGTCGTTCCGCTCTGGCACCTGTTTGCACGCGGCATTCGACGCGTACTGGACTGGCTCGCCGCGAACGGCACTGACGCACTCCTTTCGGCTCTCGCCGCCGTTGCGCCGCCGCGAAAATGCAACTCGCTGCGCCACGCACCGTCTCCCGAGTCCGAGTCGCCCGTTGAAAGCACCCCTCGTCGCCCCTCCACCGAGCATCCCTATTTCGTTATTATTATTATTATTATTATTGTCGCTGTGACGTCATGAGCATGTGACCATGACCGTGGTAGGCGTATGACAATATAACATGACGAGCTCGTCGTCGTGTGCAATGTACGTGCGCGCTGGGGTTTACGGTAGGCCGGTGCAGGACGAATGGCTTGACCGAAGTGTACGTACAAGGGTGGATTTCTATCGCGATCCAGCTCGATTATCCCCGGTAGATTCCGAGTGAAATCGACTTTGGGGTTTTCTCGGTCATTGTACGCGCATTGGCGTATTCGAAGCGTTTTTGTTTTTAACTTTGTGTCCGATGACAGTTTCCTAGCAGAAATAATGTTAACCATTCAAAGGAGATTCTGAGATTTTTATGCAAATTTTAGCAAATGTATATAAAAAACGCCTACACAAATTAATTGATGGGGGAGGATGATCGCTGATCGCTCCCGTCGCCTCCCCCCTTTAATACGCTACTGTATAAACGTACCGTCAACATGAATTTGTAAAATTCACGAAACGGTCTAGTGATTCGCCCGATCCATTATATGTGCTATTAAATTGCCCGTTTCACGAATCGAGCAAAATAATTATTAATACCTATACAAATACTTCGAATGTATTTTCCAATATCGTTAAAACGATGTACTAATAATAAACTATGAATCGTTATAAATTTATTACAATTGATTATTCATAAATTTTTAAAGTAATTTAAAAAAAAAAAAAAAAAATCAAACGGACATACTTGAGCTACTGTTGTAGGTGAGGAGTTTGGTAAAGCGGAGAGGAAATTTAATGTACATCTGTACGCAAAAATTAATTATTGCTAACGAAAAACGGTTCTGAGAGGAGTTTGGTTATACATGTTTTGAAAGACTGTAATATTTACAATTTGAAAATAATATATTTAGCAAATTTTCCGTTTTTTCCCATATATTATGAAAACCCCCGGAAAAATCAAAAAAAACGTCCTTCTTAAAGTATCATCTCAGTCAGATTTCCTTTCAGAAAAAGTGTTACACTTGAAAATCAGCACTACTTTTGGTAGAAATGTTGTTGGATATAGGGTATAGGTAGTGGTTCAACCAGGATTTTTTGAAAGGGCGTATCACATGTCTACAAAAAAAAAAAAAAACATGCCTTTTAACATATTTATATTACTTAAACACGGATATAGGGAGATGTCCAGACACCCAAAACACCCCCGGTTACGTCATTGGATGTAGGGATTAACGAAATTCTGAATGAAATGGTGAATTATTGCGAACAAAATACAATTCTGAGTGGACTTCCATTCGATTTGTTTTTGCTAAATTGCGCACAACAGAATTTTGATAATAAAATAAATAGTAAATAGATCATAACGATAATTAATAATTACATATACGAGTTGGTTGTTTTCAATAATATTTGTCGTTTGATATAATAATATATAAATGTATATCAAATAAATTGATGGCAACATTGGACGAAAAACCGTACGGAATCGTGTGATTATTTTGACACTGTCATTGCGAACTCGGACAAGTCGCCGTCGCCGTGTCGCCATCACCACGCCGTTTCACCGTTAAACCATTTTGTCTTCGCCATTTCGACGTAAGATCACATCGCTGCCGTTAAAAAAATAAATTACCCGAAACAATATATAATATGAAATATGTTTGACGGTTTTGTATAACGAATTTATGTGTAAAATGTATAATGTATAGTGTTTGATGAATGCCATTATATTTAGATTCTGTGTAGAACGAAGAAGCTTATGGTTTTGCAAAGATGTTTATTTTTTTTCTGTGGACAACTTTTATACCAGAGGACTTACTCCGATTTTTACGTGTAGTAACTTATCTGAAATGAAATCGGTAGGAAGGTACCTTAGAGAGGTCGTTTTTCGATTTTCTCAAGAGTTTTCTCGGCAAATGTGAAAAACCGGGAAAAACCATAAGAAAACCGGAAAAAACGTAGGAAAAACGGGGAAATCGGTACAACGTTAAACATATATTATTAAAGAAAACGTATAGAGCCTACTAAATTATATTACTATAATATGACATATACATTGTTGACAAAGCATTTCTGTCGACTGAATTCCTCTCAGAATCGTTTCTTTGTAAGCAATAGTATATCGTTGCTTACAAGTATACATTAAATTACTTATAACAGTGGCTGTATCCGTCCTTATTATCTTAGGACTTTTTTTTTTTTTTTGAAATTGCTCAATGTTTATAAATCAAAGAACTTTCCGGTTGGACAGGAAAACCATCATGATCTCAATAATAGGTTTTGAATCAGTACTTATTATTAACAAACTGTTATACTCATAACATGTTCAATTGTGACGAATCACATTTTTATTTTAATATCTATATATAATTTTAAATTTTGAGTGGAACGAGGAATGTATTAGTTTTACAATGATATTTATTATTATTTTTTTTTTTATGTGAACACTATTTCTATCAGAAAGCATACTCCGATTATATTTCGAAATGGGGAGGAGGGAATGGTTCCAATGAATCTTATTCGTTTGTTGCCATCATTTGTATTGTTGGTACGAGAAATTTGCTCATTTATTCGTTTTTTCGTTAAAACACGATTTGATGCGTATAAAAAATAACGGGTTTAAGTAATCCATTATAACGAGCAAGTATAAAATAATAGATTTATAGATAGGAATAATATAAAATATGATGTTTGGTAAATTCACCCATGTCAACTATCAATTTGTCAAGAGTTTTCTTTCTATTTTATTACCTTTTTTTGAGGTAGGTATAACAATGATACATCAATTTAATAACGGTGCTATTTAAAAGCCGACAGTTCGACCAGGACTCCCTTACGATCTCAAAATACTGTTGTCAATTTGCATGACTTTTTGGACTGAACCATTTTAAAATTTTTAGTAGATGGTGAACTTGTGAGGCGAAACTGAAATGATGGTCTTTTGGATTCTGGGGTATAGTGACAAACCCAGGTTCCATCCTCAGTTACAATTGTGTCGAGAAGCTCTTCTCCCTCACGCTCAAAACGATCCAGAAGTTTTCACATGTACGGGAGGTGACGGGTACGTTTTAAACTTCGTTTCATTTTAAAACTTCACCACGATCACGAACATGAAATAACGACCGTGACTAAATAAAATGTCCTACAGACACTTGAGATATCTCAATCGAATCGTTGCTATCACCACTACATGGTAGGTGCCAACTCCGGAAAACATATTTCCTATGGTTAGAAAAAACCTTTGTTACCTTACTTCCTGGATGACCCCTCGTAGTTATTATTGCATGATAAATTTGGTCTTTAAAAGAATAAACGAGTTAGAGTATAAAAATAGTATAGCTACGGCTATACCTAATCTGAATCGTTATAATATTAATCTTCAAACACTTATTACCACAAAATGTATAGCGGATGCGTATATTATTTACCCAAATTGTGATACGAATAATAAAATACGTAATATTGTAATTATATCAATTTGCCAGTTTTGTAATCAATTATAAATAAATATGTCTAAATAACTAATAACCAATAATTATACTAATTTAATAATATTTTACTGTTTATTAAATTATAGCTTAGGTGATAAACGTGATCCACAAAAATCGATCAAGAGTGAGTATACGAGAGTTATAATAATCATTAATTATGGCAGAAATAATATTCGTTATATCAATTATTATGCATAGCGTTTCATTTACATCCGGGTACTGACTCAAGTGTTAGAAAACTATTTTGTGATATTTTGTTGATTTTAACGTTCAAGGGTACTCTACAATAATTTGTATAGCTACTGTACTACACATTCTCAATTGGTAATGTATTGCGAATTTGATGACGCCGTGAGATTTTGCGATGTTTAAACTTTAAATGATATTTTTGATGTGTCAAGATTTTTGCAATTTTCAGATCGACCGGAGACTAGAGTATTCCCACATAATGAAAATTGATAAAATCTTGAATTTGTTATTCATGGGTTATACGCATGTTTATTTTAATTATCACTGCAACGTTTTATTCATTCAAGATTTGGCAGAGAATCGGTTTTAACCATTTCAAATGGTGTAATCGATTTGACGAGTGTATTGTGCCTCATATAGAAGCTTAAAATATGAGTTTTATGGATTGTACATGAAAGTGCAATTACCTCAATATTATGTACATACCGTTGCGTTTATTGGTGCATTACATTTAATTACTATTAATCGGTTAATTGCGATCGGTTTTAAAATAATGATTTAAAACCGGGAATTTTAGAAAATCGTGCTATGGGTAGGTCACTGTTGGTTGTAGGTGGGATCGATATTTGAAAGATATTAGGCGTATAGGGTAATTTAGTTTGTATACTAAAAACCGATAGATCTGTGCAATTAAAAAACGATTATCAACGGAGTTCGGTAAACACGTAAACTGGTATACAGTACTAGTCGTGTTTATTTGTTGTGTAGCCCAGAAATCAATAACTATATAATCAACGTAGCATTTTTTAGGTACCTAATCAAAAAAGTATTTATCTAGAAAAGAACACATCTGAAACAAATAGCATTTACACTACACTAAAAATATAGCGAACTGTAAAAGAGAATTTATTAAACTCGTTTGACCAACTGAAACTGAATGTAATTGTATAGATTATGTTACGGACTCTGTCCTTTATGTGTAAAGATTGTTAATTATAAATTAAGAATTCCACATGACAAGATATGAAATCGGTCGTCACATTAAGTATACCCACGTTAGGGCTATTAATACGGGTGTGGTAAACCGACGACGTACCCATGCAACAACGGATGATGTGTGTTCACGAGCCAAAGGGGAAACGTGTCCGGGTACGGACGACGTGCCACCAGTAGAGAACGGCGTCAGCGTCCACCACCACCTAGACCTCAATCGAGACGACAACCATATATAAGGAGACCGGAATCATCACCGAGAGAACTTTAACTCAGTCAGGAGTCTCCAGCTTTAGTGTATTTATACCTGATAATTACAACTAAGTCTTGACCCGGGGCTGGCGTCGCAGGTTTTTCACTTACAGATACAATTTTTCAACCGTGTAGTGTTTTAATTCTAATAAAAAACTATTTGTAGACCTAACACACGTGTACATCTTCCCATCGAAAGACTGCGTCCGAACGGCCCGTAACAGAAATTGGCGTTGTGGACAGGGTTTCAAAACATCAGAGATCCAGAGATCTTTGACGAATTTTTTGGATATTAAGAATAACTGCGTGGGTTACGATTTTATATTAATGTTCAATGAATCCTGAGGAGAATAAAGTAATAGAGAAAATAATTGATGAGATAATAGATAAAATAGTAGAAGAAGAAGGTGAATGAAGAGTTAGTGAACAACTTTCCGTAGATTTTTGTTGGACAAAAGTTTAAGATTAATAAATTTAAAAGAATTCGAACAAATCCCCACGATGAATAAAAATCGAATAGGTACACGTAGTCAGGGAAATTTAGTGCATACACAATTGGAACCAACTAAACGCATAAAAAATCCGAAGAAAATGGCTGAAAGCAAAACGCAAGCGTTTTCTTTTATTGAACCATTAAAACTGGTTCCAAAATATTCGGGGGAAATAGAAATACGACCGTTTATAGATACATGTGAAATAATAATGAGTATGATTGACTGTAGTCAGTTGATATTTTTTGCAAAAATGGTTGCGTTAACAAAGTTGACAGATAGAGCGTACAATATTATAGAGATACATCTAACTAGGCTAATATTAGAAAAAATGTTATTAGACCCATTGGAAATTTCTTATGTTATGGCTAACTTGCAAATTGAATTAAGTTTGATACAAATGGGTAAAAATAAGATAGCGAACGGCTATAATACGAGAGTTGAGAGTATATTCCAGAAATTGTGTGCGTCTATTACTGCAGGGAAGTCGGAGGATACGGCATTAACGATTAAGGACATTGTGAAAACACAAGCAATTGTTAGTATATTAATGGGCTAACAGGAGAATTAAAAATGGAAGTAAAAATGTGTAAACTAGCCACTTTGGAACAGGTTATGTAAGAAGCGGTAATTGCAGAGAGAAATTTGATTAACGATCGCAGGGTGCGACAATTAGCAGTTGGAGACGAGTTCATAAGTAATAATGGTAGGAATAATAATAATAATATTAGTAATAATAATTTTCGAGGAAATTTCAGCAATAAAATGAATAATTAAATAATAATTTCCCAATGGGAAACAGCAATGGTAATGTTTCAACTGCGGTAGAGAAGGTCATATAGCGCAATTTAGTCCGAGAAATGATAATAATAATAATAATCTCAACAGTAATAGATTTTTGAGACCGAATAACACACCGACAAATAATTTTACGTGACTAGCGACCGGCTATAATAGCACGACCGGTAATAATATTAATAAAAGAAATAACCAATTATGTAGTTACTGTGGAGAAGCACCATTACCTCGATACCAACCCGTCCAGTCATTCCTTTAGTGTATTTATACCTGATAATTACAACTAAGTCTTGACCCGGGGCTGGCGTCGCAGGTTTTTCACTTACAGATACAATTTGTTAACCGTGTAGTGTTTTAATTCTAATAAAAAACCATTTGTAGACCTAACACACGTGTACATATTCCCATCAAAAGGCTGTGCCCCAACGGCCCGTAACAATTAAATATAATGTTTTAGATTTGTATACATACTAGCATATGGGTCACATGTTATAATTACGTTATTAAAGCGTGGCTTCATTATATTGTACAGTGCACAGTTTGCTATAATATGTACTATTTGGAATAATCTATTCTATTTAAACGCATCATACATGATTAAGTCGATGCACGGAATAATGGGATAAACGAGTGAATTGTATCTAATTGGGAGTGCAGATAGAAACGACAAATCACATGTGTTTGAAAGTTAACATTATAATTATTTTTTCGTATGATAAATTAAAATATATTCAATGACGTTCAAAGTGATGCTTGGAATTAAATATCGGGTATTGCAAGTTTTGTTCATAATTTTGTTTACATGCGTACTGTTTTGCAAAACGAGTTTTGTAAACATTTTTGTAAACCGAAGAAACGATTTATTGGTGCGTATTGAAACGTATCGAACGTGAAATTTAAATTCATTTTTTATTCAAGTTTAACATAATAATATATTAATATACGCACCTACCCGTTAAACATATATTCGCGTCCGTTTTTATTTTATTACGCAGATTTTGCCTTTGAAATTGTTATACCAGTGCATGCACTTATACATGTACCGACGTACTGTATAATAATATCGAACGATATAACGGATAATATGTAAAATATGTTTAGGCGAATGATATGTTTGACGTGTTATCCTTTTTGCTCATAGTAATAGTATATCAATCGTATAAGTATCCTTTCCTTGAAAAAAATTGAATAATTTTGAATTTTAACTATATCGACCATATTATCTTAACCTAGGGTGACCATATGTCCCGTATTTCAACTTTTTGTCCCGTTGTCTCGACCAAAGTTGTACGGTATGCATTTTGTCCCTTTTTTTAAGTCTGTCCTGCATTAATTCCGTTTTTCCCCTTACTGTTAATGACTATAACAAAACAATTTGTTGATATCTTTATGACATTATTCCATAAAATCTATTTTAAAACGATATTTGTGGGTTTTTATTTTTGACTATTCTAGCGGGTATATTGTATTACACACGGTGTATAATAAGTGATGTCCGCATTTTGTAGTAATTTGTAATTTTGGAGTAAAAGATATGTGGGTTGAAAGTTGAAACAGTACGAAGTTGGAAAATAGCGATCTGATACCATGCCGTCACAAACCTTTGGCGGGTTTTGGCCTACCAAGATAGGAATGGACAATTCTAAACCGATAGAGAATAGGTCATGGAAGATGTGGGTGTCTAATGTTTAAATGGAGAATGATAGACAACCCTTCGTGTGACTGTGATGATAAAGATCAAACAGTTAAACATATTTTGAACGATTGTCGAACAAAGAAGTTTCATGGTAGAATTTTGCAAAACATGGTCCGGTCTTGGTATTTCTCGATTTAGTATGAAGAAGTTGCCCTGTCGGACCCAGTTTCATTGTTTATTTCGTCAGTCTGGTCCGATCTTATTTTTAAAAAAGAAAAAATAACTGCACAGAGCACTAATCGATACCTACTATTTAATAATATTTTAATTAAATCTGTAATTAAAGGATAATAATCATTGATGGTCAAATGGTTTTGAAATGTGAGAGTAAATGAGGATAATTTTTAAAAATTATTATTATTTACGTAATATATAAAATATATTACTATAAATATTTGAATAAAAATGAGTTAACGGGAAATATATTTTCTCATTTCCCTTCGTTTGACCGCCCTTCATAATAATATATTTGTGTAAGTGTAAAAAGTCCGGGACGTCATTTGACGAGATAAAAGAGTTATACGTTATTATTTATTTGGATCACGTAAATTTTAAAATTCTGAGCGAAGCGAGGAATGTATTGGTTTTAAAATAATGTTTTTTTTTATTTTTATTATATTTTTTTTATCAGTGAACAACTTTTCAACCAGAAATTAAACTTTAATTTTCAAGTGTAGTACCTTTTCTGAAAAAAAATTTTATCTGGGCGGTACTTAAGTATTTTTTAAAAAATATTATAACCATTCGATACTGTGAAAAATGATGTGTATTTAAGTTAATTGTTGAAAAAAATTTTTTTTATTTTCGTTGTATTTAATCAATTTTGTTTTGATAGATTTTCCTCAAAAAAATAAAATTAATTATATTGTAAATACTTTTTAATACAAATGTTGCAACGTTTATTTTATTTTATAAACAATAACGTAATTTAGGTGTAAAGTACCTATGCAAGTGAATATGATTATCTGTATGACTTTATCTCCAAACAATACTTATTTTACATCCCATAACCAAATCTACAACGGCGTGAAGTTTCTGCAAATTGAAATAGTTCTAAAATAATTGTATTGTTACCGTATTTTTGTGCACTACACAGAGAGTGGTTTTTTTGTCGAATTGAAACAACGATTTTTTGAAATGGTTTTAAGTAAATTGGTTTTTTTTTCAATTATGAAATTGTTTGACAGTACTTTATTATGACAACATCGTTTTCTAATCGTTAATCAATATTAACTCTGATTTGCTCTTTATATATATATTAATTTTTGATTTTCAAATGACAACATCCCTCTTTTCATTAGCATAATTTGTATAGTGTTGCGACCGATGGCATTTCATTATTGCTTCACACCTATTCTCCATCCAAATTTTTGAAGTTGAATATTTCGTCTACGGTTTGACGAAAATTATAGATTTAAAAATGAAAATGTAATTAAACTAAAATTTCGTCTGTTCTTAGAATTTTCATTATAGGTTTTTATTTGAAATTCAATAGTGGATAGTGGTTTCATCCTCAAAATTAAGGGGACAAAAAATAAAGACAATATAATATATTAGAATATATGATTCCGAAAATTGTTTATATAACCCGGCTACCTTAGTCAGTAGAGCATGAGACTCTTAATCTCGGGAGTCTGGGTCGTGGGTCCGAGTCCCACGTTGGATGCCAATTTGTCGAATTCACAACGTTCTTCCTTTCGGCGCATACGGTAGTAATCATTAAAGTACTCTGAAACCTTCGGTAATTAGCTTTACTTACCGGACGCCAAAGGCAATATTACATCCTCGTGCGTCGCGGTATTCTAACTCTATTACCTACTCTAAATTCGGAAATTGGCTTTACATAACCTGGCTGCGAAGGAAATATTACGTCTTCGTGCGCTGCGGCGTTCTAACATAAAAATACCTCTTCTAATCTCCGATGCCTATGTTAAATGATCGCGGTACTTCCTGATGCTGTTCAGCTAAGGTAGGTTGTTCTATATTTCATTATACTTTGATATCAAAAGAACACGAAAACGAGAACCGAATCAAATCACATTTTACGTTAAAATGAACAGTAATAACTTTCATATAGATTGAACATTTCTAAAAATAAATTAGTTAAAATATTGGAATATTTTTCGAATCAATCGGACAAAGCTCCAACTTCACGGACACCCCAATCATTAGGAAAATAAAAAAATACCTTTCTTATACACATAGTTACGATTTGTTTTCAGAAATGATTTTACAATTGTAAAATAAAATAAAAACATTGCTAAAATTAATATATTTTCGCACTCAGAATGAAAAAAAATATTTTTTTGACCTTGTGTACACTTTTTGACGTTTGTTAAAGTTTTTTTCGGGAAAATATGAAATCACGAAATTTTAACTGATTTCACCCCCTCCTCACTTGAACTTCAATTATAACCTTCACTGCCTGGAGGGGGGTTCATTGTTTTAAAATCTAAAGGTGATATGGTACAGCCGACGGAATAAGGGTAACATTTTTAAAATTGTTTAAATGAGGTTAAATCATTAAACGATTCTATACAGGTGTTCTACAGTTTTTAGTTATCATTCAGTTATTAAAGCTATTTTTCTATTATAATTGTCAATATTCATTTTTTTTTCAATTAGGTTTTGTGCGAGAGAGACTTATTATATATATGTAAAGAAAAATTAAATTTTTATTTTCATCCCTTAATAACTGAAAAAAATAACATTTTTTTTTCATTATTTCAAATTTCCAAAATAGAAGATAAAGAACTACCGTGTTAATTGTGATCCCTTACCACGTAACGTGTTATTCTATAAACTATTATGTAATTGTTTTTATGTCAATATTCTATAAATTGAAACTGCTATTATTCAGAAATTATTGATCAGATATGAATATATGTTATATTAAATTGTTTAGAATTATATCTTTTACCAAATGGTTATTTTGAATATTTTTAAAAGTGATAAAAGAAAAATATGTTTTTCAGTAATTAAGGGATGGAAATAAAAATTAAATTTTTCTTTGTATATATGTCCCCCTCACACAAATTGAAAAAAAAAATTAAAGAAAAATAAAG